AGATCATTTGAGGTGCAGTGGGTCTACTTTACCCAGCGCCAGAAATTGGTCTGCGTGTGAAATACCTATGTATAGTTCTTTATACGCAATTATACACAGCTAGCAATTACATTCCACTTGAAAAATACAAACATCTGCAAGGTTCCTAGACATGATATTGTCTCATTGATGCGGGTGAAACTAAATTGCTAGGCGGCGGTCACTTTTAGCGCCTGGGGAACGTTGGCTTTGACTATGGACAACTAGCAGGTCACACCACCTTGATCCACCTTCCCTTGCTGCCACAAGATCCATGGCCTTCCCGACAGAATTAGGTGATGATTAGTGCTTAATGCAGCTGATCACATTCCCCACCCTTTTAAAAATGTCTAGCTGTCCAGCCCTCAACTGCAGGCCACACCAGCAGCCCAACACCTTCCCGGCTGCTGCCTTCCGCAGCAGCCGATCGCGGAGAGAAAGGCCTTGGATCTTTGGGGCTTTTGTTTTGAAGCAAGTTTCCTAACATTATCCGACCGGGTCCCAGCCTATTCTCAAGTGACGCCGAAAAGCCCTTTTGACGGAACTAAAATTTAGTTGCCAAATCCTCACATCCATCGGCAATTTCCGATTGGCACTGCACGCAGTGTCAAGCAAATTGATGTTTCCCAGATTCACAGTTGAAGGACTAGCCGACTAGCCCACCACCAGCCGACCTGGCCCATCCTGACCCTGCCCCTGTCCTGCACAAATTGCGCGATGTCATCCTGAAAGTTCATGTGGATATGTTTGGGAAATCTGTGGGTGTCATCACCACCAACCAGTTCAGGTTTGACAATTTTGCACTGGTGGTGAAGACTGGGTCACTAGGTGAATTATGACAACGATGTCTCATCCGATTGCAGGGGTGAGAAATAATCTTTGTGTCTGCCATGAGTCCAATTTCTTGTGGAACCACTTTACAAAACAAACAGTTGAAAGATGTTGAAAGGCTGTCTCCTCTCTCCTTTTTTTTTGAAATCATGAACAGGGTCCAGGGTGGTGGGACCCTCAAATCGCCATGCGCAACATCCAAGACCCCCTTTTCAAATCTGGCAAGCCTGCGGGGGCTGTTCCTCCTCCCCGTGAGTCTCCGAGGGCTGTTGAAACAGCGATTCTGCCTGCAATGAGCACAGGCAGAAAGCAAAATCCTGAAGATTGTCACACCCTGGGATGAATTATGAAAATATTGATGATCTGGGATGTTTTCTTGCTTCACTCTGACCATTTGCCGCAGCAACACATTCTAATGCATTGTGCTTCAGTGACACTCAGTGACAACAACTGCGGCAATGATGAGTGAGCAAAATGTCGTTGAACCATGTTGAACCCTTCCACTTCGCAACGCAACTTTTGACTGCTTGGAAAGACCTTGTTCAAACACTGCACCTGCCTCGGCAATCACTTCAGACAGCGGCGCGGCTTCAAATTCCACCACCTGCAGAAAGCAAAGCTCAAGGGATTCAAAGGTATTGCATGCAGAATCTCAATGTTTCGATATATGTTTCACTTGCACCAGGTGGCATATTGCCGTTTCCGGTTCCTTTATGTTCAGCTGGAACTACTGGTTGATGATGGGCATGAGTTATGAGCGAAATACCATGGGGAAAGGTCCAAACTTGAGTCCTTGAGGGTTGGTAAACAAAAGGCCAAGACAAAAGATGTGGGAGCGGAGAAGGCATAGAAAGCCATGGGCGCTAGCAATGAGAAGGGAGATGCGAAGGGCAACGTGGAGGAAGGTGGCAAAATGGTCAGAGCGAGGTGGAGTGGAGTGACTAAGTGGGAAGGAGTTGGGTGGATCGCTGGAAGAAATGAATCCATATCAAAGTGTGCATGACAAATTGCGGGTTTGGCAATTGGACTGCTCCACATCCCTTGCTAAAGCAAGAAAAAAACATGAAAAAAATCAAGCTTGCTACCACTAGCTTTCGTGACAAGGCATTGTTCAAACCCACTGCCTCTGCCTCGACTGGCTCAGGAGGGCCCTGCAATGAGCACAGGCAGAAAGCAAAATCCTGCGGGCTAAATTATGAAATCTTAATGTTTCATTGCTTCACTCTGACAATTTGCCGCATCAACACCTCCAGTGCATTGTGCTTCAGTGACACTCAGTGACAACAACTGCCTCAACAATGAGGGAGTAAAATGTCGTTGAACCATGTTGAACCATGTTGAACCCTTCCACTTCGCAACACAACTTTTGACTGCTTGGAAAGACCTTGTTCAAACACTGCCTGCCTCGGCAATCACTTCAGAAAGTGGCAACACCTGCCGGAAGCCAAGCTCTAAGGATTTCAAGGTATGGCATTCAGAAATTCAATGTTTCAACATGTTTCAACATGTTTCAATGATTTTCAATGATTTTCAATGTATGTTTCACTTGCACCAGGTGGCATGTTAAGGTTTCGGGTTCCTTTATGTTCAGCTGGAACTACTGGTTGATGATGGGCATGAGTTATGAGCAAAATACCATGGGGAAAGGTCCAAACTTGAGTCCTTGAGGGTTGGTAAACGAAAGGCCAAGAAAAAAGATGTGGGAGCGGAGAAGGCATAGAAAGCCATGGGCGCTAGCAATGAGAAGGGAGATGCGAAGGGTAACGTGGAGGAAGGTGGCAAGATGGTCAGAGCGAGGTGGAGTGGAGTGACTAAGTGGGAAGGAGTTGGGTGGATCACTGGAAGAAATGAATCCATATCAAAGTGTGCATGACAAATTGCGGGTTTGGCAATTGGACTGCTCCACATCCCTTGCAAAAGCAAGAAAAACACATGAAAAAAATCAAGCTTGCTACCACTAGCTTTCGTGACGACTGGCTCAGGAGGGCCCTGCAATGAACACAGGCAGAAAGCAAAATCCTGTGGGCTAACTTATGAAATCTTAATGTTTCATGGCTTCACTCTGACAATTTGCCGCAGCAACACATTCTAATGCATTGTGATTCAGTGACACTCAGTGACAACAACTGCCTCAACAATGAGGGAGTAAAATGTCGTTGAACCATGTTGAACCATGTTGAACCCTTCCACTTCGCAACACAACTTTTGACTGCTTGGAAAGACCTTGTTCAAACACTGCACCTGCCTCGGCAATCACTTCAGAAAGTGGCAACACCTGCCGGAAGCCAAGCTCTAAGGATTCCAAGGTATGGCATTCAGAAATTCAATGTTTCAACATGTTTCAATGATTTTCAATGATTTTCAATGATTTTCAATGTATGTTTCACTTGCACCAGGTGGCATGTTAAGGTTTCGGGTTCCTTTATGTTCAGCTGGAACTACTGGTTGATGATGGGCATGAGTTATGAGCAAAATACCATGGGGAAAGGTCCAAACTTGAGTCCTTGAGAGCAGGCGTATGAACCAATCATTATGATGTTGGGAATTCTTACCAATGACATCCAATGACAATGTTGGGGCAATTTCTGCATCAACACATATCAACACCAATGATTCTTCCATAAACAATGGCTTCAATATGCTTCAATGGTGGACCGTGGGGCCAAGGTACAGCTTTGATCCCGGCACCGCTGTCAGCAATTGCTCAGGCAGAACATCTGACTTTGCCTTGTGGCCATGTCGCCGTGGGATACCGGTGACTTGGCATTCAAAGCTGGTAGATCTGGTAGCTGCTTCAAAAGAAGCCAAAAGGGCAGGCACGTTCAAATCCACATAACACATATTAATGCATCATAAATCCACAGAGCACGAGACCCTTCTCTTCAAACTATCCTTCTATCTCATCCTTCCGCATCTTGATCTCTTTTCAATTGGGCCAAGAGCTTGAGATCTGGGGACTGGTCCCAGGATGTCCCACTGCCCAGTTTCAGACACGTGACTACGGCACCTGAGTAGCGTGACTCAGATGCGCTCATCGTCGCGTTCAATTTCTGCAGCACTTCAGCCGGCAGAGTCTCCTGTCAAGCTGGTCTTGAAACAAATTGGAATATCTGTGCAGCTCTGACGACTTGGTCAACCATCATCATCATCATCATCATCATCATCACAACCTGCATAACCCATCCCGCCAAAGCCGGATCCTGCTGTTGAACCTTTGGCAATAATTCTTTGGCCAGGTCACAGACCTCAACAGTCAGAGGCCGTCTCTGACTTAGTCACTGTCAGAGCTCAACATGTTTCAAACCATCAAAGTGAGTAGGTTTGTCTGTTAATTCCAAGATCAAAATTTATCCTGATGTAACTTAATTAATGTATCGGAATATATCTGATGTATGATGGATCGTTAGATCAAATCACTCAGTCATGAGTCAGCGGCATCCATCAGATGGCACTGAATGGCACTTCCAAGGAGCTGCCGCAAAGGTCTCTGCCGCCTGCTGCATCAACGCCTTGCGTTATGCGAAGAGATCTTCGAGCGAGAAAAAAAACAGGTGTTGAATGGTGTTGGCATGTTTTGGCGGCTACATCCATCAAAGTCAGTTCCATTCTACTTGCAAAATCTTGCAATTTTGAAGGGTGAGAAAGCATAGGTCCAGGTGTTCTAGGCCAAAGTATGCTACAACAATCTACAAGAGATGTGGTCTATGCCAGAGGCTGGTCCTGCAATGCGGCCTACAGTGACAACCCCAACACCTTGATGTCAAGGTTGAACTACAGTAAGTTGAATTCTTGAAAGAGTGTTCCCATTATATCCCATTATATCCCTATTGTTTTTGGACAATGCCCCCATTTCTGTTGGTCAAAATCAAATCATTTTGCCATCCAGGATCCACATGTCGCTTCTGTTGGAAAGCATCCAGCGTCTCCACACACTTGCGCCGGTATTCCTCCTGCTGAGTCAAAACAAGGGCTGTAGGGTCTCTTCTTCTCTTTCCAAGATTCTGAATCATGAGAAACTGCCATATCTGCCATGAATGATCGGGCAGCCCTGCCTAGGCATTGGAACTGAATGGATCGGGTGTACTCATAGCCAGTTTGCGCGCTAATTCCAGGATCGCTCCAGATTTCCAGGACCATGTTGTCGAACCTGCTTAAGGGCTTGCTGGGAGGCTGGCCCTCAACGTCAACTTGTTCAGCTTTGCACCAAGACACTCCTGACCGAAGCCTGTCTCCAACATCACACCGGGGTTCTGCGGCTTGTAGTACATGGTCATGTTACATGTCCACCTCAGAATATTGTCAAACAACTACGAAAAACTATGAACCACATGTGGTTGAAGCTATATGTTACTTTGATACGGATTGAACAATAGTGGTGGTGGTGTGGTGGCGCACCAAGAATGTGAAAACTGCGCTATTAGCCCGAGTCCCGCGCATGTTCATGCGTCTGTTGCCATTCCTCGGTTCTTCCATTGTTTCAACTGTTTCAAGTAAAATTAGTGCCGTTGACTCCTTGCAGCTCCTTTATATAATCTCTTGCTTGGTTCCCATCCGATGACAGATCTGTAATTCTTGCTGGTCAAGCTTCACATTGTATCCCGGCAGCCATGGCCCATCAACCCCCTTCGTCCATGGCCATGGGCATGTGACCGTAAACCTCGAGCCACTGTCCCAGCCACTGGCCACCCAGAACGCTCACAGCTGAGGCAGGCTGAGGCACTGGCATGTCCTCAATGACGTTGCCATGCCGTGTCATGTTGAATTGGGTGCAGCCGCAGCCGTTACATTGCGTAATGTCGTGGAAGGCCAATTCATACCAAACTCCGACCTTGAACTGCACAGGGTGTCTCATTATATGATGCAAGATGCAAGCCGCACACCAAAACTATCATGGTATGACATGCGTGCAAGTCGAGAATGCTTTAGTTGGCTCATACAAGAACACATGCAGGATCATGCAGGATCATAGTGTATCACACTATACTATCTGCAGAGCCTGTTCAAGCAGCGAGGGATCCTAATAATTTTGACAAGGAGCGTACTTGTCGACATCAAATGCTGGCATCGAATAGCTTTTTAGCTCCTCGTATTCTGGACATTGTAGGGTACCTTTCCTCATTTGACAAGGCTCAGGAAGGAATGCAAGACATATTTGCGAAGGATTGGATCCTGAAATTAAAACCAAATCAGCACATACACTGGCGTGTGGCTGAGGGTCGGTGTCTCCAGCAAGTAGTACCAAGGCAGACCACCCCTGGGATCAAGTGGATTCTCCACGAGTGGCGTTCCCTTCCTTGACAAGGGCTTCTTCTGCATTGCAGCGATGGTCAAAGATCCAATCATCGAATCAGAAAAGGTCTCCAGATACGATCGGTTCACCAAGGGGGCGGCACTCACCGCAGTCACCAGCAAATCGCCATTCACCGTTAAGCATGAAGCTGAGACCAACGATCCACTGATCGCTGCAGAGATTCCAAAGTAGATTTTCTGCAGTCTCAACTGGCCATAGCGGCCATCTTTGGGCCCAAGGCCATAGAGCCCAGCATTGGACCTGGGTCTCTGCATTTGGAGGGACCGCAAAGGGAATGGGGATTTACAGCCCTGTAAAGGGTGTGTGGTAGAAGGGCTCTTGAAGTGACCATTTTTCATTTCTCCTTTTCATGTTTTCTTGACTTCATTTGAATGTGTTCCCCAATTCCGGCAAATTTTGCCAAGCAGCATGGTTACCCTCTGGTAACATAACTATGGTAAATGGTTCATCTGCACCTAGCTGAACTCTTTCCAGGACGGGAAGATGATCAGATTGCACCAGGCACTCTTGGTGAACCTTGGACAACTCCTTGGCTTTGCCTCAAGAATTGCAGGGGGACCGGAGATGACTCCCCGTGGTACATTGCCTTTTCAGTGCGGCCCCTAAAGAAGCAGGCTCAGAACGGAGGCTGACTTGGTCCATGCTGGCACCGAGCTGCTAGACTTCTGGTCCAAATGTTGCTTAATCTGCACATCAAAGTTCACGTCATTGGCCCCTTTTTGAAGCCATGCATCAGCCCAATGGCCCACTGGCCCAAGGGGGTCAGATACGGTTGAGTGCTCGCAAACACGCACGGTCCACGCACCTCCAAATATGTCCAAAATTGTCCAAACCACGTTCAGAAGCAAGGGTGAAAAATGCTTGCGAGAGTACGCAAAAGTTCCAATCTCATCAAAATTTGAGTAGAACTGGAAACGCAGAATTCAGCAAGGCTCATTGGCCTTGGAGCCCGACTTTAGAGCTCCATTCTCACCTGCAAATGTGAGGTTATCTCCGATTCCGTGGCCAAGAGAAATTTGCTCAACTTGTTCTCTTTGGGCTTGGCTGCCTTTGCATCCTTTGGTTTCTCCTTGGCGTCCTTGGCGTCCTTGGCTGGCTCGGGATCTTTGGCTTCTGCCTTCAGCGACTTAACTTCCTTGGTATCCTTGGTTGCCTCAGGCTTTGTGTGCTTGCCCGGTTCTGCCATGAGCAACCAGGAGGCGATCTTGTTCTGGATGGCCTTCTTGGCTTCAATCACCATCCCTGGCACGGTCCGGGGCCGCTCATACGGCCACTTCACATTTAACCCTTGAAAAAACCGAAGTCATCCGTAGCAACCTCACCAAAGGCTCAACTATCTGGGTTTCTCATACGTATTACAAACAGGGCCGGGTTCTTCCTGGAGGGTTCCCACCTGGCATTCCAGGCCCTACCGCATTCATCCACTCACAGTGCGAGGCACCCTTCACGAAGATCGCGTCCACCGTTGGATCTTCACCCACCAGGGTGGACAGCCAGTGCCAGGGGTCCACCTTGGTCATCATTGGTCATCTTGGTCGATGCTGTTGGTTTATTTTTATAGATATTTTAAGTGTTAACATGTGTTGACATATTCATTTCTATAAGGATATAATTATACATTCACGAGCTTACTTTCATGGTGGCAGTATTCGTCTGGTTTCGTACTATCTTAACAACCCACCTAACAGCCAGCCAATTTCTGGATGATTGAGGGTGTTTTTATCAACAAGTATCCCACCTCGCCATTGACAAACACCGTGTAGGTGGCACCTGGATATGCTGCTCCACCGTAGAACTCATTGGTCTTGTCTATGTTGTGCAGGACATCCCCTGGCGACATATCGAAGAATAGTCTGCAGCGTTCCAGGTACCAATGGATGGTATTGTAGCCCTGGGCGTATGGACAGTTGCTGCCAGTTTCGCAGGTTTTAAAGCCTCCAAACTCATTGCACTGTTGGTAAAAATACAGGCGCTCAAGTTGCGGCCACGCTCTCGGATCTGTGCCACTGACCTTCTCGGTTCCTAGGTGGAAGGCTCAGGCATGGGGGCTCCAGAGGGTGGATGTCTCTTTGGGAGCCTAGATATCCTAGACGATCTCAAATGCTGAACCAGGTTTGGACCAATTTGGTGCTGATTTGATCTGATTTGGTTGTTTCTGTTTATATCATATATAATTATAGATACATAAAACAAAGAAGGACAGAACAAAATACATATCTGTGTTTTGTAAATGGTAAATGGACAGTATTTACCAAAAGGGTCCAACATAAGCTCGGCTTACCTGAGTCGCTCAGCTTCTCAGTGGAACGAATTCTGAACATTTAACAAAATAGAATAAATATCACATGCGCAGCCCAATAGCCTCTGGGGGGTCTGCAATATGTATTTAAAAATATTTAAAACATGGTCAGTTAGATGCGTTCAAAAAAATATGCAAAGGTATGGAAACCATAAGACTCTTTGGCAGCATGCACATACTCAAAGTATCTCACAGTTTTTGTACGAGTACCACAGAAATGGGGGTTGCAACAAAAAGTTTGTGCGGATAATTTTTAGATGAGTTTGCTGTTACATAACAATACTTTTGCGCCAAAAGCCATTGGTGCACAATAAATTGGGCGTGTACGCTAGAAGTTTTTCCGCTCGAAACGTTTGTAATAATACAGTTGACACCCTTTTACACACCAAAATTTCTTGACCAAAGATGGCGCAGCGATATAAACCAGGACCAGCAAATTTTGGAGCGGGCGGTTAAAACCAAATCATCCAAACAAGAACGTATCAACATGCATCAACCAAACAACAAACAATGTTTGGTTGAGCAAAGTCTAGGAACTGTTCATGAAATCCACAAACTCGGCGTAATTGACATTCCAGCACGCAGGCGCTGGATAACCTCTGGCTTCCTTTTCCTGAATCTGGAAGTCATGCATCAGCTGAAGGGCATCAATGGCACTCACCGTGCTTTTGGTCATGATGGAGAGGTTGCCACAGAACAACTTGATGTTGCATCTGGTATGTTCGCATCCGGGATCGTTATTCTGTGGGATGGTTGTCACAACTTCACCGAAATCATCTGCCAACAACGCAATATTGTTTTCGTCATCCAGAGGATTGTAGCCGCAGAGATTAAACTTCTTCTCTACTGCTCTCCTGAAAGGTGGCAACGAAAATGTGACAACCAAGCATACATGGCATACGTATTCATAATTCTAGAAGGATCTCAGATGTTCTTCAAATTCTAGAATCAAGATATTTATGATACAGAATATATTTTAATATACGTATACAATTGAATGTGATTTTAAAGTGTATCTTCATATATCTTCATGTTTGCTCCCTTGGTCTCCTCCCTTCTGCCCTCGTCATCATTTCTTTGAGTTCGGCATGTCCCTTACTGAAGGTGGCCAGGCACTCGGGTGAGCCACCCACCAAGGGTGCCGTAAGTGCCGAGGCCACCACATCGTTGTAGCCGACGAAGTTGGCCTGTGCCAACAACGGGGCACTGGAGGCGACCGAGGCCCCGAAGCTCTCGGGATACAGCTTCCGTGCCCAGGCGGACAAGGAGCCTGCATAGGAACCACCAAAAACCACCACCTCCGACACATTTGAGAGCTGTGCCGAAATCGAAATCCAAGCCCAGAACTGGTTCAAATCAGCCAGGGCCTGGCGGCTTGTAAGGTACTTCAAATTCTGGGTGGTGAAGTCTGGGACCCCATCAAAGTCGGCGCCACCGTAGTAACGATGCTCCACAGCTAATATGATGGCCCCAAATTCCTTGGCAAGTTGCACTATGTTGTTGCAAACATTGGTGCATGGACGTCTTCCCGATCGCCAGGGAAAATTATCTCCATCAATGTAAATGAAAGCTGGTCCTCCAGGTTTCTCGAAAGTGGCATTGGTCAAGAATCGCTGGCACCAGGTCTCTGTGTTCTGCGGATCAAAATGATCCAGCTTCTGATCGCAATACTTCTGGATCTTTGATGGATCCGAAAGATCCAATGTTGTTTCCGCTTCCCGCAATTCATTCCACAACCTTTGAACTGTTTCATGATGTCTCTGCCATGCCATGGCAGTTCCAACCATCAGGAAGCTGCAAAGCCATCGAACGCCACATACGGAGGCCATCATGGCAGCACGGTTCGTTTTGCTTCTCACTTCTTTCGCCGGGTCATGAGCCACGAGTGCAAAATGTTGTTTCTCACAGCTACACCAATGACATCTGGCCATCAAAGCTCCGGAGATTTGGGGGTTGATAAGGTGGGAATGATGGGGATCCAATCAGCCTACGCAGAGCCGAGTCTAACTTCAGAACGCCGAGCCACGCGAAAAGCATCCACTTCTCTGTTCTCAAAGTCATTTAGCTGGCGCTGGCAAATAGCTTCCACCTGCACACTTTTGGATCAATTTCAACGAAATCATCCAGCAGGCTACGTCCCTGATTGTCTTGTTGGTGGTTTCAACCCATGCCACGCAATCATCCGAATAAGAGATCCAAAGGAAATTGTCCTTTAAACAAATAGATACATAAATTAATAAATACATACATGAATAAATAAATAAACAAATAAAGAAATATGCTAATATTTAATATAATATGCACTAATGCACTAATATGTGTACACGATTGATTGTGCATGTATAGACATGTATAACTTGTGTGTGCACATACTTTAATCGTGCCTACCTCGCTTCTGAGGCGGACCCACCTCGTTTTCATCAGATCTAAAACCACCACTTGATACCGCTCCAGATTCATAATAAGGCAAAGCGCACCGGAGCCGAAGCTTATTGATTGGCGCATCACAATGAGGGTAGTGGGCAACGCTGCTTAGCCAGCATGGATTCCGACTTAGAGGTGTTCAGTCGTAATCCAACAAATGGTAGCTTCGTGGTATTAGCTTTTCAGCTCACCACATTAACCAAGTATCTGAACGAAGTGTTCCTCTCGTACTGACTTCGATAGCTCACGTTCCCTATTGGCGGGTGAATCCGACACTTTGGGACGCGGCAGCCTTCTTGAGCAGGCCCGGATACCTCAAACCAAAGCAAAACCCGGGCGGGTGTATCTACACTCTCTCTCTCTCTCTCTCTCTCTTTCTTTCCCTGGAAATAGGAAATATGTGCTTCCCTGATGGAAAACATGTCCAAGAAATGTCACATTATCATGGAATAAATAAATATCCCATCATCATGAACATATGGGAATATGTTGATGTGTTGTTCCATATCATGCGAAATTCTGAATTTCATAATGGAAACAGAATGGGCTAATGGGATATTGACAATGACTGGGGATTGAACCAATCACAAAAAAAGCAGGCGTATGAACCAATCATTATGATGTTGGGAATTCTTACCAATGACATCCAATGACAATGTTGGGGCAATTTCTGCATCAACACATATCAACACCAATGATTCTTCCATAAACAATGGCTTCAATATGCTTCAATGGTGGACCGTGGGGCCAAGGTACAGCTTTGATCCCGGCACCGCTGTCAGCAATTGCTCAGGCAGAACATCTGACTTTGCCTTGTGGCCATGTCGCCGTGGGATACCGGTGACTTGGCATTCAAAGCTGGTAGATCTGGTAGCTGCTTCAAAAGAAGCCAAAAGGGCAGGCACGTTCAAATCCACATAACACATATTAACGCATCATAAATCCACAGAGACCGAGACCCTTCTCTTCAAACTATCCTTCTATCTCATCCTTCCGCATCTTGATCTCTTTTCAATTGGGCCAAGAGCTTGAGATCTGGGGACTGGTCCCAGGATGTCCCACTGCCCAGTTTCAGACACGTGACTACGGCACCTGAGTAGCGTGACTCAGATGCGCTCATCGTCGCGTTCAATTTCTGCAGCACTTCAGCCGGCAGAGTCTCCTGTCAGGCTGGTCTTGAAACAAATTGGAATATCTGTGCAGCTCTGACGACTTGGTCAAATCATCATCATCATCATCATCATCATCACAACCTGCATAACCCATCCCGCCAAAGCCGGATCCTGCTGTTGAACCTTTGGCAATAATTCTTTGGCCAGGTCACAGACCTCAACAGTCAGAGGCCGTCTCTGACTTAGTCACTGTCAGAGCTCAACATGTTTCAAACCATCAAAGTGAGTAGGTTTGTCTGTTAATTCCAAGATCAAAATTTATCCTGATGTAACTTAATGTATCGGAATATATCTGATGTATGATGGATCGTTAGATCAAATCACTCAGTCATGAGTCAGCGGCATCCATCAGATGGCACTGAATGGCACTTCCAAGGAGCTGCCGCAAAGGTCTCTGCCGCCTGCTGCATCAACGCCTTGCGTTATGCGAAGAGATCTTCGAGCGAGAAAAAAAAACAGGTGTTGAATGGTGTTGGCATATTTTGGCGGCTACATCCATCAAAGTCAGTTCCATTCTACTTGCAAAATCTTGCAATTTTGAAGGGTGAGAAAGCATAGGTCCAGGTGTTCTAGGCCAAAGTATGCTACAACAATCTACAAGAGATGTGGTCTATGCCAGAGGCTGGTCCTGCAATGCGGCCTACAGTGACAACCCCAACACCTTGATGTCAAGGTTGAACTACAGTAAGTTGAATTCTTGAAAGAGTGTTCCCATTATATCCCATTATATCCCTATTGTTTTTGGACAATGCCCCCATTTCTGTTGGTCAAAATCAAATCATTTTGCCATCCAGGATCCACATGTCGCTTCTGTTGGAAAGCATCCAGCGTCTCCACACACTTGCGCCGGTATTCCTCCTGCTGAGTCAAAACAAGGGCTGTAGGGTCTCTTCTTCTCTTTCCAAGATTCTGAATCATGAGAAACTGCCATATCTGCCATGAATGATCAATGATAATTTGAAGGCTAAATTCACATGTTCATTGGTTAACCCATTTTGTCAGTGTCCCATTTTGCCATCGCAGATTTGTCAAGGATACCAGCTGGGGGACCTCCACTGTTGCGGCTTCCTCTATAAATATGCCAAGGCGGCTCCTCAGCAAACTGACATGGCATGAGGCCAATGGCCGGCAAACTGTGGTAGTATAGCATAGTATGCATAGCATAGTATAGATAAATATACTACACTATATATCACTATACTATCTATAGGAAACTATAGTAATCTATATCTATCAGGCCTTTTTACTCTCATGTTCCAGGCCGCTACTCACATTGGTGCCATGTTTCGCCTTATCCGGAGCTGTGCTGGTCCGTCCCAGCTGCTGATGATCTTTCTGGCATCCCCTTTGAAAACGGGACGGCACAAAGACTTTGGGCACAAAAGCTTCTTCAAAAATGAAGGCCTAGAGAAAAATCAAAAAAAAAAAACTCACTGTACTCAATCCCCCACATGATACACCGATCCCATAGCTTTGGGCAAGTATCAGCACTGTTGCGAAGGCATCCTCCACTGGAGTGCTGGGAGCTGGCTTCACATGGTCCGAGTCCAGTTTGAATCTGGAGTAATAATAGCCTGAAGATAAGAAGGACAGACTATCAGGAAAAATTGGGCAGCAAAAGCTGATTGGAACACTTTCAGGTACCAGTTGAAGGATTGGATGCCACGTGGGTCTTTCAAGTAGTGAGCACAAAGATGCTGAACTGGCACAGTCGAGTCTCAGGCTGGGACGGATGGAGGTCCACAGAAAATCATCCATGGCAGGGTACAGACCTACTTCGCCCTGGAGACGAATGCAACGCTGATTCGTGATGGGAGTACCTGGGAGTATTGAGATGACCCACTGTACCATTGATTTTCGCTTGTGCCTGTGATGCAAATTCGAACCTGTAAACACCCTCCTGTTGGCTCAAACGCTGCGGTAAGCATCAACTCTTCTATTTGGAAGTGCTTTGCATACTGAACCAGCTTCATAAATTGATATATTTTGATATCTTTTGATACATCTTGATACTTCAGGTGATACTTAACCAGCACTTTGGCCCATTTTTCGCGGAGTTTTTTGAACCTGGAGATCCCATGCGGTGAAATCCCCACTTGGGCTGCTGCTTAATGAAGCAAGGCCCACAGCTGTCAATGCGTGCCTGGCAGAGAAATCACTGAGAGCTTCCAGATAATCTGAAATCCTAGGCCGCTAGGCTTTGACAAATCTGAAATCTGGCCAGCACGACAGATACCCAATTCCAAAACGTTGTGGGGTCCATAAACCAGACCTCGGGAACGGTGCGTCTGGAGTCTCAAACACCGCTTAGCTAGCTTTAGCTGAGGATAGAAACATATAGAAACGCTACCCTGGGTTGGCTGTTGGGTAACGTTCTTTTTTCACATTGCAATTGGCACAAAGGCTTTTCAAATCGATCCTTCGCTGTGCTCTGGCTGTTTGGCATCTCACCAGCTTGGGTCCACGCCGGCCAATAAATTGCCTTTCTCATGACTGCTCCGAACCCCTCAGTTTTTAACACATGTTACTTCCAAATGTGTTTCGCGCCACAACGCCGTGCACTTTTTCAACATCTAAACTTCCAAAAGTGGTCCGATCCTGAGGTGTTTTGTACCTTTTCACTTCGAAAATCGGCTTCGCGCCACAACGGCGTGCAACTGTTCATCTCTCATCTCCCCAGATGTCTCCGCACCCGCCGCTTTAGCGAGCCTACTTTTCAACCCTCCGGAGCCACAAAACCACGAAAAAACACAGTGTTTCGCGACTCTCCTACCTTTTCGCGCACCTGCATCTTCTTTCTTCTGATCTTTTCTCTTCTGACTCTTCTCCCTGCTGACTGCTTTTTCATCTCTCCATATTGTCGGAAGTTTGATTTCTAAACTTCCTTCGATCAAATATATTTCACAAAAAAAATCATAAGATAGAGGGGGAAGACCTGAAAGTGCGAAGCACCGAAGAATGTTTGTGCCCATTTGGTTTGATTCCTTGCCACTTCTTCCGGAGGAATAGGCATAAAGAAACTACACAAAGAGCACCTCATACTAGCAAAGAGACTTGCACCTTGTTCAAACCCATAGTGCCAAAAAAAAGCATGCTATGCATACTCTGCACTTTAGCTCGTTGCTGCACCTTGCCAACCCAACACTGACGTGGGAAACTACGATGGCCAAGCATGTCCAGCCATCGTATTTATCCATCTCCTTTTTGGACACCAACAATCCCAATTGCATCGAATACCTGCGCATGATGGATGCCTCTGGGTTTTATTTCGTGTCGAGCACCTATATAGGACCGAAGCACATTTGTGCCCATTTGGTTTGCTTCGTTGCCACTTCTTCCGGGGTCGGCGGCAGGGGCGGCAGCCCTTAAATTCGGCTCCGCCGGCTCCACACGAGTGGCTTGCCCTACGAGCGTCCCAGAGCGACTAGAGCTCTATGGTGAGGCGCGCTCCAAACCGCCGACCCTCCGACGCCGGGCCCCGAAAAACACCAAAAATCCTTCAGGAGGGTGGGGGAGAGCTTTTTGGCCGGAATCCGGGTCGCTCATAAGCGTCTCCAAGAGCAAAAGGCCCCCCCCCCCGTTTGGAGGGTACCTAAAATCGGAAAAAAGTGCCGTTTTGACACATTTTTCGGACGATTTTTCGCTTTTCGAAAGTCACAAAATGCTGTAAATTACAGCATGTTTGCGTTTTAACGTCTTTTGCGGGAGCCATGCAAAAAAGCAGAAAATGCTGTAAATACCAATGCTTTTTGGACCCAAGATGCACAAAACACCGCAAATACCAGTGTTTTTGAAAGCCAAGCAAAAAAAACACTGTAAATTACAACATTTTTGGCGGGTTGATTGCAAAAACTGCTGGTATTCACAGTGTTTTTGCAATTTCAAGAAAACGTGGAAGGCACGAAACACTGTAAATAGCGGTGTTTTGGCCACTTTTGGACGCCGAAACGCTGGTATTTACGCAGTTTTTTGCCCGTGGCGGCGCCAAACCCCTGTAAATTACAGCATTTTCTTCCTTTTCTGAACCGATTTTTTGCCTTGATGAACGCAAAAAACGCTGGTATTTACGCGTTTTTCAAAAAATCGAAGATCGTGACGTGAACGAAACCCTGCAAATAACAGTGTTTTAGCCACTTTCGGGGACTAAAACTGTGGTATTTACGCGGGTTCTTGCCATCTGACAGCGCAAAATGCTGTAAATTACAACACTTTGTGCGCATTTGTGCGCTCTTTGGGTTCAATTTTTTAACTGGACGACAGCGTGACCCGAAAGACAGCTGGATGGAGGAGTGGCACAGCACGCGGGACTTGCCATCTGACAGCGCAAAATGCTGTAAATTACAGCACTTTGTGCGCATTTTTACACATACAGGGGCATTTACACAGAGAAGTCTTTACACAAAGGAGCTTTTTACACACAGAAGGGTTTACACAGAGAGGTCTTTACTCTAAGGAACTTTTGCACACAAACGTCTAGAGTCTAGGAGCCTTTACATACAGAAGCTGTTACACAAAGAAGTTTTTACACAGAGGGCTTCTTACACACAGACGCGTTTGGACACAGAAGCTTTTACACAGAGAAGCCTTCACACAGAGGAGCTTTTACACACAAAAGCATTTACCCACAGCAAGCTTTTACACACACAGGGGCTTTTACACAGAGCAGTTCTTACACAAAGGAGCTTTTTACACACAGAAGGTATTACACAAAGAAGTGCTTACTCCACTTCCTGCTTTTTGAAAAAAGAACCTGATCACTTCCTTTCGCTTTGTTCGAATACTTTCACAAAAATCGAAAGCGCAATTCTGGTTTGATCGTGCTAATCCCAGCAAAGTTTTACCACGCCCGAAGGGAAAGGCGACGTGTTGCGGTGGGACTGTGTTTGTTTCCTTGTGTTTCAAAATCTAGCGTAATTTCTTTAAATAAAGAAGATCAAAATATTGTAGACAAAAAGGAGAAAAATATTAACGTAGATATCAATAAATTTGGTAACATCGGGTAATTATTTTAATTTAACACTTCACATTCATGCAATGACTGCGGGCTGTTGCCACAGCAGGGTTCAGAATGTGAAACTTGAAGCTTGTGCAAGTTATTTCCGAAACGATCTGCTTAACTGTTTCACATAGGGGTGTATGCGATCTTGGTATTTGTCTGTTATGAAATTAATAATTGATGACTCTAAAATTAGGACAGCATGACAAAGGAGGTCAAAATCAAAAGCACTTCCTTGAGCTTCCACTGTCCTTCGTACAGTATTTGTGTTTTTTTCAGCGAATATAGATGTTGCAGTGGTTGCCCCCAGAAACACTCGATCTGCCGCACTTTTGCAGGGGCCGATTGAGCTACGTGTTGAGGGCGTGCCCGACAGCCTTCGGCTACGGACAATGCCGGCGTATTGGAAAAGGGCAGACATGCACCCCTTGAGGCAGTTGGAGCACTCAACACACTTACTTTGCTTCGCCGCTTAGCTTCAACGGCTTCAACTGCTGCCAAGAAATGCCTGGGCGACCCTCTTGTCAAGTCACTGAAGCCCGTGTCTGAAGACACCCACGGCAAAAGAACCTTGCGTCCTTGATGTAGAAACAACCTTTTTTCAGAAATCACTGTTGGATCCATTTGAAATTTATCGCGGACATATTGGCTCACCACCACGGAATCTTCTTTCTTGGGACAAAGCTCCCAATCTTTTTTCGTGCACAATGATCCCCGAAGCTACATGTTTGGCTTCGTGGGCAGGGTGGTTTTATAAGCCAAAACGTTGCAAGTTCCAGATTTGGGACAGATAGTGTATATAATATTATATATATATGTATATATCTATATCTACACACAATAATATATACGTATATGTCTTTTCACAATATATACAATAATATATATATATGTATATATATATATATATAATACAGATACATATATATATATATAAATATGTTACGCATGCATGCACTATGACATATGTATAATGTGTACAATTCGAATCCAAATGCGGGTCTTGCAACAATGCGGGTCTTGCAACAATTTGTGCAGTCTGGCAAATGTGGGAAAACGCCCAACTCACAGCCGGCTGTGACAATGTGAACGCCAATCTGAGGGCAAACAACCGGTTTGCTGAGTTTACCGAAATGATCTGAAATGGAAGGTAAAAGTCTTGAAACGGCAAGCAACGACTACAGAGCTCACATTGCATGCCTGTTGGCCGCATTGTATAAACAATTCAGCTCACAGTCACCGCCCAAGGCTCGCACTTGCCGGCGTCTGCCACATCTGAGGCACAAAACCTATAGTATCTGTGGCAAATTAGTATAGGTTTTCATGGAGCTGTGAAGGTGTTTATCTGTGGAGCTTCAGTGATTCCTCCAAGCCGTCGGCCGGTTCTTGTGTGGATCCGAAACTCAGCTTTTTATGATGTTGCTGGCCTTGAAGTGCAGCTTGGCTGGCTCAGATTCATAGACATGGACACACAAGGACAGGTCGCCTCAAACTGAAGTATGCCAACAGTGACAGGGATAAATTTCTAAGTGCGGTATCTATGAATATCGGCTCTATCATGACAGAGTGTAGCGGAATGTTCGGCTTTCCCAGGGACTTCGATCCCCGCGCTAAATCCACATTTCCCTGCTGGGCTGCCACACGGGTAACTCCTGGTACCCCAAAAAGAGATTCGGCCTTGCCCGAGGTCACTGAAATGACAATTGTCATAGAGTGGACAGGTTCCTTTCTGTATCTCTTGTTATGGGAATATCAAAAAACATGGGATATTGCCATCTCAGACTCCAGCATTGGACGTTTCGCAGCTTCACTGGGAAACCTGCCAGCAACACACCCAGCGACTTGACGCCCAGCACTCAGGTCAGCACGCATTCTGCGAACATCTGTGAACTGTGGAGGTGGACTGCAGTTTTGTCACAGGGACAGGCAATACTGCTATACCGGCTATACCAAAAAAAAACGTTACTGTCATCAGTTGCTGCAAGTTGGGGAAAATCAAGTTGGCTAGGCGAACTCACATCCGAATCTCAAGCAGTCCCACCAAACTGGCAGACCAAAGGCTTCGTGTGTCACCGACCTATCACGGGAATGGGGTAGGGATAGGAAGCGACGCAAATTCAAAGACCATGCAGGGGCTGTTGCATTCCTGCATGTTTCTGGGTGGTTCACAAAGTGCTCCGAACGCCAGTTTTTTAACACTTTGACATGCAACGAGCTCTCGCCAAAGTCCTGTGCACTTTTTGTCGACAAGGTCCGCATATCGAGGCGCGAAACCGTGGAAACACGAACCCTACTTCGGCGACACCGGAAGCCACTTTACCCGAGAAAACAAAGCCCGATAATGTTTTCACACGTGAATTCACACACTTCGGAATTCTTACCATTCCCAACTATACTTGATGATGAGTGGTTGACATGATGATGCGGTTGACATGATGGTGGGACTGCTAACCATGACCATCTTCCTCACGCGGAAGTTTTCTAACTAAATTTCCTGTGACACTTGCATAATACGCATCATATCTATCCCATCGTGTCGGGTCATGTTATATATCATGTAACTGTGTACTAGAGTATACTAGAACTTAGCAAAGATTTGACGGCATCATGCTTCACGCTGATCATGTGATGCCAGAAGTTCCTGCAGACTCCCGCGCCTCTTCTGCAGTAAGTCCCCCGTTGGTAGTGTAGTAGGTCTACCTGCCTGGCAAGAACTTCATGTGGAGCTGCCAGATTGAAGGACTGGTTTGACTGGCGGTCTTTATCTTAAGGGGCAGTGAAACCAGCACAAATTGCTGCCACTCTTGAAAAACAATGCAAGTCTTCAAGCTCTACCTGCTCATACGTATATGTTCACAGACTAATGCTTCAGTAGTTAGTTGTTCCAAACGCGCGGCAGTAGAAGGCACTAGACAGAGAATTCACACGTTGCGGGCTTTGTGCACAATGGATTGGTTTGTAAATGACGGCGACGACCAAAGCAGTGACTGTCCGTGTGACAGGAAGATTATGCACTGGACTCAATTCGGTGCACAAGTTGACCCGCGCCTTGGGTTTGCAGCTATTTTGCCTTGCCCTGCTGGCCTCAAAGACGTTCACTTTGAACCGGTTTGTCAACCTGTAGTGTCACATTGAGTTCATCACGCTTCACTCCTTCAGTAGTTGGAGCACGAGTTCAAGCACTAGTTGAAACAAAAAACATGTTACAGTAGCTGCGTAACGTCTGCATCACATTGCCTGAAGATGAAGTCTGAAAGCAAATCATTACACCGGCAAGAGCAAGAGACCCCAAACAGTGCGGGGAGTAGGAAGTCAATGTACCAAATACAAGCAACAGTAGCCATTTCTAGCTGATGTTTGTTCCACAAGGTCAACAATGTTGCGTTTGAACCTGGGGAAAATTTCCCCCAAGTCTCTGGCAATTGTCGTCAAAGCACCCAGGACGACAGAACGCCAATGGAAAGCAGCCAGAGCCGCATTGGACAACATGCCAATGATCGAATGAACTACCTGCACTCCTCCAAGATCGAACTCACTTGGGTTTTATGTAGTTGCCAAAAGACTTTCAATATCATTACGCATCTTACATGTATATTAAACATACATCCACTGAATCGTACTGCTCGATGCACATGGAGCACATAATTTGTCGGTCATTAGTCAGCAAGCCTGCAAGTTTGGGCGTCGACGGTCGAGTCACAGTTAGCCCAAGCCCACAGTGCACAGTGGGACACACTTCTGATTTCTAACGAAATGGACATCGACCTAAGCGCAACTACATCGTTCATCCAAACTGAATGTCGACCTGAGACAGAACCTGACATGGCTAAAATCTGCAATTCAGAGGCTCTATAGTTCATCCATGCATGACCGAGTTTTCCATGCATGGCCGAAGTGCGCCAAAAGGTGACCTCCGCTTTGAGCCAGCTGTGCAGGTATCATTCCGTTGCTTTCACTGCTTCTTCCTGCAGTTTTTCTCACTGCTTCTTCCACTGCACCTGTTGCCCTTTCTGGTCACATCACCCTTTCTTTCTTGTTTCTTTTGGTGACACCACCACATCCATTTTGGACCTTACGGCGACTTAGATTTAGATAGGTCCCAATAATCCCGCTGCGTGCTAGACAAATTCGCTTTATCTATCTATGTATATATATATATATGTATGTCTGTATGTATATATATATATGTCTGTATATATATATATATAGCTATATATATATATATATCTGGTGGGACTTCCCAAATATTTTTTGAGCTGACGCTCATCGACGGCTCCGCCGGACTGCTCGGCCCTTCATTTCATCGCAGTGTGGGCTTGAAAGCAATTGAATGAGGTCCTGCTTCAGAAATATATTCCTGAGGTTTTTTGGAAAATATTTGTTGGAAATAGACAGTTTTTTTGGGAGCAAGTGAGTTCCCGAAAGCTGGTCTTTCCTAAAGAACGGCTGCCAATTTCAACTTGTTGCTTCGTGGAAAGGCGCCTCTGTACAGAGACTTCTCTGTGTCAAAGCTTTTGTGTGTAAACGTGTCTCTGTGTAAAGACGTCTTTGTGTAGAAGCTTCCTTCTGTGTGTGAACGCTGCTCTGTGTGAAAGCGCGTTTGTGTAAAGATTTCTCTGTGTGTAAAAGCTTATGTGAAAAAAGTGCTGCAAGATGCACTCTCCTTCACCCCATACCTATTGTGCAACAGCACGTCGAAGAAGCCGCACGTGCGCCTCACAAACATCAAAGTATCTAGGTTAGGGTGTTGTGCTGCTGTCGTCAAGATTTGGACACCCCAAGTCTCCGAGAAACATCTTGTTCTTGCCGCGTGGCTTTTTTGTCTTCCGCAAACTGAGCTTTGTCATTTGTGTCTTTGGCGTTTGGCCGGCTTGGCCCCGGTTGCGGTCAAGGCATCTTTGGCCTCCAGACGCGGCACCTGCTTCTCTGCGGAAACCCTTTTTCGGCATGTCTTGGTAACACAATGGTGGCAAGTCCAAACCAGCAACCGTTTGGCGTGATACTTCGCATTCTCGGGCCGAGTCGTTCCACATCCTTCAGCGCAGGGAGGATACGCACAATCGTGACACCAGGTTCCTGCCGTTGCATGCTTTGGCAACGGCTTGCTGCATTGGCAACACCTTACGTCTCTTTCTGTCTTTGGCTTTTCACGTTTCTGTTTGGCACTTGCGAATCCACTCACTCTTGCAGATTTTGGCTTGCAGCGTTTGCATCGCAGCATCCGCAATTCTTTCGATGCCCTCTTCTTGCGCACCTCCTCCGGATCGAACTCCTGCAACAATCGCTGCCGTTCACCAGGCCTTCCAGCGTCACAAACTCTGCAAGCCAATCGCACTGTTAGCAAGCATTTGCCGCAAAAGCCCAATTTGGAATTTGTCATTTCCGCACACCAACCGCAAGGAGATGCGGTCACTTCTTGTGGTGCAGCCTGTGCCGCAGCGCATTCCTTGCACATTCTGTCCATTCCGTCTTCCAACAACTGCCTGGGGTTGTCCAGGTGCGCAGTGTCAAAGTCCGCCCAAGGCTTCCAGACCTCAAGTCCGTCGTTATTGAGGGTGCATAAGCGACAGGCCAACAGTATGTCCTTCGTTCGCTGCCGCTTTGGTTTCTCCATAGCGAAGCTTTTTTTTGCTTCAGCGAGATCTGTGGCCTGCCTGTGCACATCCAGGAGTAACCTGGGCCCGAGCAAATCACCCTGCGCAAAAACGTTCGGCGAAAATGCCTGTGTCACGCATACGTCTTCACACTTCTTCACGCGTGACAAACACATGTAGCCACTCAATTGCGCATCGCGATTTGAAGGTGCATTCCATGCTTCTAAGTCCAGTGTGCATGCCTTTAATGTTGAGCCCATGAAAGAGTGTGCAGTCCCTGCGTAGTCGCAGGCAATTGGAAACCCTCGGCGAGCAATGGTCGCAAGTCCTTGGGGGTCCACCTTCCAATGTTGCAGAATGGGACGAACACGTATGACCCCAACCTCAGCATCCAGCTCTTCTTGCCATGTTGCGCCTTCTATCTTCAAAAAGAGACAGGCTGGCATTTTTTCAAGCACCAATTCCATGCCTGTCGAGTCTCGGATGCGCTCCAAATCATGTTCATCTAAACTCCATCCTAGCAAGGTGGCCCTTGTGTTCTTGTAAATTTTGAAGCGCCGAAGTTCTGGCAATGTCTGCGTCACGCGCACCGGCATACCTGGCAAGAGCGGCAACAGCCCCATGATCCCGCCAGTGTCCTGATCGTGCCTTCTCAACCATGACTCTTTCCCTGCGGTGCTTGCGGTCGGATCACCATGCTCCCCTGTAAACAAAGGCATATCCTGTGCAACAACCCAAAGTAGAAGGTGTTTTCTGTGCCGGGCAACAAACTTGGCACGGAGCTGCGCCGCAATGTACTTGGCTGCATTCAGTGCATGAATGAACGGCCCGGCCAAGAACTTCATGTCTTTGGGGTCAGGCGACAAAAGGCTTGTCCCTGCCACTATGCATCGACGCCGACGTTCGGCCTGACATTGCGCGCACTCGTCTTGTTGACGAAGTGCACATGCTCGCACCACACGGTTTTTGGCTTCAACGGCCCACTTTTGGTAGAGTGCTTCGCACTCTGCACGTTGGCAACTGCACTTCCCCGTGCTTGGGTTCCAGGAACCTGCGTGCAGGGTTGGATATCCATGAAGGAAAGACCACACTTCCTGGGATTGTCTGCCGTGTCGGGCTTCCTGCAACACAAAGCTTAGCCAAGGATCCACGCATCGCTGCTCTTTTGTGAGTTCAAACAGATGCGCCATGTTTTCCACTGAATGTGTCCAAAGAAAACGTTGCATCGCAGCAACCCCAAAACTGCGTGTTTTGGCCCATGGATTGTGGAAGACGGACGTGGCGCGCACTGCAGGAAATTGCCAGAAATCGCCCGCCAGGACCAAGTTGCAGCCGCCGAACATGCGAGGTTCCTTTGGCTTTCGCAGTTTCCATGTGCGCTTGTCACGCGCGGCCACCGTCATTTGCTTTTCTAATGCCACCAACACTTCTAAAGGCACTGTACTGGTTTCATCGACCACGACCCAACGGATGCGCTGATACTTTGTGAACTTGTCTGGCCCAAATTTGCTGGGTGCTGCACGGCCATCCCCCTTGATGCCAAGATTTGCGAACGAATGAACCGTAATCCCATCTATCAAAGCCGCCTGTGTGTTTTGGGGCGCTAAGAACACAAACTCCTTCTCATGCACCCAGTCACATACATCCTCGAAAAAGGCTCGTAATCCCTTCCTCCTAATACTAAACCCCCCCCCTAATACAAAACACGGCAGGTAGTTTTTAGTATTAGGGGGGTATTTATTATTAGGGAACCAAATCGAAGTCATGTTAATTAATTAATTAATTAATTAAATTTCCTTATATAACGCAATTAAAATATTGCCAAAAATGGCAGTTCGAAGCTTACCCCTAATACTAAATTAAAACCCTTAATGCTAAAAACTATTTTTTCCGATCTCAAAATCAATTAAATTTCCTTATATAACGCAATTAAAATATTGCCAAAAATGGCAGTTCGAAGCTTACCCCTAATACTAAATTAAAACCCTTAATACTAAAAACTATTTTTTCCGATCTCAAAATCAATTAAATTTCCTTATATAACGCAATTAAAATATTGCCAAAAATGGCAGTTCGAAGCTTACCCCTAATACTAAATTAAAACCCTTAATACTAAAAACTATTTTTTCCGATCTCAAAATCAATTAAATTTCTTATATAACGCAATTAAAATATTGCCAAAAATGGCAGTTCGAAGCTTACCCCTAATACTAAATTAAAACCCTTAATACTAAAAACTATTTTTTCCGATCTCAAAATCAATTAAATTTCCTTATATAGCGCAATTAAAATATTGCCAAAAATGGCAGTTAGAAGCTTACCCCTAATTGCTAGAGTAGCTAGGCAGCTTGGAGTGAGGGATTGGGACTAGGCCCCCCTAATACTAAACACCCCGGGGTGAACTAGTTTTTAGTATTAGGGGGGAGAACCCACAAATGGTAGGTTGATTTTTAAATTGTTTTTTAAAGGGGATCAATTAAAAGTCAAATTGGCCAAACTGAAATTTTCGGAAATTGGAGATGGATGCCTGTTTTTAGTATTAGGGGGACGTTTAATATTAGGAGGAAGGGATTACCCACTTTAAGGTCTGGGATTTGCCCGCTCCTGGCACTCCATGCAGAAAACACCGTTCGGGCTCGCTTCGAAAGTCTGGGTCCTTTTCTTCTTCATCCGCTTCTTGCAAGCATCTATGGATCACGGCGGTCAGAAATGCAAGTTGTTCGTCGCTTGGCAGCAAACCACTTTGGCCTGCTTGCAAGCGGGCTACCCATGCTTCTGCAGCCTGCGCAGTTAATTTTCCATAACTGAAAATCACTGGCGGTTGGCTTTCACCGTCTCCTTTCCAATTCCGGGTTTCTTGTGGTTCTTGGCCTGTTCGTCCGGTGTCCACCATTGCCCCTGTCTTCGCCACAGAAAGCCCATCGCTCTCCAAACCCTCCGCATTGTGCGACCAATGCTGGACAATGTTTTTAACAGCTGCTCCCACTCGGGTGGTGTGCTGCGCGCCTTCTGCCTGCGTGATCTGATTGATGATGTCCAATGTTACCCAGCTTGTATCCACCTCCTTTTCTGCACCTTTATGTTTGCAGCCTTCTTCGTCAATGTCATCTATGTCAGTGTCCAACGCTGCAAGAAAATTGCGAATTGTGCCCGTAGCATGCTCAGAAACAATGTGGTTCCGAACGTAATCTTCCCAAGCCATGGCATGGCTGCGTTTTCCAACGCTAGTCTTGCCAGAGTACCGCTTTGTTGCGGGCATGTTGGACAGTTGCTCTGAAATGGAACGGTCCAAGGCGCAAATATGCGGAACACGCGTGCTCGCGTGCCTCAGGTCCAAAACCCACGGGCGTAGGTAAACGTTCAACATCAAAGCCTTCTCCTCTGCCGAGGTTTCTGGGCGAGGCAAAGGACAACTGCACGGGCCAGGCACTGCCGGTGTGGCTCTGCGTTTGAAATAATGCGTGCTCCACATTCTGCCAAGCCCTAATGCTTTCGGAATGCGAACAACGTCCAAAGCTGTTTTCTGGGGCAAGGTTGTCTTCCACCGATAGGCTCGCCCATGATGCCAGCCGGCGATTCTTGCCTTCTGCTCTTCTGGGCCGGCCCACTCGGTGAGTGAATCTTCACTGTGACTAGGCGGCTCTACCTTCCACAAGGTCCAAAGTTTCACAAATTCCCACGGGGACAAGTAAAGTACTCGTGCATCACTGCCTCGCCAACCATAGAGATCCAAAGTCGTGTACTTTCGCCGTTGACGAGCTTGCACATCCACTGTGGGTTCAGCACCCATTGGTCGCAACAACCACAGCAATTCCAAGCCCCGAAAAGGCTGCACCTGGAAGCTTCATATGCTCTCTGCAGCAGTGGGGTCATTGGCGTCTGCAAACCCAGCTAGCATAAATTCTTCGGTCAAAGGCCGCACCGAACACCGGAACTCCAGGTCCCCAAGCACACGATTCACCACGGTCTCGTGCTGTTTGATGCCTTTGTCCAGTTGCGCCGTTTTGCTCTCCAAAAAAACCAGCTGCTTTGCCGCCTCCTGCAATTCCTTTTTTCCCAGCGGCTGTGGTTTTTGCAAATAGCCAGTGAAATATTTGGTTGCCCGTCGGGCGGCCAGGTCCATGACATGCGTCAGGTGCGCAACGGTGTATTTCTCCAAGCACTTCCGTTTGCACTCTTCGTCGTGCGTGCTCTTGCACAAAGGAACCCGGAAATTGGGGGCAGTGTGACTGTTGCCCATGAGCATCAAGGAAAAAGCAGGGGCAGTCCCAGACAACCACTCATTGTGCCGCTGCCCCAATACGGCCCCAAGCGCGTTCCGACGACCGCGCGTGCTCACCCCATATTTGCGTGCGTTTCCACGGCAAATAACTCTCGGCATCAAGTTCAGCTTCTTCGGGAAATTGTGCTTGCATTTTTTGGGCGACCCTTTCTTGTGACACGCCGGCAAAAGCTTCCGTTCTTTCCGTTCCTTATCCCACGGGTGGACGTGATGCTGGTAATGCAACATCTTTTCTTGCACTGCCGCTTTGTAGGCGTTCTTGTATGCAGCGGCTTCTTTCATTGCAGCGGCTTCGGTCATGCTCGCATCCACCCAAGGGCTTGCACCATGGTCGTTTGCCAGGAACTGCGGCCACAGGGACAGCTGATTCTTTGCCTCTTCTTGGTAGTTCCCGGCCCAGGATCTTTCAACGGCTGCTTCGTCCAGCTCCTGCTTTGCTTTGTCAAAATAGACCTCATTGTGCACCCACTGCTGAAACTGGAAGATCTTCTCTTTGGTCATCAATTGCTGTTCCACTTGTTCAGCTAACACTTTCAAGGGCTGCTGCCAGACTGTTGCAATGTAAACATGTCCGTGAAAGTGGGGTGCTGAATTACTTTGGTACTCGATTGCTCCACAGATGCCCTTGACCAGACCGAGCACACCGCCGCCAACGTGGAAACCTTGCCCCCATTTGTCATTACAAGCACAGTGCGGGCACTCCGGGCACAACCTTATTCCAAGCAGTTCTCCGAATACGAAACGTATCATGCATTGAAATGCCAGCACAGTCGCCCACGGATCGCGTGCAGTCAGCGCCCTTCGCACCTCGTAGTCTGGTAGGTCAATGTCTGCAAGCTCATCTTTGTTCCAGAGAGGCGGCTTGTCTCTCGCGAACCAAGGTCCGCGCATCTCCTGCGCAGCGGGGTCCCGGGCTCGATACCTTGAAAATCTCATGCACAGACCGTTATGCCGAGTAGTTGGAGATACAGTGACAAACAGAGGCTCGCCCAGCTCAACACGAGCCCCGAACAAATACCTTCCAATTTGCTTGCGTACTTCCACTGTTCCCGGCATTGTCTGTTGCCTATTGCGCACAGCAATGAGGATCTCTCTTTCTGGCTTTGTAAGACCTTCGGCATACCAGAGCTTTCTTGTATCGTAGTCTATTGGTTTCAGCTGCTTGCCGGTTCGATACTTCCCTTTTCGCAGCCTTTCGTACAAGCGTTCGGCTGCTCTGACCCATGTGCTTGCGGGAATTTCTGCCACTTGCTCTTTCTTGTTCCTCCAGGTTCTCCAGAGTTTTGCGTTCCAGACCGAATGCCACTTCATGGTGATGCGTCGTACGCCCGGCACCAAATCCCAAGAATTCCGGATGGAACTTTCCACTCTTCGGGCAAGGGCGCGCAAGTGCGCAATAGGTGTTAGCCGAGCAGCTTCCTCTTTTCGCCGGTCTCTCGGCCGGGAAGGAAAGTCAGGGCCTCCAACAGGCAATGGCAGGCTGAAGGGGTAAGCCCAGCTCAGAAACCGACTTTGCCATTGGTCCCAAAATGTATTGCCAGTGACCACTGACAACTCTTTTGCTACGTTCCCCAGTCTTGTCACCTCCATGGTTTCGCGATGCGCAAGCTGTCCACTGGTGTAGTCTTCTGACAAAATCTCTGGGCGAAGGCTGCCCTGGTAAGCCTCTCCGTCCATTGTCTGCAGGCTCGCCGCTGCGGGCGTGGCATGCTTCTGATGCGGGGTTGGATTCCCTTTCTTGGCCTTTTCCTCCAGGAATTGTTGAACGTTTGCCGGTGTCATTTCAACGTCCCCATATCTTGCAGCAACCTTCTCCTTGAATTCTTGACGTAGAGTTGCTTTGTCCCGGCCTCTGCACATGGGATGTCCGATATCCAAGAGGTGCTCCAACAACTTCAAGACCACCCAGGGTCGTATTTTTGCACCGGCGACCCAGTCAACAATTTCACTGTGCTTCATTCCTTTCACCGTGAATTTCTCCATGCGGCTGAGAGCTTCTGGTGGATGAGGCAATTTGTCCAACAGATCCGCTGCATTGGCACTCTGTAAGTTCCCATATATTTCTTCCCAAGGCATACTGAATGAGCTTATATTGCCCCTTGCGGCAGCTCGAACTTCTCCGCGGTGCAATTCTTCTTCCATCAAGTGACCGCGGTCGCCCTCAATGTAAAAAATGACGATTGATGTCCAAACAGGTGAGGCCGCTGCCGCTTCGATCCACCGGACCTTTTCTTGATACAAGAAGTTCCAAGGGTAGCCGTACCAGTTGTCGTTCGCTAGTGCCTCTGGCACTCTTGGATCCTGATAATGCCTCATGCCGTCCCAACATTTGCGACAAAGAGGAATTTGACAGTCTTCGCACAACTGGCCATCTAGGCCTTGACAGGTGTCGCATCGTATGTCTTCTGGGCAGCACAAGACTCGCTGCCCTGCGAATACATTACCAGGTAGCTTACGTTCCCACTCCTGCCCATGGGCCCTTCCTTGCCACTGATACCTGTGCTCAAATTCCTCTGCATTCCAGTTTGCGTCCAAACTTCGCTTTGTCAGGCTGCCAAAAAGCAACTTAACGGACACATAGCCACAGTTTGCTCTTGTGCCGGTGCTGTGAATACCGGCGCAGCATGCGCAAATCAATGCTGCGCACTCGTGCTCCTGTAAGCCGCCGCGCAAGCGACGCAAGGTTCGTCGATCAACGGACCAGCCGAGTGCTGGCACATTCCGCTCCTCTTGCAGCACTAACGCGCGCTTGTAGGCGCACCATCCGACCTCGGGCGTTGTGTCAGCACCGTGCACGGCTAAAGTTTCCCTGTGCTCTGCCCAAAGATGCGCCCAAAGACACTGTTTACTGTCACCACAGCAAGCACCCGTAGATCGTTTCCACATTGACCCATGAACTGCCCAGGCTCCAGGGTTTGCGTGCCATGAAACACAAGGCTCCGCATCACTGTTCCAATGGCAACCCGCGAATGCGCAATGTGCTGCAGGGTATGCCACTCCTGCCATTGGGTCACACGACTGTGCGGACCAACCTTGCAATGGCTTCGGATGCATCGGAGACTCCTGCAGCAGCACACGAATGGCCCTGCACCTGTCTTCCATGTCATCCTCGGGTGTCAGGATGTGTCTCCCTTCGGCAGCGCGTATGTCACCTATGTCCAAGCCTTGGATGCTTTCAATCTCCGATTCCGTCGACATTGTGCTGCCATCTTGCCCTTCAACGTCCTCTGGTTTTTCATTCTGCCTCTTGCAGCTGGCTTGTGATGACTCATCTGACCATACGGTGCTGTCACGTTCCTGTTGCATGGCAGGTCTGTGTTTGAGAACTTGTCGAACGGCTCGGCCGCCGCCTTCCCGCCACAACTTCTCCCAGCCCAGCATCAACAACTCCAACCCGTCGCAAACTGAAGTCTTCACAACATCATAATGCCCTGTGCAACCCAGGCCTTGGTACACCAGTTCCATTACGTTGGTGTGCTTTGCAAGGACATCTTTGACTTCTTCGCTGGAAATGGCTTTTAGGGTGCTGACCCGAAAGTTTTCGCCTGCTTGTGTGCCCCACATGATTGCTTCAAACGAAAAAATTCGGCATAAGGCCCAAAGTTCCACCACAGAACCATGATGAAAGTTGTCCAGGCCATCTTGCTTGCTCAGCACTGCTTCAATTTTACTCCACAGCACCGTCTCTGCATCAGTGACCGCTTCCAGTTTTCTGGGGAGTATGCCAGCTTTCCGGTGCAGATACTGCCGATGCATGTTGAGTTCATTGTCTGACTCAGGCACACAGGCGCTTTCCATGACTGCGGCATCTGCATCGGTCTGCCGCAGTCCGTGCCACAAGTATTCCAAAGCTCTCAAGTACAGGCCCGCGGCTCGCTGCTGATCCCACACAAAGGCGCCTTTGTCACCTTGCTGGAAGAAATAGCATACACAGTGAAACAAACAGTATCCATCACCGGGCACCGACACCACCTCCTGCACATGCTCTGCTTTTCCCTGTTTGGCTGCTTCGGCTTTCATTGCCTCTTGAACTGCCTTGCTGCCTGCCTCCAGCCACAATTTTTCCCAGCCAGAAATTGCCTGCGCCCTTCCGGTGTGACCGCGCCCCTTGATGATGTCATAATGTCCCGTACAGCCCATCGGCTGATAAAGTACTTCCATGACGTGCACATGGTTCCTCAAGACCTCTTTGGCTTGTTCGTCGGAGAGGGCTTCTAGGGTGCTTACTCTGATGTTCTCATCTTCTTTCCCACCCCAAATGATTGCTTCAAACGAAAAGATTCTGCATAAGGCCCAAAGTTCCACCACAGAACCATGATGAAAGCTGTCCAGGACATGTTGCTTGCTCAGCACTGCTTCAATTTTACTCCACAGCACCGTCTCTGCATCAGTGACCACTTCCAGTTTTCTGGGGAGTATGCCAGCTTTCCGGTGCAGATACTGCCGATGCATGTTGAGTTCATTGTCTGACTCAGGTACACAGGCGCTTTCTATGACCGCGGCATCCGCATCGGTCTGCCTAAGTCCATGCCACAAGTATTCCAAAGCTCTCAAGTACAGGCCGGCAGCTCGCTGCTGATCCCACGCAAATTCGTCCTCATCAGTCTGCCGGCAGAAAAAATTGACGCAGTGAAACAAACAGTACCCATCGCCAGGCACTGGCAGCACCTCGTGGCCAGGTCGGCTGCGCGAAGCGCTCTTGCTGCCTTCCACTCCATCCATATCGCTTTGGTTTGGATTCACAAGGTAACTAGCTGTTTGCATTCGCAAAATCCAGGGGACCAGGTCCCCTCATGCAACCGTCATGCCTTTCTTACAACCCCTTCCGTTTACCAAAACACTAAGGAACATGCACAAACAATCTTTGCAGTTTTGGATGCGCGGAGCGCTGCGTCTGCCTGCACTCCATTCATATCTTTCTGGTTTGGATGTGGTACGTGTGTTCTTTCCTCCTTCCCAAATGATTCTCTAACAGGTAACTAGTCGGTTGCTTCACAACATCAGGGGACCAGGTGTGCTCATGTCCATGCGATGACTTCTTTAAACCCCTGCTGTTTGCCAAAACACTGTGGAACATGTACAAACAATCTCTGCAGCCTTTAAGCGTGTCTGCACATGGTCACTGCTTTATTGCCAGCGCTGTTTTCCCATGGTTTTTGCGCCTTCTTCTTCTTGAAGTACTGTTCTCCCTGCGGCACCTGCCAGATATTTTTGACAGACGTCTACTGATGGCCACGTGTGATGTGCACTCCCCCAAACCAGTCCGTCAGTGAGCCACTACTTGTGTGAGACCTCCAACTGTGTCCTGCATTTGCAATTTGCCTCATCGAAGCAGCCGCTAAAATGGCCGCAAAAACGGCCGCCGACACGGCCGCTAATGACGCTGCGAAAACGGCTGCCGGGCATGGAACGTGATCTCACCATATTTCATTCCTTGCGTGGTTCTTCTAGGTGCTGCACAATCTTTTTGCAAAGGTTGCATATCCTCTCTTCCTCTTCCCCAAACAATGACTGAGCAAAAGCCTGTGCGGCACGCTTTTTGCGACTGCTTCGGCTGACGTTCACTTCCGTTTTAACAGTGCCTTTGTTGTCAAACGAATTTGTCTGGTCTACGCAGTTTTTTTCTCTTCTGTGTCGCTGATGGTGGGGTTTCAGGCGCCAACTGCGGGCAGCAGGGCTGCCAATAATTTTTCTGCAACATTCACATTACAGCTTTTGCCGGTCATTTCACGACTACGCCGGGCATGTTTCCTGGACTACCTTTTCCACCTCTTCTGGGCGGAAACCCTGGCACTTCAGAAGTTCCATTGGAGTCATAGTGTCCTTGAGGGGCGTCACCCACATGCTTTTCACATGCCTGTAGCTCATGTTCGGCACTCTTTCCTTCGCCCACCGAACACGTCCGTCCAGGGAAGTTCCCAGGTCGACCACAAAACATTCCTTGCTGGGTTTTGCGTTTCGTTCAGCCTTCTGGATTGCTTTCATGGCTCATGCAAGATTTTGGTGCGCGATGCCACTCAAAGGTCTGGACATGCGGTGCGATGTTCTCATCTTCTTTCCCACCCCAAATGATTGCTTCAAACGAAAAGATTCTGCATAAGGCCCAAAGTTCCACCACAGAACCATGATGAAAGCTGTCCAGGACATGTTGCTTGCTCAGCACTGCTTCAATTTTACTCCACAGCACCGTCTCTGCATCAGTGACTGCTTCCAGTTTTCTGGGGAATATGCCCGCTTTCCGGTGCAGATACTGCCGATGCATGTTGAGTTCATTGTCTGACTCAGGCACACAGGCGCTTTCTATGACCGCGGCATCCGCATCGGTCTGCCTAAGTCCATGCCACAAGTATTCCAAAGCTCTCAAGTACAGGCCGGCAGCTCGCTGCTGGTCCCATGCAAATTCGTCCTCATCAGTCTGCCGACAGAAAAATTTACGCGGTGAAACAAACAGTACCCATCGCCAGGCACTGGCAGCACCTCGTGGCCAGGTCGGCTGCGCGAAGCGCTCTGTCTGCCTTCCACTTCATCCATATCGCTTTGGTTTGGATGTGGTACGTGTGTCTTTTAATTCTTCACAGATGATTCTTAACTTTAACACTTAACAAGGTAACTATATAGCTGCTTGCGTTCGCAAAATCAAGGGGGCCAGGTGTCCTCATGCCTGCGTCATGCCTTTCTTACGACCCTGCCGTTTTCCAAAACACTAAGGAACATGCACAAACAATCTTTGCAGTTTTGGATGCGCGGAGCGCTGCGTCTGCCTGCACTCCATTCATATCTTTCTGGTTTGGATGTGGTACGTGTGTTCTTTCCTCCTTCCCAAATGATTCTCTAACAAGGTAACTAGTCGGTTGCTTCACAACATCAGGGGACCAGGTGTGCTCATGTCCATGCGATGACTTCTTTAAACCCCTGCTGTTTGCCAAAACACTGTGGAACATGTACAAACAATCTCTGCAGCCTTTAAGCGTGTCTGCACATGGTCACTGCTTTGTTGCCAGCGCTGCTTTCCCATGGTTCTTGCGCCTTCTTCTTCTTCTTCTTCTTCTTGAAGTACCTTTCTCCATGCGGCACCTGCCAGATATTTTTGACAAAGTCTAGCACTTGTGCATGCTAGCCGCTAAAATGGCCGCCTAAACGGCGGCCGAAACGGCCGCTGAAACGGCCGCTAATGACGCTGCGAAAACGGCTGCGGGGCATGGAACGTGATCTCACCATATTTCATTCCTTGCGTGGTTCCTCTAGGTGCTGCACAATCTTTTTGCAAAGGTTGCATATCCTCCCTTCCTCTTCCCCAAACAATGACTGAGCAAAAGCCTGTGCGGCACGCTTTTTGCGACTGCTTCGGCTGACGTTCACTTCCGTTTTAACTTTGCCTTTGGTGTCAAATGAATTTGTCCGGTCTACGCATGTTTCTTTTCTCTTCTGTGTCGCTGATGGTGGGATTTCAAGCGCCAACTGCGGGCAGCAGGGCTGCCAATAATTTTTCTGCAACATTCACATTACAGCTTTTGCCGGTCATTTCACGCACTACGCTCGGGCATGTTTCCTGGACTACCTTTTCCACCTCTTCTGGGCGGAAACCCTGGCACTTCAGAAGTTCCATTGGAGTCATAGTGTCTTTGAGGTGCGTCACCCACATGCTTTTCAAATGCTGGTGGCTCATGTTCGGCACTCTTTCCTTCGCCCACCGAACACGTCTGTCCAGGGAAGTTCCCAGGTCCACCACAAAACATTCCTTGCTGGGTTTTGCGCTTCGCTCAGCCTTCTTGATTGCTTTCATGGCTCGTGCAAGATTTTGCTGCGCGATGCCACTCAAAGGTCTGGACATGCGGCGTGCTTGTTTCGACCTAGGCTCCAGGAATTGGGATAACTTCGGTGCTGGGCATGTCTCCGGCCACTGCCATGGTTGTAGAATTAGAAGCTGGCACTTTCTGACGCCAACCACATACATTCTCTGCCGCGTGGCGGGCACCTCTCCAACCTCCAAACTATCCAGCAGTCGAAAATCCACGTAGTAGGCAAAATCCCGCAATTCGACCAAAGCACGCAAAAATCTTTGGGCCGGCGTGCGGAGCAGCTTGCTCTCCATCAATTCTGGGCCCAGCTCCAGTAGAAAGATGTCTGGGTACAGTTGCTTGATCGTATCGCAAATTTGCCCCATTGCTGGTGTTGCCTTCCCGGCTTCAACCATAGCATGGGCTGTGCAGTTTGCTGCATACACCAAGGAAATGAGTGGCGAATGCGGCAGGTCACCCTGCAGCATCCAATTCTCTCGTTCTAGTAGGTCATTGTACAGCTTTTCACATCTGGGATGCAACACTGCAAAGGCTGAACGGTGACTTGGCGCACTTTCACTTCCAAAGACATGTGCCATGTAGGGACGGAGTCTGCGAAGAGCAACTGCCGCACCATCTAAGGCAGAGCAATCAGAGCAATACAACACCATCTTGGGACCGGGAATCGGCTGACATTGGGGCACAACTACCTGCGTGTGTGCTGGATGAGGAGACTCCAAACCTGCTTCTGCAACAATTGCCGCTTTGGTTTTGGCACGTGCCCGCACCTTTGGGAGCGTCTTTACCATTGCTGCGGGGTCTCTAACTAGCCTCTGGAACCATCAGCTTGAAATTCCCAGTGTGACCATGTAGCAGCTGAAGACAGCGTAACTTCAAGAGACACATTCTCCCATGTCATCGCATCATCCACAAACCGCCTGTTTGCAACACAGGATTTTTTTTCGGGGCCGCGTAAGCGTGCATGCGGCCGCTTGCCCGTATTTCTGGCAATCTGTTTCCGCAAACTGTACATATGAACTGGGCCTCACAATTGGCGGCCCTGACTGCTTCAAAAAAAGTGGCATTGTGTGATCCGTTGTCACGCACGCTTGTGGTGCGCTGTGGCTCCACCTCTTCGCCTGGGGAAAGCTTCTTGTTGCTACATGCCTTCAAATTTTGGCGCCTTACCCCATATGTATCTAAATTCTTGGACTGATCTGTACATGCAAAACGTATGGTTTCAGAGTCTGTCTCTGCAACAAGTGCCGCGCTGTGCGATGGCATTTCCCACGACCTTGACCTAGCCTAAAGGGCCGTCAAAGTTGTGTGCTACTGAATAGCACTTTGTGTTTGCTTGGGACGATCACTGCTTCATAGTACGACTCCTGTCGACTTTTTCGTACATTCCTGAGATCCTACTTACTCCTGCAAGTTGTCCTCTAACGCACTGGGCGAAGGTGTTCCTGTCGCATCAGTGGGTGGGGATTCCAAAGTGCTTTGCGGAGAATCAGGGTATGCGCTATCACTGTTGCTTTGGTTCCAATATTCTGCCAGGATCAAGGTCCCAACTACTCCGTACACAACAAAGTGTAGGATGGTCACACCAGTGTTTGCATCATCCCAATCAGCGGGATAGTGCTCTCGACACCATGCCCCCTTACCCAGAAGCCAAACCAACATGTCGATGTCATCATTGTCCCGGTTGCACCGTTCCAGGGACCGGAGCCACTGTGTGTCAGACGCCGCGGAAGTTTGAGGTGCTACCCTGGGATCTAAGCCTGCCATTCTCCGACCGCCTGCCACCGTGCAATCGACGCAAGTTTGGAAATTCAAAATGTAAGTTTGCAAAGTTGACACTGAAGCCATGCCAGGAAGAGTCAGAAAGGTATCGTCTGCATCAACAAAGTGTTGCGCGATGTTGTTCAAAAGCTCTTTTGCTGCCATGCAAAAGTATTGGCCTGCTGCCCCCCTGCTTATTGATGCGGGCTTGGACGTGCTTGGATGTTCAGGTACACCAAGTGGCAAAGTATCGTCTACCGTCCAAAAGTCGTCCTCTGTTGCCCAAAAGGCATCTACCAATTCGATGTAATATTCAGCCAGCTGCGCGGGTAGAAATTCACGCGACACTGCCACGCAAGGCAACAAACTCAAGATGTCGACATATTTGAACACCAATGCTTCTGTGTCAATGGAAAGGATCTGCTGCAGCGGCTGCGCCCTGGTGGCTCTCGGGCAACGTGGGGAAAAGGGACACGAGCAAGAAAGTGCTGCGGCGACGACTTAACTTCAGTGGTTTTGCAGCTGCTGCTTGTTTTACTGCGCACTTGAAAGTGCACTGCAATATAACATGTCTGCATGTCTAGAAAAATCCATGCCGTTTAGGAGCCCAACATACCATGTATGGGCAAGTGTCCACAGGAACCATGAACATCATTAATTTCGAGCAAATCAAATCTTTTCCTGTCAGTCGCTAGGGTAGCACGTGCCGTCCTTTCCGCTGCAACATGTAACTCGCACTGCGTAGGTTGGGGGCACCTTCCTCGCTTGGTCAAGAAATTTGATCGCCTGCAACGATGTGATTGGGTTGCGATTGCGGTTCGTCAACAAGTGTCTGCATGAAGGGCCAATAATTTTTTTGCAAGTAAGTCTCGTGTGCAAATTGGAAACACAAGGCGGCTTGGATGGTGCGGTAGCGTACCGCCAGCACGAGCCCTGCTCCACGGCAATGCTCTGGTCCAACCAAGGCTTCCATTGCAGGATCTTGGACAACAGGCGAATACAAGTAATCTGCTTGTCCTTCTCGGAGCAGTTGTAGAAGTTGCTGAAAGGTCTCATTGCTTTGCTCCTGCGTGTTGAGTAGCTTCACCATGTCCAATGGGTTTGCTTCATTCAAACTCGCCGGCTTCTCTTGCCACCGGCTAAAACCATTGCCACGACCAAAGTAATACCCAAAGCATCCATCCATCAACGCCATGACTTTCAAGCCCAACTTTGGGTGATTCGGCGGCTCCCACCAAGGAATGTAGCTCAGACTGCTTTGCACTTTGTCCTTGGGTGCAAACCCAGGCAGGGAAAACGCCGCCAGCCGAATTGCTGCAACTTCCAGTTCGTCGCACACCAGTTGAAGCTTTTTCAGCTGGCCACTCACCATGTCCCGAAAAGAAGCGGAAAGGCAAGCGACTTGAAACACAATCCCTCCGTGCAGCAACTGCGGGACAAGCTCGCCGAATACTTCAAAGGCACGCGCACACAATGGGGTCATGGAGGACTGTTGCTGCCCAAAACACGCGTGAAAAAAGCTCTGACCACTAACACAACTGAGCAAGCCTGCGGGTGCATGCCATGCATTACACGACTGTTCCTCAGTTCGGTCCTATTGCTCGACTTCTGTGGAGACGATATTTCTCAAACAAACTTGTCGTCTGCAATGCACATGCCATTTACCTCTCTACCCAGCTACGTGCGTTGCAACGAGGCTTTTTGTTTTCTTCTCGCATCTTCATCTTCTCCCATTTACCTACGCCTCGTTTGCCTGTCACCTCCGTGTTCTCACTCTGAGCCACTGCGCCGCATCATTTTACGACACACCCTGGCAGTGACGCGGCTGCCAATTGAAATTATCTTTTGCTACTGTCCAACTTGCTTCGCAAGCGGCGTAAGGCTTGGTTACATCCGATGTTAAAATCTTTCTCCACGCAACACGCTGTGGAAACATTCCCCTTGAAATCACGCCACAAATGAAAAAGAAATCTGTCAGCAAATGAAACTGCTTTGATTCGAATGCTGCCTCTTTTTTTGGGGACTTGCTTCATAGTCCGATGCCATATCCGAGTCCACAGATTGGGTCTTCCACCAGCCAGGTGACATTTACACCCGATGGCCAGATACCCCTGCCAAGTAAAGGTAGCAATGGTTGCACAGAACTGCGTCCACTAAGGCTGCTTTGAGTGCCCGAATGGTCTAGAGACCAAGATTTTGGCGAATCAAAGCGATTGAATGTTCAGCATCAGCCAAGCGGAGTTCTAAGTCGCGAATACGACTCGCCGACTCAGCCGCTAACTCCATGAGGCGCATCATGGGGATAGTGTGAATAATCAGCACGGTTTCTTCTCGAAGAGCCAAGGGAACACCTGCTGCTACAAGACTCAGATAGTTATCAGTGGCAAAGGCCAGGTTGGTCAGGTGCTCGAAAATCTGTGCATCTGCCACGTAAAAGTGGTAAATAGCACCAGTGGAAATAACCTCGTGCCATGGTATCCAATGCCTTGCGAGGTCAATCAGCGGTCGTTCTACCGCATCTCGCAGAGATACTGAGGTAGGGTACAGAATTTCGTCGACACTGCAGTTCAAAGCATCCAATTGAAGTGGCTCCAGAATAGAGTCGATGATGGAATTAGCGACGCCAGGTTGGAATTCAAGATTGAATCGAATCTCCGAAGGCATGCGCGCCATAATCTAATTGACGTTGTAGCCACGGTGGTGACCACTGAGTAGTGCGGTGAATGAAGTCGAAAGAATCCAGTACACAAAAACCAGATAGAAATACGAAGATGCTGGCTACGACGGAGAACCAGCAAATCGGAGTGGGTGGGAGGGAAAAGAACAGGACAGCAAGCAAAATAAGAAATCCCACTTGAGCCCAAATGTTTTGGTGGAATACAAATAAGTAAGATCCCATCAAAACATTTTCGAACAAGCACGACAAACAGGCCATGCGACTTTGCGTACTTGGCTCACCATACACTCTCCCAGTAACCCGCATGTTTGCCCCCATGTTACGATGCTACATCTTCAGATGCGGCTTGCTGCAACCGGTTCAAGTCCCTGCTTCGGGAGGTGTTCCTCCGAGCCTCACCCTTTGTTTTTCGGATGGGTTGCAGCTATGAGAACTCAACTTTCCGGTTCCAATAAACTGTGGTGTCCACGCTGCTCTCATGAAACTCAAATAAGACGCACTTTCCCCCCAAAAAAATGACGCTCAAAAAAACTCATGCTGCAAGTTTTTTCCAAAACGATCTGCTTGACTGTTTCAGACAGGGGTGTGTGCGATCTTTGTTTTTGTCTGTGTTATTAACTTAATCCTTCATGACTCTAATATTAGAACTGAATGACAAAGGCGGTCAAAGTGAAAAGCACTTCCTTGAGAGTCCGCTGTCCTCCGTGCAGTCTTGATGTTCTTTCGGGCCAATGTAGGTAGTGCAGTGGTTGCCTCGAAGCTACATGTTCGGCTTCGTGGGCATGGAGGTTTTACAAGCCAAAAAGTTGCAAGTTCCAGATTCGGGACGGATACTGTATATATGTATATATCTCTATATATATATATATATACTATTACATATATATATATATATATACATATATATATATACACATAATAATATCTACGTATTTTTACAATCTTTACAATATTACATTCAAATATATATATATATACTTTACAATATTACATTCAAATATATATATATATATATATATATTTTTGCAGTTAGAAAAAAATATGTCGTTAGGTATTTATGCACGCATGCACTATGTCATATGTATACTGTGTGCAATTCGAATCCAAACGCGGGTCTCGCAACAATTTGTACAGTCTGGCAATTGTGGGAAAACGTCCCTAGTCACAGCCGATTGTGACAGTGTGAACTCCAGTCTTAGAGCAAAGAAACAGTTTTGCAGGATTTTCGCATTTAACAATCCAATCTGGGAGGATTCGGGGATTCAACGATCTAATTTGGTACCCGTCCATAGCGATACCTCCATTTTAGTGCCTGATATGATGATCCCTAGATGTAGCACTAGTGGGGGCAACAAATTGTGCTGTGATCAGGCTCATCATCGATCTACAACAAACATTATATATGTTCAAATTGGTGAGCACAAACATGCTGTATACCCCAAACATGGGGGATATAAAACCAACCATTGGGATTGTCTAAAAATGAGTCATACCCAAATGATCCCTTTCATGTACGTGGAATTCTATTGGTTAAAATCATTCGATGTACCATTGGGTGTTTTCAACCCATCGTACCTGCGCGTCCAACAAAGGCAGCCGTTGCTTTGGAACGCGAAGGCACTGGTTGACCTGACTTCTACCCCAAGAACTGCTTGTAGGCCAATCGCACGATGATTCCAGCATCCACACTTGAGCAAATGGCTTCGGCTTCCAACTGCTTCGGACACGCGCATGAATCGCAAAAAGTTTGCATGTCTGAAGGCAACTTGTTGCCAGCAAAGCTCTCCAGTCGCAACCCTTCGAAGACCCAGCTCTCTTGAACCCGAATAGTGTGGACAACCACACTGCCCTGGCGGCCTGTGGCTCGATGCATGAAAACTGCACTACTTTCCGAAGTTCCCCCCACAACCCGAGGGTAATATCAGAGTAACAGTAATCAACGGCATCGAACCGTGCATTCTGAGATTCCAAGTTGGCTTTCGCGACCACACGTTCTTTGCGTTTTCTAGACAACCCATATTATTACTTGACACTGCTCTGCCTCTTCCCTTCCTAGCGGTTTCTCTTAACATCACATTTCCAGCGGGGGGGAATGCTGCGACAACTCTCCACACTGTCTCTCGGGCCGGCCTTGGGTCCGGCGGAGCCGATACCGAGCGTCAGCTCTTAATCCGGCCAGGGGCCCCCTGGCCGTGTCCTTGCCGAAGGCGTTTCTCTCCTCTCCGTAGGAGAGAGGGGCCGCACCCCCTGCCGCCGACCTCTCCCCCCCGCCAAAAAGTCCCGCGTTTTACGGTGCTTTGTGCTCTTCCCATTTTTTCCCATTTTTCGGATCTTGTGGTTTAAGATGGGTCAACATGGGCCAACATAGGCCTCAAGATGGGCCAACATAGGCCTCAAAATGGGCCAACATAGCCCCAAGATGGGCCAACATAGCCCCAAGATGGGCCAACATAGCTCTAAGATGGGCCAACATAGCCCCAAGATGGGCCAACATAGCCCGCAGATGGGCCTACATTGCCCTCAAGATAGGCCGACATAGCCCCAAGATGGGCCCACATAGCCCCAAGATAGGCCGCCGACCAAAATATCCTGCGTTTTACAGTGTTTTTTTTGCTGTTCCCATTTTTCGGATCTTTTGGCTCAACATGAATCAACATGAGGCCAACATAGGCCAACATGGCCACAAGATGGGCCCACATTGCCCGCAAGATAGGCCAACATACGCCAACATAGGCCAACATAGCCACACAATGGGCCTACATAGTTGGGCCCCTGGCCGGCTGTCGCGCGTAAGCGCTTAAATCCGGGCGCCGGCCCCGCGCCCGTGTCCTTGCCGGAGGCCTTCGGTGGTAACCGAAGGTTATATACGGCTGCCCCCCCTGCCGCCGACCCACCTCGTACTTACCTCGTGTCGATTCCGGTTCACGATTATCGTTGTAATTTACAGTGCATTCTGCGTGTGGTGTTCAAAAAACATCGTTTTTTACAGGGTTTTGTGGCCTTCGCCGTCTCCAGGTTTCATCTTGGCGACGTTAAAAAACCATGGGTTTTTCATGGTTTTGGGTCTTAGGAAGGGGTCCGGAACGGAAAACTGGACATCTTGCCGGCCTTGGTGCCAACATAGGGCCAACATCGGCCAAGATGTGGGCTACATGGGCCGACATAAGGGCTAGATGGGTCAACATACGGCTAAGATAGGGGCAAGCCTGCGCCAACATAGGGCCAACATCGGCCAAGATGTGGGCTACATGGGCCGACATAAGGCCAAGATAGGGACTACATAGGCCAAGATAGGGCCAACATCGGCCAAGATGTGGGCTACCTGGGTCGACATTACGCCAAGATGTGGGCTACATGGGCCAACCTAGGGCCAAGACAGGGGCAAACCTGCGCCCAAATAGGGCCAACATCGGCCAACAACAACAACACCAACACCAACACCAACACCAACACCAACAACAACAACAACAACAACAACAACAACAACAACAACAACAACAACAACAACAACAACCTAGGGCCACGACAGGGGCAAACCTGCGCCCAAATAGGGCCAACATCGGCCAACAACAACAACAACAACAACAACAACAACAACAGTAACAACAACAACAAAAAAAACACGACGACCACGACAACAACAACAACAACAACGACAACAACAACAACACCAACAACAAGAACAACGACGACAACGACAACGACAACAACAAGAGCAACAACAACGACGACGACGACGCCGCCGCCGACGACGCCGCCGCCGACGACGACGACGACAACGACGACGACGTCGACGACGACGACGACGGCGACGACGACGACGACGACGATAACAACAACCACCGCTTCTTTGGTCTCGAGCTCTGTGGCTGCGTCTGTCTGTGCGTCAACATAAGGCTAAGATAGGGGCAAGCCTGCGCCAACATAGGGCCAACATCGGCCAAGATGTGGGCTACATGGGCCGACCTAAGGGGAAGATAGGGACTACATAGGCCAAGATAGGGCCAACATCGGCCAAGATGTGGGCTACCTGGGTCGACATTACGCCAAGATGTGGGCTACATGGGCCAACCTAGGGCCAAGACAGGGGCAAACCTGCGCCCAAATAGGGCCAACATCGGCCAACAACAACAACCACAACAACCACAACAACAACAACAACAACCACAACAACAACCACAACAACAACAACAACAACAACACCCGCTCGGGCTGACGGGTCTGCTTTTGCCGGCGCCCGGCTGTCAGGCGTAAGCCTCATAAATCCGGCCAGGGGCCCCCTGGCCGTGGCATTGCCGTACGGCAGTTCTCTCCTCTCCGTAGGAGAGAGGGGCCGCGCCCCCTGCCGCAGGAGAGTCGGTAGGGCTAAAAACTACCGCGTTTTACGGTGTTTTGTGCTCTTCCCACTTTTTCCCATTTTTCGGATCTTGTGGTTTAAGATGGGTCAACATGGGCCAACATAGGCCTCAAGCGGGGCCAACATAGGCCTCAAGATGGGCCAACATAGCCCCAAGCTGGGCCAACATAGCCCCAAGATGGGCCAACATAGCCCCAAGATGGGCCAACCTCGCCCCAAGATGGGCCAACATAGCCCAAAATGGGCCCACATAGCCTGAAACAGGAAGCGCAAACCACGACCGACCAACCCCAACCCACCAACTCCAAACCCAAAAGCACCAACCACCACTGACCAACCCTCACCCACCAACCCCAAAACCTTCATGCACAAACCACGCCCGACCAACCCCAACCCACCAACCCCAAAGCCCAAACCACGACTGACCTACCCCAACCCACCCATGCCATACCTGCAAGCGCAAACCCCGACCGACCAACCCCAACGCTCTCAACCCACCAACCCAAACTCTCCAGCGCAAACTACGACCGACCAACCCCAACCCACCAACTCCAAACCCAAAAGCACAAACCACCACTGACCAACCCTCACCCACCAACCCCAAACCCTCATGCACAAACCACGCCCGACCAACCCCAACCCACCAACCCCAAACCGAAATGCACACACCACCACTGACCAACCCCAACCCACCAGCCTCAAACCTTCCAGCACAACCCGCGACCAACCAACCCCAACCCACCAACCCCAAACCCAAATGCACCACCCACCACTGACCATCTCAACCCACCAACCCCAAACTCTCCAGCGCAAACTATGACCGACCAACTCCAACCCACCAACCCCGAACCCAAAAGCACAAACCACCACTGACCAACCCCAACCCACCAACCCCAAACCCTCATGCACAAACCACACCCGACCAACCCCAACCCACCAACCCCGAAGTCCAAACCACCACTGCCCTACCTCAACCCACACATGCCATACCTGCAAGCACAAACCACGACCGACCAACCCCAACGCACCGACCCCAAACCCAAAAGCAGAACCCACCACTGACCCTCTCAACCCCCCAACCCAAACTACGACCGACCAACCCCAACCCACCAACCCCAAACCCAAAAGCACACACGGCCACCGACCCACCTCCACCCACCAACCCCAAACCCTAACGCACACACCACGACCGACCAACCCCAACCCATCAACCCCACAGCACCATCCACCACTGACCTACCCCAACCCACCCCTTCTATACCTGCCGGCACCCACCACGACCGACCAACCCCAACCCACCAACTCCAAACCCACAGGCATAAACCACCACTGACCACCCCCAACCCACCCCAAAAGCACACACCACAGATGGGCCAACATAGCCCTCACCACAAACTACAACCCACCAACCCCAAACCCTGCAGCGCAAACTACAACCGACCAACCCCAACCCACCAACCCCAAACGCAACAGCACAAACCACCACTGACCAACCCCAACCCACGAACTCCAAACCTTCACGCACAAACCACGACCGACCAACCCCACCCCCCCAACCCCAAGCACAAACCACGCCCGACCAACCCCAACCCACCAACCTCACAGCACAACCCACCACTGACCGACCCCAACCGAACCTCCACGGGCTGCGGCGTACCCCGAACCCAAACGTGCCAACCACAACAACAACAACAACAACAGCAGCAACAACAACAACAACAACCACGACGGCGACGACATCAATAAGAACGACATCAACAACGACAACAACAAGAACAACAAGAACCATAACCACACCAACCCCTGCGTAGCTTCAGCCACGGGTTGCAGGCTCCGGACTCTTGCCTCCAAGGCTCTTAACACCTTCCTTCCCTGGCCTGTTGCCTTTCGCGCCGCCGAAAAAAAAAAAGGTTCTTTGGCTGCGTGTCTGGCTTCGACCACGTTCGGCGCCTTGGTGGGCCCAACCGCTGTCTGGAATTCTACCCACTCAGTGTGCACATGCTATCCGCATGCCCCGTCCCTTGGTAGCCAGAACCGGTGCAGAGAGGATATATGTTTATGTGACATATGTGTGCCTATCCTGTCTGGTATCACTCCCCGACTGTTTCTACCCAGCCGTTGGCCTAGGTCATGGCCTCTGCAGGGCTTGCACGCGCGGAAATCCTGCAGGTGGGTCGCCAGTGCGGTGCAGGGGAACATACCAGGTCATGGGCTTTGAGTCCATGTCGGGGAGGAAAAAAAAAGCAACCACAGGTGACATCATCCACAATTCTTTCTTGGACTTCTTGCTGTTATTGCATTGAAAACAGGGGTGCCCTGGCCACACTCGTGTCCTGCATGGGGCGTTCCACGAGGTCATCTTGCGGCATCGCCTGGCATGCAACCGGGCCCGGAAGCGACTGGCCACGAGCGACGCGACCGGGTGCTGCTGTGCCTGGTTGAAGTTGGATACGAAGATGGTACTCTTCACGGGCGCCACGGCTCCTGATCCCCGTGGTTGGCTTTGAAAAACAAGTGTTCCTTTTCTGAGGGGTTGACACCCGAACAGCGCTGTGTCTCACGTGGTTGCACCGGTGTGCCTTGTCTGCTCCCGTACGGGCGAGTGGCTTTCGTGATGCTGCCTGGCTCCGACGCTGTGTGTGGCCGCATCCAGTTTCAACTCAGACTGCTTCAACGCGGTGGCTGCAGAAACACCCCCGTCGCACGGCAGGTGTACTTTTTTTCCCACTGCGCAGCTTTGGCGCGTGACGTCCGTGGTCTCCATTTGGTTGGCAAGGCCGCGGCTTGAGCAACGCTCTAGCGCTTCCCTGGGCAAAGCCCTGGTTGCAGCTCGTTTGATGTTGAGCTATGGTTGATCAAACAAAACTTACGGTCGGCAAGGATGCGGGAAATACTTTCGAAACAAGCTGGAACTCAACAAAGCTACAGCACCCTGCGTGTGAGCATGCGTTCGAAACGTGCCAGACCGGATGCCGTTCCACAGAGGCTAGGTTCACTGTTCGAAGTCTGAATGCTCTCGAAGCCGCCATCCGAAGGCGGGGCCAGCGGCGTCAGGTCGGCTGGCTGCAAGGATCCGTGGCGGTCCGACTTCATGGCGTAGGCCGCACTGGATTCGTGGTTCTCCCTAGTAGTTGCTTCTGCAACAAGTGGCTGAAAAAATGGTTACCCGCGGTCCTTTCTGCCCTGTGGATGAATGGAACTATAGGAGGGAAGCTGCGTTACTGGTTTAATATGTTGGGCTATTGGATTGTCGTAGGTCGTTGATTCTGCAACAGGTGGTGGAAAAAATGGTGCAGCTTGTGTGGCATGCGTAACGTGAATCATCCGCGGCGGTCCAAATGCATGGTGTCGGCAGCACTGGCTGCGTGGATTGTCCTAGGTAGTTGATTCTGCAACAGGTGGCTGAAAAAATGGTTGCAAAGCCGCGGCGTGAGCAACGCTCTAGCACTCCCCTGGGCAACGCCCTAGTTGCAGCCGGTGGTCTGTTCGGAGCGCCGGCGGCATGGCCTTTGAACATACGGTCGGCAAGGATGCGGGAAGTGCTTTCGAAACACGCGTGACGGGTTTAATATGTTGGGCTATTGGATTGTCGTAAGTAGTTGATTCTGCAACAGGTGGCGGAAAAAATGGTTCAAAATGGTTACCCGCGGTCCTTTCTGCCTTGTGGATGAATGGAACTATAGGAGGGAAGCTGCGTTACTGGTTTAATATGTTGGGCTGATGAATGGAACTATAGGAGGGAAGCTGCGTTACTGGTTTAATAATTAAGTTGGGCTATTGGATTGTCGTAGGTAGTTGATTCTGCAACAGGTGGCGGAAAAAATGGTCCAGCTTGTGTAGCATGCGTAACGTGAATCATCCGCGGCGGTCCAAATGCATGGTGTCGGCAGCACTGGCTGCGTGGATTGTCCTAGGTAGTTGATTCTGCAACAGGTGGCTGAAAAAATGGTTGCAAAGCCGCGGCGTGAGCAACGCTCTAGCACTCCCCTGGGCAACGCCCCGGTTGCAGCCGGTGGTCTGTTCGGAGCGCCGGCGGCATGGCCTTTGAACATACGGTCGGCAAGGATGCGGGACGTGCTTTCGAATCACGCGTGACGGGTTTAATATGTTGGGCTATTGGATTGTCGTAAGTAGTTGATTCTGCAACAGGTGGCGGAAAAAATGGTTCAAAATGGTTACCCGCGGTCCTTTCTGCCTTGTGGATGAATGGAACTATAGGAGGGAAGCTGCGTTACTGGTTTAATATGTTGGGCTGATGAATGGAACTATAGGAGGGAAGCTGCGTTACTGGTTTAATATGTTGGGCTATTGGATTGTCGTAGGTAGTTGATTCTGCAACAGATGGTGGAAAAAATGGTCCAGCTTGTGTGGCATGCGTAACGTGAATCATCCGCGGCGGTCCAAATGCATGGTGTCGGCAGCACTGGCTGCGTGGATTGTCCTAGGTAGTTGATTCTGCAACAGGTGGCTGAAAAAATGGTTGCAAAGCCGCGGCGTGAGCAACGCTCTAGCACTCCCCTGGGCAACGCCCCGGTTGCAGCCGGTCGTCTGAACTATCTCCGAAGCACCCAACAAAACGCATGGCGATTCGGGATCGGTATACGAATGCTGTCGGATCAGGTGTCGGGCGGCATGGTCTCTGGGACGTCTGCCGGCAAGGTGCTTCCCACGTTGGCACGGGATACTCCTCGTCTTCTTTTCTGCGGTTGATGAGCTACAACTGTTGGACGAGAAACTGGACTAGCATCGGGTGGTTCTGGCGCGGCGGTCGGGTCTGTTGGGTGAAGCTCAGGTGCGACCGTCGCCGGCGTTGAGCAAGGCGTCGTGCTGCTGGGCCTGCTTTGCGTTTTTCTTCGTTTTGGTTGGCCACTTGAACCTGCCGGACGGGCGCTGTCCTCAGGCGGTGCCGTCGGCGGTGGCAACGGTGGCAAGGGGTCTGCTTGCTCGGCCAGTTGGATCATACGGCGTTTGGCCGCTCCACTCTCTGATAGCTGGCACGTCTGGCACGTCCACTGCGGCATGAGTTTGGCATGATATTTGTCCTGGTCTCCCCTGTTTCTGCTCGGGCGCGGTGTACCACAGCCAGCTGCACATGGCGGAAAGGCACACCCGTGGCACCAGCCGTGTGAATGCGGGCGGCCGAGCATTGGCTGTTTGCATACTGCGCACTTGGGACCACGTTCTGCACACTGTGGACACGCGGCGTCTGGTCCGCCGCCCGCGTCTTGACCCAAGGGATTGGCTTGGCACCTCGGACAGCTTTCTAGGGCACACTGTGTGCATCGCCAAAAGGGGCGATGTTTGGCATGGTACGCGTGGTCTCCGCCGGGCCTGGCCACTTGCTGACAACCTGCGCACGGTGGATACGCACAGCTCTGACACCACGTACCTAGTTTCGACATCCCTTGCACTGGTTGGCCGCACTGTGGACAGACTTTACAGGCCGGGCATAGCCACACTGGTCTGTTTTTGGCGTGGTACGCGCCTCCAGTAGGCCGCTTCACTTTTTGGCAAACTGCACACGGTGGATAGGCGCAGCTCTGACACCACGAGCCTGGCGTTGCCGCTGGTTTCAAAGGTGTGCTACACTGTGGGCAGACTTTGGCGGTCGCTGCCTCCAAGTCGGTTGCCTTCCGCCAACATGTGCGACAAATGCCGTCGTTGGCTTTGGAGTCATACTGGCGCAAGTGGGATACGCTGACGATGTTCTGACACGTGCGGCACTGCCCGGCTTTGGCTTTAGACTTGTTAGCTTGGTGCCGCTCGCACTTCATGCAGCATGCTCTTCGTAGGTCTCTATTTTTTTTTGCGGCGCAGAATTTCTGCGGGGCTGAAATCCGCCAAGGTCTTGGGTTTGAGTTTTCGACCGACGTCACAGCGGGCGCAGGCCAATCTTGCTTCCGACAGGCATTGTTACTTGCACACACTTGCTGGAATGGGTGGCGGCACTGGCTGCACAAGCGTTCCATGCCGAGACACACGATCTCCAACCAAGCATCCGGCTGCCACAAATTGTTCCTGGTGAAGTCACGCAATGGCAGGAGGCCGTGCTCGCCTTTGGCTTTCGGGGTGCATCCGCGACAAAAGAAAAGGGTCTCGGGATTGCGCTTCCGTTGCACCTGCTCCTGCTCGAACTTGCTTTTGGCGTCCGCCAGGGTCAGCGTCTGCCGATGCACTGCGAGGAACGTATCGGGGCCTATTAGTTCACCTTGGCTTAGAAGATTAGGGGAAAAGGGACGGGCTATGCAGAGGTCTTCTGCTTTTTTTACGCGGGACAGGCACATGTAGGCACTGAGCTGTGCGTCCCGGTTCGCCGCCGTGTCCCAAAATCCTAAGTCCAAACTGCAGGCAGCTAATGTGGCCCCCATAAACGAATGCGCCGTGCCAGCATAATCGCAGGCCAGCGGAAAACCTCGTCTGGCGACCGTGGCGGTGCCGTGGGCTTCGAGTTTCCAATGTTGCACCACCGGGCGAATGCAAGCGACCCCCGGTGGAAGACCTGGGCGGTGTTGCCAGGTTGCACCGGGGATGGCGACAAAGAGGCATGCCGGCATTTTTTGGAGCACAAGCTCCGGCTGCCGGCAAGTTGGGATGGCCGCAATGTCTTCCTCGGCCAGGCTCCACCCAAACAACTGTCCGCGGGTGTTCTTGAACAAGCCCCAGGGTTTGAGTTCGGGCAAGGTCTGGGTGATGCGCACGGGCATGCCCGGCAAGAGTGGCAAGAGGCCCATTATCCCTGCTGTCGCCTGGTCATGTCGCTGAAGCCATTGTTCTTTTCGGTGCTGCAGCTCTTGGGCCTCCGTGTCAGGGTCGGTGTGGAAGAGCGGCGTGTCCTGCGCCACGACCCAGAGCAAGAGATGCTGTTGCTCGGCCGCCACCCACCGGGCCCGCAGCAGTGCGGCGACGTACTTGGCAGCATTCAGTCCATGCACAAATGGTGCCTGCAAAAATTTCCTGTCTTTTGGATTGGGCCCAAAGTCGGATGCTCCGGCAACGATGCAGCGCCGCCGGCGTTCGGCCGCGCAGACATCGCATTCTGCTTGGCGCCGATCCTGCCAGGTTCTTGTATTTTTCGGATCCATCACTTCCTTGGTCCACTGCTTGGCCAAGGCATCGCAGGCCGGCTTTTTGCAAGAGCACTTGTTTGTGTGGGGGTTCCACGAGCCAGCGTGCAAGGTCGGGAAGCCGTGCAGAAACGCCCAGTGCTCTTGAGTTACAGCTCCATGTCGGGCGGCATGGAGAATTGCACTTAACCAAGGATCGACACAACGATGCTCTTGGGTGAGTTCGAACAGGTGTTGAATATTACCTCGGTCATGCGTCCACATGACTTTCTGGAGGTTCGCTACTTGAACACTTTGTCCGTGCTTGAAGGGGTTATGGAAGATGGACGTGGCTTTCACGGCAGGGAATTGCCAGCAATCGCCGGCCAGCAGAATGTTGATGCCGGCAAAGGGCCGGGGCGTGCCGGTGGTGCGGCATTTCCACGAATGCCTGGCACGGACCGCTTCTTGCAGGCGTTTTTCTAACACGGCCAGTACTTCCAGGGCTGATGTGCTGCATTCGTCGATGATAAGCCAGCGTAGATGTTGGTACTTGACGAAGTGGTCTGGTCCAAAAGCCGTCTCCTTTTTCTGCTTCTTGCCTTGCACGCGGATATCCGCGAAGGAGTGAATGGTGATTCCATCTATGAGGGCCGCTTGCGTGTTCTGCGGGGCTACGAAGGCAAATTCGTGCAAGTGCTGCCAATCACACACCGTTTCGAAAAACGTGCGAAGCCAGTGCAAGGTTTGGGATTTCCCTGCGCCCGGCACCCCATGCAAGATTGCTCGAAATGGTTCTGATCGATTCTGCTTGTCGGCCCTTTCCTCGACCGCTTCGGCGTGGCACCTTTCCACCACGGCTGTCAGAACTTGCTTTTGTTGTGGGTTGGGGGCTGGCGTCATCCCGGGCCGGTTCAAAGCTTGCAACCACGTCCGGGCTGCGTCCAACCTGAAGGTTCCGTAGTTCGTGGCCACCGGGCGTGGCGGTTGCGTTTGTTGGGCGAAGGGATCTGTGCCAGCTGCCCCGGTTGCTGGTGCTGGGCCGGGGTCTGGCAGGCCGGTCGAGAACTGCCGCGGCCCTTGGTTGCTCGTGCTTGTCGGCGTTGTTGTCCAGTCGTGCACAAGACTCTGGACGGTCTGGGCCGACCGTTTGGAGTATTGGAACCCTTCTCCGGCAGTCAGGCGTTGCACGGTCGTCATGTCAACCCAGCTTGTGTCAACTTCCCTGTCCGGCTTCCTGGCTTCGTCGACGGTTGCTTCCTCGACGTCGTCCGGCGAACACTCTGCAGCAGCCAAGAAATTTGCGATGGTGCGGGCGGCATTTGCAGACACGATGTGGTGGCGAATGTAATCTTTCCATGCCGTGTGGTGACTGCGGCACCCCACCGAAGTTTTTCCGACACACCGATGGGAAGGCTTCTTTTGGCGATCAGTGATGGGGGTGTCCAAGGCCTGAATATGTGGCACATGCAACGTGGCGTCGTCACCGGCCAAAGTCCATGGGCGGAGATAGATGTTCAGCAGGCGCGCTTGCTGGTCTTTGCTCATATCCACTTTCGGTAAGGGGCAAGACGTTGGGTATGGCACCAGTGACACCGCCCGGCGGCAGAAATAGTGGTCCGCATATGGTGCCGTGTTGGCCCGGCAGGGTAGGGGCACAATATGTTCGGAGTTGTAGCCGAGAGGTGTCTTCCAAGTGAAATCGCGCCCAAATTGCCATCCATCAGCGGGCTCCGGGCCTTCGCCGCGTCCTGGGAGCCAGGCACTGAGATCGCTGCCTTGTTTTTGCGGCGGCTGCAGACGTCGCACGTCCCAAAGTGCAGTGAATTCCCAAGGGCTTAGATATTTGAGCCGTGGATCAGAGCCGCGCCAACCATAGAGCTCGCTGGCTCCCAGTTGGACCTGTCTGTGGTGACTTGGTTTGACCCGATGTCGCACTTCTGTGTTTTTGTCGTACTGGGCCACCCATGCACTGCCGACAAAGGGAACGACGGCAAAGGAGCGAATGCATTCGGCTGACGTGGGTTCGTCGCCGTCCCAAAAACTGGCCAACATGACTTCTTCCGTCAGGGGGCGGACGGAACAGCGAAATTCCAAGTCACCGCACACTCGATGCAACACTTTCCGGTAGTGCTTGGCCTCCGCGCCTTTGGCAGGGGTAATGTCGAGATAGGACAGGTGCTTGGCGGCTTGTTGCAGCTCTTTCCGACCCAATGGCTGGGGTTTTTGCAAATATCCTGTGAAGTATTGCGTCGCTTTTTTCGCGGCGTGCTGCATCAGCCGTTGGAGGCGCTGCAAGGTGGTAGTTTCCAAGCAGTTGCGCTCGCATGCCGGGTCATGCGTTTCCGGCAATAGTGGGATGCGGAAATTGATGCCGGTATGGCTGTTGCCCATGAACATCAGGGTAAATGCATGCATCGTGCCCGACAGCCATTGGTTGTCACGTGGATTGAGGACGCAGCCAAGTGCATTTCGTCTGCCAGCCGTACTCTGACGAAATTTGCGAGCATTCCCCCGGCACACGACGCGCGCCACGTCGCAGATGGTTTTTGGAAAGCCATGCTTGCATTTGTTTGGCGCGTCCTTCTTTTGGCAAGCAGGCAGCGGCACGTGGCACTTGTGCTTGGCATCCCACGTGTGCATATGGTGTTGCTGGTGTGACAGCTTCACTTGCACCGCGGTCTGGTAGCGCTGCCGGTATTGAATAGCGTCTGTCTGGAGATCCTCTGGGTTCGCTGCGGCAGGCGGGGCACCTGAGCTCTGCGATTCCGCGGCATGGGCCGGCGATGAGCAACGCTCTACGCGGAGCGGCCTGCTGTCGGCAGACTGGGGCAGCCACGGCGAAGGCGTGGTGTCTGTGGCAACGAAGGCCGGCCAAAGGCATAACTGGTCATGCTCCGTCCCAGGGAAGTTTTGCATCCATTTTTTTTCTAAGGCTGGAAAGAGGGCTTCATGCTGTTCGAGGTTGAAGTGGCTTTCATTGTGCAGCCAGGCTTGGTACCGAAACAGTTCCTCCAAGGTAACGGCCTTAGCTTGTATTTTTTGGGCTAATTTTTTTAGAGGCTGTTGCCACACCGTGGCGACGTACACATTTGCATGAAAATGGGGGTTGCTGTTTTTTTGATACTCTATGGCTCCGCAGAAGCCGAGCACCAGGCCAAGGATGCCTCCCATCGGGTGTGTCGACTGTCCGAGGGCATCGCGACAGCTGCAATTGAGGCAGCGGAAGCACATGCGGATACCGAGAAGCTCCGCAAACACAAAACGAACCATGCATTGGAAGGCTATGTCGACGGCCCAGGGATCTCGAACGGTAGTCTGCCGGCGCGTCTCGTACTCAGGAACTGGCACAATCACCTCGGCCTCTTCCCACACGCGTGGCATGTGCTTTCCAGAAAGCGGCCCCGCACCCGGGTCGTGCTGTCGGTACCGCGAGAGTCGCAAGCATAAGGCATTGTGCCGCGTCGTGGGAGATAAGGTCATGAAGATGGGTTCTCCGAGTTCGACCCGTGCTCCGAAGAGAAAACGGCCAATCCGTCGCCGGACCTCCACTGTTCCAGGCAAGGTCATTTGCGTGTGCCGGATGTCACGCAGCAGCTGGGCTTCGGGCGGGGTGAGGCCTTCGGCAAACCATAGCTTGCGGGCATCGTAGTTGATTGGCTTCAGCGTCTTGCCGGCTGTCAAATACTTGCCTTTTTGTAATTTTTGATACAAGGCTTTGGCCGCCTCAACCCATTCATGCGCCGGTGTCGCTTGGAGGACATCTGTCTTGGGTTTCCAAGCGCGGTACAGCGGCGTCTGGCAAACCGAATGCCATTTGAACGTCAACCGACGTAGGCCTGAAATTAAATCCCAAGAGTTTCGCAGCGAAGACTCGACGCGCCGGGCTAAGGAGCGCAGGTGTGGGACTGGCCCCAGCACCGCTGCGTCGGCCTTGCGTCGCGGACGATCCTTGTTTGGAAAGTCCGGCCCGCCGACGGGGGATGGCACGCTGAACGGGAAGGCCCAGGCAAGGTACTCGGTCTGCCACTGGTCCCAAAACTCTGTGCCCGTCTGGATGGTGACCTTGGGCGTGACCTGAGCAAGGCGCGTCACTTCTTGGGTCGTCGTGTCACCTGCCTGGCTGCTGGTATAATCCGGGCTGAGAACTTGAGGTCGGCTGCTGCCCAAGAAGGCTTCCCCGCCAAACTGTGGAAGGTTTGCGGGTTCTGGGGTTGCATTCTTTGTCTGAGCTGGAGTGGGTGCTGCACCAGCTAAGTCGGCTTGCTCTTCGACGGTGACTGGACAAATTTCTTCTGTGCCATACTCCCGCTGCACTTTGGATCGGAACAGCTGCTTCAGTTCGGCTGGCGTGCCGTCATAGGCTGCGAACATGGGATGGTGTATATCCACTAAGTGATCTAAGAGGGCAACAACCACATGAGGCCTAAGGTGGGCGCCGGCTACCCACTCCACGAGCTCAGCATGCCGCATGCCCTTCACCGTCACTTTCACCATTGCGCGCAAGGCAGGCAGCGCATGCGGCAAGGTTGCAATGCGATCGTGGGGTGTCATCTGTGCGAAGTGGCCGTAGATCTCTTCCCACGGCAAGCTCACGGCGCTGATGTTGCCGCGGATGGCCAGGCTGTGCTCGGCTCGATGCACTGGCTCCTCTAAGACGTGCCCGCGGTCTGCTTCGAGGTAAAAGCTCACCATGGAAGTCCACAGTGGCGAAGCAGCCGCTGTCTCTATCCACCGCACCCGATGTTGGTAGAGGAGCTCGGCCGGATAGCCATAAAAGTTGTCGTTGCAGAGGGCTGACGGAATGCCACTAAATGCACCTTGCCGCATTCGTTTCCAACAGGCTCGGCACAGTGGCAGCTCGCACTGGCGGCAGAGCTGCATGCCACTTGCAGGGCAGGCGCTGCACCGGAGATCTTCCGGGCAGCACAGGATGGACTGCCCATTGAACAATGTCTGTGGCAAGGTCCGCTGCCATTCGGCTCCGTGGAGTTGCCTTTGGACGGCTGCATGGGAGCCATAGGACGTGCGATATTGCATCAAATCCCAATTCTGTTGGAAGCTCTCGGGTGTCAAGGTTTCGAAGATCTGTTCCACGCTCAAGTACCCTATGTCGCTGCGCGGTCCGCTGGGCAGGACGGCGGCACAGCAAGCACAAATGAGAGCAACGGCTTGCTCTTCTTGTCTTTCAGCATGCAAGCGTCGCAAAGTGCGACGATCCACACTCCAACCAACGGCCGGGACCGATTGCTCTTCGACACATTTCAAGGCTGCGATGTACGAACTCACAAGATCTCCGGGGCAGTGCTGAAAGGCGAGTGCATGCTGGCTGTGCAAATGCGCCCACAGACAGGCAGCGGTGTCGTTGCAGCAGGCTCCGCTGCTGCAGTGCCAAGTGACCCCCTGCACAATCCATCGATCTTTCAAGAGCAATGCGTCCACGCACGGCTGTGCGTCGCTGCACCACGTGCAACCTTCAAAGGCACAGTGGCAGGCTGGATACGGGACGCCGGACATGCTGTCGGCTAACTCGACCGGAACGTGTGGTACGGATGGTGGCAGCAAAGGTTTGGTACGAAACTGTCGGCTGATGGTCTGAATTTGTTCCCAAAGTTGATCTTCCAGCGTGCACCATGCATGCTCTGGTTCCAGCACCAGGCTAGGTGCGGCACTAGAGCCTTCACTGGATTGGTGTGAATTCCACGACACGACACTTTCCGTGTCAGCAAAGCCCACTTCGGACCCGCTGCTGCAAGGTGGCGTGGCCGGTGCGGGCCACGGGTCTTGGTTGGATGCCATCGGCTTGCTCGGCTCGGGCGCCGCTTCTGCGGTGGCAGGCGCCGCATTCGGCTGGTTGGGTGGCTCTGCCGGCTCGACCCGCGAAGGTTGCACGCGGATCATACCCAAATGCTGTTGCAAGGCTCGTGCTCCCTCCCTGTGCCATATCTGCAACCATGGTGTTGGTTGCCACACCGAAGCGGGTGGCCTATCTTCCCACAGCAAGCTATAGTGTCCGGTGTGACCCATGGGTTGGTGCACCAGGTGCAAGGCATGCGGGTGCAGCTCAGCCAGCCGCATCGCTTCCGCGTCAGTGACTCGCTCCATCGTTGCAATCCAGTAGTTAGCATCCACGTCTGTACTCCAGACAAGCACTTCAAAGCCAAATGCCTTTGTCAGTGCCCAAACCTCCACGCTGGTGCCATGATGGATGCTATCCAGCATGTTCGGCATTTCCAACACTGCTGTCAGCTTGCTCCAAAGCACGAGCAACCCTTGCGGAAGTTCATCAGGCAAGAGGATGCCCCGGCGTTCCAAGAATCGGCGATGCAGTTCCAGCTCGGCGGGCTGGTCGGGCATGCAAGCAATGTTAATGTCCGCGGCACTGGGGCCGTCGAATTGCTGGACTAGAAATTCCAATGCCTGCGCGTATGTGTCCGCCGCTTTCCGCACGCTCCACTCTGGCTCGTGGCTTTCGTGCCGTTCCAAGTACCAGCTCACGGCATGAAGGAGACACCACCCATCGCCGGGGATGTCGACCGGCACTCTCCGCAACCTTTGGGCACGTGCTTCTACAGTATAGCTTGCTTCAGGCTGTTCCGTTGCATTGTTGCTGCCGGATGCAGCTCCACTGTTGCTACTGGCATCGGTTGGCCCAGGTCCGTTACCATGCAGCGCATGGGCGAGTCGATTGCGGAGCTTCCGGCTCCAATGCCACAACCGAGTCCATGCCTTCTTCCTGCGACGTTGCCGCCGTCTGCCACGGCATGGTTTGTACCGCCTGCCTTTGATCCGGCGGCAGGGCTTGCTGCCACGCGCTCTCTTGGTAAGCACCCTGGCAATTCGTGTGACTGCAGCGTCCACCACCGTCGGCCACACGGTGCACAGCATGTGACTCAGAATTGCGTACAGTAGTGTCTCACCGAACGGCAGCATGCCGTCGTGGATGCAATGGCAGAATCCTAGCCAGAAGAGTCCATGGCAGAGAGTCTTGACAAACAGCCATCGGCACGACATGGCAGGCACGGGCAACCGACACCGCGTCCGGCTGGGGGCGCGCCCGTATCTGATATGTTGCTTCTAATGTTTCTACGGTGCAGTGTTGCTTGCAGCCTCTGATACCAAAGGTGGTTTTGATTGCATACAAGGGGTTTTTTGTGCTAGTCAACTCTATCGACGCGTTTTGGGTTGGTTGCGACTTTCGTGTACTCGATGCCGTACATGTGCCTACTGACGGTTCTTGTCGCTGCGCTTTTTTCTGCTGTTGCGTTGTCAGCTACCTTGTCATGTGTCAACTACTTTGCTTTTCACACGGGGCTGACCTGCAGGCGGGTCGTCATGTTGCGTGGTTGTCCCCCTGGTCGTGACCCGGCTCCATTTCCTCATGTTAGGCATTTTCACCTTGCTGTCCATCTAGGTCACAGACCATCTGTCCAGCTACGTCAGTGACATTTGTTGGCTATTTTTCACTGATTCACGGAGTCAACTTACTGTCCATCTAGGTCACAGACCATCTGTCCAGCTACGTCAGTGACATTTGTTGGCTTTGTTTCACTGAGGTTTTGTTGCTAAACGGTGGTTCACGATCAATGTGCGACGGAAACCAAGCCAGCGCGCGCACTCGAGTCCCCCGAACATGCCCCACAAGACAGGCCGGGTTGACGGCTCGCCGTCGACGCGCTTTCGGTCGGCCACGCTGCTTTGCGCTGCTATAGCCATGTTGTCCATTTGCCGTCGTGCTGCTCTTGCCTTGGTCGGTCGGAGCAACGCCCGGACGCGCGCTCGAGCAACTTTGACTCTCGCCTGAGCTACGCTCTAGCTGATCAAGGCTTCAAACTAGCTACTCCGGACACAGGCTTCTTCCCATGCTGGCTAGGCAATACATATCAACGAAACATGCCGCTCCAACCAAGCCGGGTTGACCGTTCACCTTGGCCGGTCTGAGCAACGCTCTAACACTCGCTTGAGCAACGCTCCAGCTGACTAAAGCTCTCACCCCCTGTCTTTCAACATGCCGTTCTCGGAACTTGCCATGCCGCTGTGAAACCCGACCACACCGGATCGTCTACGTTGCTTCTTGATGCATGCCCCTTCCAAACAAGCCGGGTTGACAGTTGACCTCGTTTGGTGAATCGAAGCAACACTTTAACTCTCGCCTGAGCCACGCTCCGGCTTCAAAACATGCCGGGTTGACCGCTAGCCTGCTTGGGCAACGCTCTCGCTGACTAAACCTCCTGGACCCTGCTTGTAAACATGCCGTTGCCTTTCAAAACATGCCGGGTTGACCGTTTGCCTTGTCTGATCGAGCTGCGCAACGCTCTGACTCTCGCTTGAGCAACGCTCTAGCTGCCCAACGCTTCGAACATGCTACTCACGACATTTCTTCCCTACCGGCTGGTTCCACATAGGCTGCGGTCGCTGTACGCATGCCTTTTCCGTTGGGAGGTACCATCATGAGCTTGTCACATGGGCGACGTATAGACATAAATCGTGGCATTCTGATGGACCAACTCTTCGGCTGACCATGGCGACTCGACTAGGATTATGCTGGGACTATGCTGGGACAACTGTTGGGCTTACGTCGGCGGTTAGTGCTGAGATTATAATTCACTATCACGCAGGACTATGCTGGGACTATGCGGGGACAAATATGGAACTTAATTGCCGGGTAGGCTTGTGCGGGGCTTACTAACAATTCACTGTCCCACGATAACCTGGCCACCGGCGTGACCTACGTCGCCCGCCGATGGGACTGCTATACGTGGGTGGATGCTTGGGCTTACTATGGCGCTATTACAGGGATTATAATGGGACTATGTGGGACAACTATTGGGTTTAAACTCGGGTAGTGCAGAAATTAATTATAATTGACTATCACCGGCTCACCTAGCCACCGGCTCGGCCCACGTCGCAACGCCGGTGGGGAGGATATCGATGGGTACTAGCATGCACTATTCGATGGGTGCTATCATGTACTATTATCCTGGGGTCCAGGTGGGACTAAAAGCTTCTACTGCGCTACATCTTGGGTTTCAGATTGACATTATACTAAGCTTCTAGTCTTGAGCTTCTAATGGGAATATGCTGGGACCCATATTGGTCTAACACTGGGCTCGTGCAGCAACGCCCGGACGCGCGCTCGAGCAACTTTGACTCTCGCCTGAGCTACGCTCTAGCTGATCAAGGCTTCAAACTCGCTACTCCGGACACAGACTTCTTCCCGTGCTGGCTAGGCAATACATATCAACGAAACATGCCGCTCCAACCAAGCCGGGTTGACCGTTCACCTTGGTCGGTCTGAGCAACGCTCTGACACTCGCTTGAGCAACGCTCCAGCTGACCAAAGCTCTCACCCCCTGCCTTTCAACATGGCGTTCTCGGAACTTGCCTTGCCGCTGTGAAACCCGACCACACCGGATCGTCTACGTTGCTTCTCGATGCATGCCCCTTCCAAACAAACCGGGTTGACAGTTGACTTCGTTTGGTAAATTGGTGCAACACCCTAACTCTCGCCTGAGCCACGCTCCGGCTTCAAAACATGCCGGGTTGACCGCTAGCCTGCTTGGGCAACGCTCTTGCTGACTAAACCTCCTGGACCCTGCTTGTAAACATGCCGTTGCCTTTCAAAACATGCCGGGTTGACCGTTTGCCGTCTCTGATCGAGCTGCGCAACGCTCTGACTCTCGCTTCAGTAACGCTCTAGCTGCCCAACGCTTCGAACGTGCTACTCACGACATTTCTTCCCTACCGGCTGGTTCCACATAGGCTGCGGTCGCTGTACGCATGCCTTTTCCGTTGGGAGGTACCATCATGAGCTTGTCACATGGGCGACGTATAGACATAAGTCGTGGCATTCTGATGGACCAACTCTTCGGCTTACCATGACGACTCGACTAGGATTATGATGGGACTATGCTGGGACAAATGTTGGGCTTACGTCGGCGGTTAGTGCTGAGATTATAATTCACTATCACGCGGGACTATGCTGGGACTATGCGGGGACAAATCTGGAACTTAATTGCCGGGTAGGCTCGTGCAGGGCTTACTAACAATTCACTGTCACACGATAACCTGGCCACCGGCTTCACCTACGTCGCCCGCCGATGGGATTGCTATAGGTGGGTGGATGCTTGGGCTTACTATGGCGCTATTACAGGGATTATAATGGGACTATGTGGGACAACTATTGGGTTTAAAGTCGGGTAGTGCAGAAATTATACTTGACTATCACCGGCTCACCTGGCCACCGGCTCGGCCCACGTCGCTCCGCCGGTGGGGAGGATATCGATGGGTACTAGCATGTACTATTCGATGGGTACTATCATGTCCTATTATCCGTGTGGACGTCTGTCTCCCGAGCAACGCACCGAGGCAACCGATACTTGCCGACGGCAAAAAACTCGACCAAAAAAAAAAAAACACGGCCGGGCAGCTGAGCAACGCTCTGCCGTGCCTTGTGGCAAGTCTGAGCAACGCTCTGACCCCCAGCCGCTTGCCCTGCTGTTGTGAAACGCGCCCCGCCGGATCGCCTACGTTTGTTTTCTACCGCCCACATGCCAAATGGGCTTGCCTGTCTGCAACCCCGTTGCTCGACACTCCTTTCCCCGCTGCCCAGTCACCCTTGCGTCACCCAACTCTGCGTCGCCTGTCTTCATCCCCTTCCGCACTTCTTGGCTGTCGCCTCTTTTTCTCTTTTCTTCTAGCGCCACTGTAGACGTCTGTCTCCCGAGCAACGCACCGAGGCAACCGATACTTGCCGACGGCAAAAAACTCGACCCAAAAAAAAAAAAAAAAAACGGCCGGGCAGCTGAGCAACGCTCTGCTGTGCCTTGCGGCAAGTCTGAGCAACGCTCTGACCCCCAGCCGTCAGATCCATGCCTCGGCGCTCACCGGCTTCTAACACCTTGCCCTGCTCTTGTGAAACGTGCCACGCCGGATCGCCTACGTTGGTTCTCTACCGCACACATGCCAAATGGGCTTGCCTGCGGCGGTTTTCCAACCATGCCCTTCAAAACACGCCGGGTCGACCGCTGGCCTTCTCGAATCGGTCCGGGCAACGCGCTCACGTTACTTGACCCAGACTGTCTCTCACTACGACTTCAACAGGCCATGACGGAAACTGTGTTCACGGTCCACCTGCCGTGCTCTACCATGCCCCAGATGCATACCCCTCAAACCATGCCGGGTTGACCGTTCACCTGGCTGCATCTGAGCAACGCTCTGACGCTTGCTTGGGCCGCACTTTCGCTGAACCCGCCTTCTGGTGGGCTAATCTAACATTCACTGTAAACATATTTCTTCCCTTGGTGGCCAAGCGCTTGCGACGGACTGTCTGAGCAACACTCTCACGCTCGCCTGAGTGCGCCACGCGGTGACCCTCACTTAACCGACCCTCTAGCTGACCACGACTTCAACCCTGCTCCGTCGGAGACGACCGACGTTCACTCTCAACCGGCTTAAACTCGACCCAAAAAAAAAAGACACGGCCGGGCAGCTGAGCAACGCTCTGCCGTGCCTTGTGGCAAGTCTGAGCAACGCTCTGACCCCCAGCCGCTTGCCCTGCTGTTGTGAAACGCGCCCCGCCGGATCGCCTACGTTTGTTTTCTACCGCCCACATGCCAAATGGGCTTGCCTGTCTGCGACCCCGTTGCTCGACACTCCTTTCCCCGCTGCCCAGTCACCCTTGCGTCACCCAACTCTGCGTCGCCTGTCTTCATCCCCTTCCGCACTTCTTGGCTGTCGCCTCTTTTTCTCTTTTCTTCCAGCGCCACTGTATACGTCTGTCTCCCGAGCAACGCACCGAGGCAACCGATACTTGCCGACGGCAAAAAACTCGACCCCAAAAAAAAAAAAACGGCCGGGCAGCTGAGCAACGCTCTGCCGTGCCTTGCGGCAAGTCTGAGCAACGCTCTGACCCCCAGCCGTCAGATCCGTGCCTCGGCGCTCACCGGCTTCTAACACCTTGCCCTGCTCTTGTGAAACGTGCCACGCCGGATCGCCTACGTTGGTTCTCTACCGCACACATGCCAAATGGGCTGCGGCGGTTTTTCCAACCATGCCCTTCAAAACACGCCGGGTCGACCGCTGGCCTTCTCGAATCGGTCCGGGCAACGCGCTCACGTTACTTGACCCAGACTGTCTCTCACTACGACTTCAACAGGCCATGACGGAAACTGTGTTCACGGTCCACCTGCCGTGCTCTACCATGCCCCAGATGCATACCCCTCAAACCATGCCGGGTTGACCGTGCTGGCTGCATCTGAGCAACGCTCTGACGCTTGCTTGGGCCACACTTTCGCTGAACCCGCCTTCTGGTGGGCTAATCTAACCCTGGGAGTCCTCGACTATTCAAACAAAGGCTGTTATACATCGTCCATTCTATGGCGTGAACCCCCTTTGTTTGGCTATTTTCAGGTACATGGCATGGATGTCAATCATGGATGGTTGACATGGAAGCCATTTGGCTGGGAGGGACCATTGGGAACATGTGTGCATGGGTAATTGCACACAGCATCATTGATGTCTTAAATGTCACCAAATGATCTACCAAGATATTTACTATATTCTAATAATATAATTAATATAATATAATATATATTACTTGTTTGTGTTCAACTGGAATATTGCTGGTGATCGTGGTAGCCATGGCATTGAAACCATTTGGCGCCCATGGTGGTCGATCAATAGATGAAGCGCTCACTAGCAGCACGTCCGGGTCTTGGATTGTGAAAGTCAATCTGGTTGAGCAAGTCACAATGATCATATATGATTCGGCTTCATTTAGTTGACTTATGTTGATTTCTTAATTAGGATTCGCCCTCTTAGCCTCCACCCACTGCCAAGGCCATTTGGAAGAGTTGACTGGTGATGACATCATTGACACTGATGAATTAGTAGGTGCCTCCCCACCGTGCTACTTGCACCACAGGTTTTATTGTGCATCAGGTAGTGATCAGTGGATACATGATTTTTCTTTGCATTTTCTGCAGCACGATCTGGCTGAGAGTGTTTGACAGAGTTTTTGCATTCTTATAGAAGGGGAACTCATATATGTAAAATAAATGAAACAAATTTCAATTGAAAACCACCAAAGCAGTCCAATTGCAAAGGACTGCCTGCCAACTCATTTTCTCGCCAGCAATCCAGTTGGCAGCCATGAGTCACATCACGCATCCGAAGCGCTTAGACCCAAAACGGGTTGCCCTTGTGAAGGACAGATCTGTTTTCGGGAATGCTATATTATCTTTTATTGACCGAATATTTTCTGGGTGTTTTGATGACAACAACAAAACATCAAAAACACATCCAAGCGCTTCGTTCAACTGGGCAGACATGCTATATACACAAAGTTCTGACTAGGCCACCAAGTATGTTAACTTGCAGGTTTGCTATATAATATTTAAGTCATGTATGCCATGCATGTAGAAATTAGACAATATATTAATACTAGTATCTCAAAAATAATTATCGATGTAATATTTGATATACGTTGTACAGTACATGTGGGTGCGTATATGCGTGTGGTTGTGTATGTGTGTGTGTTGGGGGTCTTTGTGATTTTGCATATTTCTCATGTATCCATCAGTCACATTTGGAAGAATATAATTTTATTTACATGTCAGGAAATGCCTCCAATACTTTAAAGTGTGTAGCTAATGCTAAAGACCACCTTTCAGCTTGTCAACATGTGCAGGAATTTCTGAAAGTGTTCTGCGAGAATGACGACTTCCTTGCTCAGAGGAGGAAGGTCTTGCGTTTGCGAGCAGGGTTGCGGGATGAAGATCGCCGACTAGTTTTTATCTCAGCTGGTCAAGAGTGGGCATTGCGTTAGTTTGTGTTTTTTGCTGGAAAAAAAGTGTTATTGTAGTGTTCTTTTCACCTTTCCGGCTCCTGATGCATACATTGACAGTTGAGGTTCCCAAGTTCCGCTTCTTGATCTTGGAGGGAAAACGAACTACAGAAAGAGAGGTGTGCTCTTGTGTTTTTGTTTACAACTTAATTCTTGCAGTTTGCGTTCAATAAGTTGGGAGTTTCAAGTTATCAACTAATTATAATATAATAATATTACCTCCCTTACTCGCGAGGTTGAATCAGACCACAACTTTGAGCTGGTCCTTCAGTACATGGCCTCTTTTGCCCATGACCTCCCTCGTCGGAAAGAGCTGGAAGTGGGGGGCTTTGATGTTTCAGATAGCTGATATGTTTACTGTTTTTTTGCTATTTATTTATAGTTTTGAAAACATGTGCTATGCACATGGTGTTGCAAGCCTAACATTTTCAGTGCAACAGGAGCATCACACATTTAAAAAAATAATTCAGTTGCAGCCGATCTCTTCCTAGGCAAGCCTGGCTTGGGCTTCAAGTCACTACCGTTTGAACCCATGGAAGGATTTCCCGAAGCACCAGGCACGATTGCGCATAACGTTTGATAATAATCATGAGTTGTATAAATGCATATCTTCATATTTCATAAAATTAAAAAATGTATTATACCAAGTGCCCACTGTCCAGGATTGGAGTTCAGTGGAGGCTGGTGCGCTGATGGATGCGGCTAGCTATTGCATGAACCGGTTTCAACGCAATATCGGGGCTAGGCTGGGGGCTTTCTACTTCTCAAATTTTATTCAGCACAGACATGAAATTAAATCGTTTTGAGGAAAGGAGTTTGCGCTATTGCTTGTGTTCAGATTTATGTTTTCTTTGCTTAGGCCTGGCCATGAGCGAATGGAGCAAATCAAGACAGTGATCAGGGTGAAGTTGGAGGACCTGAGCAGTCTTTAGTTTCAACTTTGAATATAAAAAGACATGATATTGCACAAGTCGAAATTACTACTATATTATCCGCAAATTTTGATATGGGTGTAGGAAAACAACTTGCTATCACCAGAGGGGAAGAAGGTTGCAAGCCGTGGGCGTGGGATGAGTGCGAAGAAGGCTGGGTGTTAACCTCTGCCAGGTTCAATTGATTAAAATAATTTGGTGGCATGGGTTGACAATGTGATTTTTTCCTATTTTGCAACACTTCATTACCAAGATCATATATCTATTAAACAGTTCATTTCTACGTCACCATTGTATTTTGTGTCTTAAACACACATCAGCTCACAGATGCATGCTGATTTTGAAAGAAAACAAATACATGCAGGTTTTAGTTTCAATTTATTCCCAGAACCTACCTCCTCCAGAAGTAGCCATTCCCAACCCCCATCACTACCTCCCTTGCTTTACTTGCAGGCCGTTGTCGACCCTGCGACAGTCGACACCCAACTTCCAGAAGACCATGCCCTCTACGAGCCCAGCCCGTCACCCGTCCATGCCATGCGGGATCTGGATTCCCCCGGTGTTTTGTTAAGGGGCTGCTCTACCTCTGACCTGGATGGACACGTGAATACAACCCTTGAAGCACTGGATGATGCCCATGACACCCCGGGTTTCGAAGAAGAACAGCCTGAAGAAGAGGAGTTAACCCATGATGAAGATGTAGATGTAGAGGAATACCAGGACAACAACACTGTGTTGGAAATTGAGTCGGATGAGGAGTGTTGTATGTCACCTGCTTGCAAACAACCCCTGAAAGATGCTGCTGATTCTACTGGCAATGTTCCCAAGGAACATATTGCACCAGAGGCCCCCATGTCAGAAAAGCATGTGGTTGACACTGGTGCGCTTGGCAGTAGCCCCAAAGAAGACCCCGAAGCTGCCCCAAAGAAGGATCTTTTGGGAGGCAACCCTCCAGATCCATCAAAAGGTCCCGTTGCCACGACAAAAGAAGAATCAGAAAAGGTAAAAGAACAGAAAGCAGCAGAGGAATGTGAAGACGACGTGTTCAGTGCCCCAGAAGAAGAGATGGAAAGCTCAAGAAATCGTGGTACTTTCAAGGTGGGGGTTGTTCAGCCTAGGCCTACTCTCGAGTTAATGTGGCACCCCTTGGTCCTACAACAGTGATAGTATATATAATATATATTATATATAATAATTATATATATAATATATACCACGTTTTATAATCCAGGAAGTTACTTTATAATATATGTAACATGTCCAATTTTTTTACAGGTTCCACTGCTCACCCGTGTGGGTGGCCAGGACCGAAGACCTTTGGTCGCGGTGACCCCAGTTCCAGAGGACTTGGAGAAAAAGGTGGATGAGCTTCATTCATCTTTAAATGTGGAAGAGATGACTGAAGAACAAGCGAAAGCTGAACTGCTCAAGGCATTCTTGGGAAGTATTGTGCCTGAATCACTGTTATTTGTCTTGATTTATTTCGATACCATCACCTCATTTTTTGGTGGCAACTTCATCCGATTCTGTGGTGATGTTTCTTTGGACTTTCTGGTGTTGTTTTTCCTAAAGTTCATCGAGTCAGAGATGCATGGATTCCATGTTATCGTATATTGTTTACTGGGTCCAGCTGAGTGTAATGGGATTGATTTGGCTTCGTCCCTTTCATTCTTACCTAGTTACATGCATACATATATATATATTATATAATTCAATAATATATATATAATATATTAGACAACCAGTATGTTTCTCTCTTGGGGAGTTGACAGTTTCTTTGTCGCAGGCCCAACAAGCAATTCGTGAAATGCAGCGAGAACAGCAAATGGAGTGGGAGGATCCTGATAAGTACTACGCTGGTCTTCTTGACTCTGAAGATCCTGAGTCAAAGGGAAAGTCGAAGGGCAGGGGTCGAGCGCGAGGCCGAGGTCGAGGTCAGAAAGGAAAGGGAAGGGGGAAAACCAAATGCAAAGGAATCTCCAAAAGCAAAGGGAAAGGTGAAGAGGATGGCAACAAGGCTGACCCCCAAGGTGAACCATCGGCAAGCTCTGCAGCAATTGAGCGGAAGGCAGTGGCCACTGATGGATCGGATGATTTGCCTGTTAGCTCCCCAGCAAAGAAACCGAGACATGAAATGCCCAAGAGCCCAAAGGTTAAGTCCACAAATGCGAGGAGAAAATTGTTGGCCGAAAAATCTCCTGGGGGTGCTGCAAAGAAGGCAAAGCATGTTGCAGCTGGACCTGATGAGAGGAACGATGTGGAGGATTGGCTTGTGTGTTTGTTTCGACAGCTGAACTAGATGTGCATGTATATGCATGTTTATATACGTTTTTAATTATATCATATCATATATTATATAAGTATCATATACATTCTGACTTCCGAAAATTTCCAAATCTTCAATTAGGCTTTTTCTTACGGCATACATGTGGGCCTCAGGAGCATGAACCTGAAGCTGATGTTCGTGCACACGTCCATCAAGAGCACCCAGGAACCACTGAAGATCTACAAGAGAAGAAGAAAGCACAACAGGAAAAAAGCAACAAGGTTGGGTCACAGGGAGGTCTGATATATTGCTCGCAATTATATTATTACTGCTCTTCATACACGTGTTGCGGATTTGAATTAAAATGACCATGGTGAGTTCCAGGTTGTGATTTATTTAAATCGTACCCTTGGAAAACAAACTACAACATGCATCACGTATAATAATTTCACTATTTATCACACAAAGTTTTATTAAATAGATGGATCAATGCACAACCATTTATTTCTGCTATGTTGAATTCGTTGTGGCCAGGCCAAGCTTGCCAATTTGGAGCTGCTGAAGAAATCTGTGGTGGGGGACCCTTTGCTCGAGCTGCCATCTGAGGAGGGTCTTGCGAATCAAAAGTGCCTTACTTAGCTCAGTTGTTTCAGTCGGTTATTTCTCCTCAACTCTATTACTGAACATGTCGGGAGCATGTGTGTGTGTGTGTGGGTGTGGGTCATGTGTACTGTGTGAGACAGGTTAACAGGTATACAAGTGAAGTGTTGTTGTTGATGATGGTGACGACTATTGTTGTTATTGTGCAGTGTTGTTGGTAATGATGGTGATGAAGGTCTTTGACACTGGCTCCGCCTGACGATTTGCCCCCGGAGCTTTCAGAGCATGCCACCCGTATTCAGATTTTGTCGGGGGCTTATCCGCTCTTGATTGCAACAGACAGCAACATCAATAACATTCTAACACGTAGCTGTGTGAGCTATTGGCTATATATAATATAAAAACATATATAATACACACTAATGGATTGATCAATATTAAAGCCTGTGTTTGTGTCTCCATGCATAGGCCTGCATCTTAAAAGCATCTTAAAAATATCTTTACAAACATGACATACCTGCAGTATGTGGCTGAGGCTGGTCCAATCGAGATCTGCACAGGCCGCGTTTTATGTCCCATGTGTGAACGACACCGTGCTGAAGAAGATCAATGAAGCAACAGCCCTGGATCTCAAGGCCAGTATTTCTTCTGCCAGGTTATAAGTTTATAAGTTTATAATATCAATTGATCGTTAGAAGTTTTGATGATAATTATATGAAATCCAATGTGAATAATGTACCCCAAAAAGCCCTTACTGCTATGGATTAGGGCATTGCATACACTGGCACATGTGGTGTTGGATGGGTGATTTCGATGTCCACAAAATACACGAATTATACATGCAAACGTCATGACATATATATAATAATATTATAATATATATAATATTATTTATGATATATAATATATAATATATAAAAATATCTTATATAATATATATTGTACATAGAAATATTATATTATAAAAATAAATATCATACGTACAATCTTCAGCAATCAGATATTTGAAACATTTTGAAATAAACATGCATATATTAGCTGCATTTATATTGATGAAGAATGCATTATTGATATAATATATGATGTCTATCATATGATGCCTCCTTTGCCTATCCATGTGCCAGGCCAATGCACAATCTGGCGTCAGCCTGTCATGGATGAAGCGTGGTGGTCCGCTCTTGGCGCTTGACCCTCAGAAATTGGTACGGTGTGGTAGGGATATGGTGGCTCTGTGCCATTTAAAGTAGACAATCGACCCATTGTCAAATCACAGCCTGTTAGGGTAAAAGCAGCACACATGAATTGGCAATTCAGGCTGTGATTTGGCTGCCAGCATTGCTAGCACAGGCTTGGGTGTGCCACCCACAATGCAACCCTCAAAATATCATATTTTAGTTTTGGACATTATAGAATTATAGCTAATATATATATATATATAATACATATAATATTATATGTATTACAATATCATATAATTTCTTATAAAAATCTTATTATGATTGTAGTAAATATATATATATAATATAGATCAACTATTATATATTATATATATTAAAATTGCATTATAAATAATTAATATTATATAATATAAATTATATAATATATATAATATATATAATATCTTAATAAATATATATGATTAAAAATTAAATATATTATTCTATATATAATATATATGCATACACATCACCTGACCTTGCATGCCTACCGAATGCCAAGGTGGAAGTTGGCTAAGATGGTTGCATCGTGGACGCCACCTGCTGGCCTCACTCAGTGAACCGAATCCTCAGCTGGGCCGAGCAGCAGGGAGGATGTCATAGACAGACCTATCTGTAGTAGGGGTTTCAGATGGTCTTCAGGCTTATACTTTCTGCAGGATGTTTATGCCCATAGGACTTTGGGGATATCAACGTTCTGGATTGGTCACTTATAAAGAAACTATTGCATATTACGAAGATTTTATTTATCCCATATATGTAGGCTGCAAAATTGTTTATCGAAAACACTGCCTGCAATATTCCCCAATACTTTCTGCAAATTTGGTTGATACTCGCAATGTCAGTGACCAACCAGCCTTTGTTGATAGCCCAAGTAGTTTTGACATTCGATGCGAACCAGATAGTGCAGTTGCTCCTGGCCCCTCCCAAAGAACAATTGATGGTTAATTTTTGGGGTGTTGACATTCGTGTGTGATTGCACCCCTGCCCCCCAAAAAAAACATATCTCTATTAAATGTGCCAATGCTTTCGTATATCATTCGGGGGCCTGTGGACACATGGAGCCACATGTGCTCGCGTAGTCTGTGCTGGTTCGATCTACCGTTTAATCAACCAGGGTTGCGCCATGTGGTACGCTATAGCCATGTCACATCACAATACAAGTGATGGAGCATTATCATCAATAGTTGGCTGGCAGGAAAGAGGTTGCCGATGTGCCTTTTCAGCTGGAGTTCAATTCTACTTTAAGATTTTATGGCCTGGTCCATGGTATCTGCACTCAAACTTTGAACTCCCCTGTAAAAGAAATATCGATAACCCAATGATCATGAAGGTGACTGCATGTTTGTTAAGAAAACCAACATTCCGTACCTTTAGTTGAAAGCAGGAAAAATTCATCATGAAATCTCAAAAGATGATCAGTACCTCTTTTGATCCCATCATCCCCTCTGAGTGCACCAGCAGTTTCGAGGTGGCTCAATCCACAAAGATCAGAAGGCCACGTCACGCCTTAGCTTCGTCAGTGGCCATGGCAGGGAAAAATGGTAAGCCATGGACATCATCACCCCTTGCCCTGTCGAAGCAAGCAAGCTTCAAGCTGTTGCGATGGGGCTTTCCCTTGGTAATGTTACTGTTCTTAATTGATGAATTGTGTCAATATGAGGTGGTTAAATCCATATTGGCCATGTCATTTATTTTTTTTGTTATATTTTATTTTTAGCAAGCTTGGAAACGTGTCAGGGCTTCATATCATGTCCCTGCAAGAGTCTATTCCTGATAACCAAGGTTCCATTTGGTGGACATGATTGCCCAGTGTTCAACAGAGAACATGCAACGTGTGGGGGCCTCATCTCTAAATCAACTGGTGTTATAAAGAAATACCAGCCAGTTAGATGCATTCAAAAATGTGTCACCTTTTTTGAAAATTTCGTTGAATGCACCCCCATCCCCACAGCAAAAACAATGGTATAACGCTGATGTGTTTCTTTTCAAAACCTGATTGTTTATTGCCTTCAAGATCTCATGAGGGTCTTATCGTAGCTTATACGTGCACATTTTCATTCTGCAACACAGGACTTGGACGTGGTCGATGCCTTTGCTGGAGCAGCTGCAATTTCCTCTACCTACCGTCCAAGCCCCAGCAGCCCATCTAAATGCAGTGTTGACTGGCTGGTAAATTGTTGCCAAGAGATTACTTGCAAAAGTTATGGTGGGGCAATTGACAGCCTAGTGTGTGGTATGGCCTCAAATCCTAGGCCAGAATGGTCTGAAAGCGCCCGGTCCTCATCTTGTAGGGGGTGCACATCAGTGCCCTTTGTAAAGTTGCTATGTTGGACATGTTTTCCTCTGTAGCATTCATATAATGGATGGCCCCCTTGATAAGTAATTAATGAATAATTATATTATATTATTATATATATTATATTGTAGGGTCCTGAAGGTATACCACAGATGATTGATTTATTTGCGTCCCCGTGATCCTTCTTCCCGTAGCAGTGTGTGTGTGCAAATGTTATTTTCCCGCTTCCCAAGGGAAAGCTTTGATCTGTCGGATGGTGTCATCGGAGACATTTTGGACCCGCTGGAGCCTTATTTGTCTTTGAAATCTCTCAAACAAACATCTATGCATATGTTCTATTGCTATAATTATGTTTATGTGATCTATGAACCCAATCAACTGCCAAACATCACCAGAACATCATGTTGGTGCCAAATGCAAACAGATTTGATATGGTGTTGCAATCTCCCGATGAGTTGCCATTCACATCTTCCCCCCCAAAAAAATATTGCAATCCTAAATCCCATTTATGAAGTACAGCACCATGTATAGTTCAACCCTGAAACTTGTGTCCTTGGGCCCGTACGTGGAACTGTGCTCAGGATTGGATTTGTGGCAATTGTAAAATTGGTGCTGCGCCTGCGTCCGGGGGGCCTCCTTATCGGGGGCCCCCCTTGTTCCAGCTGGGTTTTTATCAACCGGGCTACCAGTCGTCGGAGTCGATTTAGGGTTAACGGAGATTGTCAGAAGAAATATGTCAGAGAATCGAATACGATCCCTAGCTTTCAATGGCAGTCATTTTAATCTTATTTTGTTGTGTAGTTGACATACCCTGAACCCTCTATGATTTGGAATGCTTTTGTGGGTGATGGATTGCAAAGAAAACACCATCAATGTTCTATAGTTAGTACGTGTTATCTAAGGATCACATGTCGCTGGGTATTACTACTATTTCTGGCAACTGCCAGAAATGTGCTAACAGTGACAGAACAGCCGCGGAGCTCGCTGATGACCTTGTATGCCTATTTCCGCTACTATGCCATGGTAATTCGACCATTTCCATGGTTCAAAACCTCATTGTCATGGGCTTACAGTTTCTGCAAAGCCATTGGGACAAAACAAATACAATTTGTTGATGCACATGTGCAATTGTGAAATTAGCTCATCTTGAAAACTAGAATCTAGCTAGCATTGAACTGAGTTCTATGGGGGCCCATGGCCATCTTTCCATGAAGCCAACTCTATGCTTCGGAACAGCGTCCTGGCCTCAACCAGCCAACAATCTTCTTTCGGCAAAGTGGACCATCTAAGCCATCAACCTCGGTGATGCAAGGTGTTGGCTTCCATCGTTGGTCAAGAAACTCACCAACCGGGACCGTGCCCGGATCGCCAAAGGGAAACAGGACAAATCCAAGGCCATGGTCATCCGACGTCAGAACAAAGCAGGTAAAAAGACCGTGTCATTTATTCAAGACATTTTTTGCATTCCAATCCGGATTGCATTTTGTGAGGGATTTGGATACTTTTGGGATCTTTTGGTGTATATTATATAAAACACAAAATTACAAAAAATATTATAACTAAATAACATCAGCCATGGTTTTTGTTTTCACCATAACAAAACATCTAAGGCAAGGCGGACCCGGCATGAAAGGGTCAGCAGCTTATCCAAAGCCCTTCGCTAAAAAGATCATGACGCTTCACATGGCAGACACTTGCTAGCAAACATTGATCCACTTATCTTAGTTGGGTGTTGTTCTACCTCGATCTAGATACCCAGTATTTACCAACACCACCATCCATTCTCCCAATCCATGCTGGCGTCCCGGCACTGAGGATTCCTCTGAAGCACCCTTTGGGCAGTCCGGTTTGCCAGACAAGATTCACGAGGTGGGAAAATATTTTTGGATGAGAATATCACATAAAAGCATATAATTACCAAATACAATAAATTTGGAAGACTTACTATCATAACATAATTATATTATATACGTATATTCTATATTTTGGATTGTGGTGATATTTTGGGAACATTACATGCATAGCATATGATATAAGTTGTTTTTATTTCCTGGAACCACGTGATCATCCTGATATGCAACCGATTTGGTTATGCAATCTGGCAAGTGCACACATGCACAGGTATTGCAAAGGGTATTGCATCTGTAGCACAGTCATTATGATATTTGCTCTTGGCAAATACAATTGTGATATTTATTTGCTGTGTGTGTGTTTATAATTTAGAATCATGTAGGTGCAATGCATGATTTTTGTTTTGCATATGTCTTCCATGTGGTGGAAGTGCACACCGATATTTGATATGCGAAACAAGTACATGCCTTCCAACCGAATTATATTGTACCATATAAATTAATAATATACGATATTTATTAATTGTCCCATTGTCCCACCCATGATAACACGCATACGATTTTAACCCATGCTCTGCCACTATCTCCCCTTTGTACAAGTTCACTCCCATCATCCTTTATCAAACACCACCAGATCTACATCCAACCAACTTCCACCAACGCTGCACCTCCCAACAATCTACTATCCTACCCCGTCCCGCCACCCTCCATCCCTCCACTACTACCCTTGCCTGCTACTGCCACCACCACCAACTGTACCATTTGAACCCAAGTTTCACAGCATGTATACCATTCCTTCCCTATCGATATATTACATTACTGTCTCAATCTAATCACCCTGGTACCTCATCACTGTGCAGGCGCCCTACCGCTGGAGACATGCAAACCTCACTTCAGTGAGGGATCTGCTCAAGCAGGAGGTGGCGGCTGGCCACTACGTTCCCATTTTAAGCCGGGGGTTGGATGATGCATCCTAAATCCCATGTGGCCACACATACACCTTTCCCGGTGGAAATGTTGGCTGCAAAATTTACTATATGTGTGCACTACCCGTGCCCATGGGTGAAATTCAATGTCGCATGGGGCTAGTACAGGTGCCGGTGTGTTTACTCACTGGAGTTGCGACAGCTGTTCCACTTTCTTGTGTGACAAGCTCTTAAGTCTGCTTGGCTGGGTATGTTCAACCATACAGTGAACATGACATACATATTTATATTTGTTATATGATATGCATTTGTCCTTTCTACTACATAGTGTCCATACCGACCCGGCTGGGCTTTATCTGCAGATAATTTGCATCTTGCCTTCATTTGTAGCAGAGACTGACAACTATGTTGGCTGGGTCAAAAAATGCTGTTAGGGCTGACCAATTAGTACAAGTAGACACCTAGTGGGCCTGTCCCAGGGGTAGCGTGAAACCAGCGTGAAACCAGCGTGAAACCAGCGTGAAACACCAAAGTATGGCGTGAACGACCAAAGAATGGCGTGAACGACATATACCCCAAAATCCACATTTTTGGAAAAGCTGTTTTTGGAGCACTTTCATTGTTTGTGCGTGCCATTATACTTGGGTCGCAATATTTATGCTATCAAGGGTTCCCCAACCTGTTGTAGACCAGTGTGGCAGGGTAGTGGCTGTGCCTGTCATGGCAAGCTTAGCGGGTTTACCTCCTGATGTTGCCCGGGTGCTGCAAGAAGCTGCACGTCGTGCTGAAAGGCACGCTGTGCTAGATAGCGCCATGACACAGATGCAACGGCTACTTAACATTCCTGTGGCACCCGAGATGCTACCATGGGGGTCAGCCATGTCCCAGTCTAAGGCTTATTTTTTCAGAACATGGATCAGCACTACGATTATAATATGTCAGTTAATGTGTGCTGATGATCAGGAATGTGTTGGCACTATACCATATTAACTTTATATACATCAGGCACATGCATGTGTCCATGATACACAATGCCATGCGAATTTGAATTCAAATCTTGTTAGTTGAAATGTGCAACATTATTTATTTGGTGTGACAGCTTTGTCAAGGTTGCGCACTGAAACAGCAGCAGCACCCACAGCAGAGCAAGAGGTGCCACCCCGGACTGAGACTGCAGGACTGGCATGCACCCCATACACACACATACACACCAACCACACGCACACATAAATATATATTATATATTACATACGTACTTACGTACGTACATACATGTGCATATATATAAAACAAGTTCCCATTTGACACCACTGCAAATGTTTCTATGTTTTTTGTGATTCAGCTTCTGCTTGATGTGTATATCAAATAATATTAATGCAATATTATTTAATTATTGTTATTGATTGTTTCATATATTGTATATAGTACAGGATCGAGTCACACTGCCAGAATTGAAGAGCCCATATAGGTTGATGTATACAACTATAATCATGCATATTTATTTGATCTTTGGGGTTTCCTGCATATGGTGGAAGTTCTGGTGTGTGCATATGTAGGTCCACTTAGTATGGGTCCTATGATGGGAAATATGTTTACCCGTCTTCATTGATTTAAAGACTATTGCTTTATAGTCCCGTTTTTTGGCAACCTGAAAAGTACTGGTTTCTATACCTCCCAAAATCATGTTTCAATCAATAATGCACACATGTACCACTGCAACACCTCTGTTGTCATAGTTTCTGGATCCTACCTTTTAACCTGTATTCCCTAGCCCTAGGTGTGTGACCTGCCCTGTGTTGTCCCTGCTTTGTGGTCACTGTGGTGCAGGAGCAAGCCCAGGTGCTTCAACAGTTCCAGGCAAAGAAGACGAGCTTGGAGCAGCTTTGCAGGCTTCTGCTACTGGTGTGCACACCCCCCGTGACAAGATTCGCAAGGGTCAGTCATGTGATATCAACAATCCATCCCATGAGAAAATCTCTGGCCCTCGTGGACATGCACGTCGTCCCCGAAGGAAACATGTTAGGAAGGCTTGTGAGAAGGCTAAGGAAAGGGGTGGTTTCACAGCAGGGCGTGAAGTTGGTTCAGTTCCAGCCTCTACAGAAAATGAGCAGGCAAGCAATGGTAAAAAATGTACAGCAGCCAAGTCAGCACCACCTGCCCCCCCTCTGGGTCACACAGGGAATGAGTCAACGCCAGCTGGCAAGCCTACTGTTGGAAAGACAGAGCCGTCTAGTGCAAGCAGAGCAGATGCCGTGCAGCAAGTGAAGGCTGATATGTTGCAACGATCAGACACGCAAGACCAACTTGGCACTCCATCACATGCACCCGCTGTGGGTGTAGCTCCAGCAGTTTCTTCGAGCCACCCGCCCCCTGCAGTTACCCCCAGCCAACCGGCCCGTGAGAGCACAGCACCCACAGTAGCCGGAACACATGCAACAGTACCAAAGGCCGCGCCAACTGTGCCAGCACCTGATGCAAGACACACAGCACCACGCACTGCAGAACCCAAAGCGCCACCAGCAGCACTCCCAGCAGCACCCCCAGCAGCACGCCCAGCAGCACGCCCAGCAGCACCCCAAGCAGAAACCAGCAACAACACAACCAATGCTGGGAACACCATGGGGGGTGATGGCTCAGACTCTTCCCCTCCCTCGCCAGTTCCATCACCATCTCTGGCACCATCTGTGACACCATCCGTGGCACCATCAACCAGTGCGACAGACCCCCCTGCTCCCACTGGAAGAAGAAGGCGTGCCCGAACTGTGGAAGAAAAAGCCATTCATGCAAGGTTTATGCGCTTTACCCGCAGCATCAGGAGCCCCCAGGTTGCAAGTGGTACACTGATTTATAATGGATACATGATTTCCCAACACATCAACTGAGTGTGTGCTGTGCATCCGTGCCTACAATGCAATGTATTATGTGAGACTTCCCTCCATCTTCGATTTGAAAGCATGCATGCTTATGCACTACAGTGTCCACAATAATATATGCATTTACATGTGCACCGGAATCTTAAAATCACGATGGTTCTTTGATGGAATGTATTCCAGCCCATTTCACCATGATTACAGTTAATATTAGGTGTGCAAACATTTGTTGCTTTTCTGTGATTCAGTGTAAATAGAACCAAACCTACATTGCAGGGTCACTGCAGGTGCATTTATGTTTGAGATGATTTTGTCATGTTTCCCTGTTTTTCCCGTGTTCCCGCCTGTGCCACATCTAAGACCACTCGCCGCCTGAAATGCAGAAAGCACACAAGGCTGCCAAGTACTGAGACTCGTCTTAAATATGTGATTGGGGTATATCACATTAGAAAACCCTCGCCAGTGGAATACAAGCTATCACATTCCAACTTGGTTTTACGGTTTTTTTGGAAATCGATTGTTATTTCATAATTGTTATTCTTTCTGAATGGCCAACCTATTGTCTGACCGACTTGTGCTACAACCACACCAAAGTCAATCTTGATCCCATGTGTTATTTTGATTTGTGTGCATCTAACTCGTGATACTTCACTTCGCTGAGGAACAACATGAGCCCAATTAATTATGGTTGGATTGGTTGACTATCAATAATTGTAATATGTATACTATAGCTATATATTCTGAAACTATGCTATGCATGCTGCAACCGTTTTTAGGACATATTCATATTGTGTGATGTGACTGTGGTAGCTCGTGATATCATATACTGTTCGATACTTATGCATTATGTATTTTATCTAGCATGATTTTGCGAGTAATATGTTTGACCTATGTGCACGATAAACCCAGCACTTGGACATGGTGTTGTATTGATAGAGGTGCATATTGTGTGTGTGTTGCTGATTTTGCCGGGTGTTTTTCTTAATGGGGGGCATCTGTGTCCCATAGTGGTTTTTTGGCACCCCCCTGGACTTGAAAATATGTTACATGATTGATCATGCCCCACCTCAACTGGTGATGCTAGTGATTTGAAGGGGTTAGTGCAATTTTTGTGCATGTGCGCAGGCAGCCAGCAGCTGCAAGTGCTTCTAGATGAATGGATCACCTGCAAAGGTGAGTGGAGCAGAAGCACGCTTTGTGAACGGATGACTGCTTCAAAGTCTGTGCGAAAGCACGGAGCACGTGTCTGGTTGACACGAAGCCAAATAGCAGCGAAGTACAATGATCACAATGTGGCAATGGAGATTTGCTCGGCAAAGCTCGATGATCCAGCTATCAGGGAGACGCAGACGAAGCCGCATCCAGATGCACCGGAGAGCGAGGCAGAGCGGGCAGCCAAACTTGTGATGTTCAAACTTATATTATTTTTACAAGTCTAAGTCTGATTTCTCAACATTGATCAGTACCAAAATCATTATTATGCAACATACCTGAAACGTGAAAGCAAAATCAAACAAAATCAAATTGCTGGGAAACTCTTGGCTTGTGTGTTGCCGTTCTATGCCACTGCAACAGGAGGTATGTATCAAAGATGTTTGTATGAGTGGCCTGTTGCACTGGATTAATTTTAACTCGATCAATACTGCAGCTCTTGTGCGCAGGCGTTGCGTCTTTTCCTTGTATGGGATAGCGAAGGGATCCAAGAGTCAGAAGACCGTGTACTGCAGCAAATCTTCGAGAGTGTCGAAGATGAGACTGATGCTAGCGAGTCAGAGGGAGGAAAGAAAAAAAAGGGAGGATCGAAGAAGAAGGGGAAGCGCAGCAGGTCCGGCAGGTCCAGTGTGACTTCAAGGGCATCGAGCAATGACTCCTCGTCAGAGGCGATGTGTTCACTGCATGGTGTTGGGCATGTTTGCCACAAGCACTTGCCATAAGCTTCTGCCACAAGTTGGTCTAACAAATATATAATTAATGGATTGAACATTGCATGAACATACAATGCATGTGTATGTGTGGTGTGTAGCTAACAGAGTACTTTTGTAGACTTACTGATTGCTGATATCGATGGAAAGCACAGCCACTTGCTGAATCCAAGTATGTCTAATATTACTTGTTTTGTGCAGGTGCTACCCCAATCCATTTGAGATGTTTGTCTGCATTCATCCAAGAAAAAATCTATCTGTTTCAATCGAGCATTCTGGTCCTTAATTGGTCTTTGGCATACATGCTCTGGAGGGAAAACACAAGAAGAAGAAGAGCAAAAAGGCAAAGAAGGGCAAGAAAGAAACAAAAGAGAAAAAGGAGAAGCGCTTGGAGAAAGACAGAAAAAAGGCTGAGAAAGATCGCGAGCGTGAGGTTGAGAAGAAAAAAAGGGAAATTCTGCAGAAGGGCAAGAAGGCAGGTTCTGACGTTGACACATATTGTTTCTCCAATTGCTTCACAAGGCTTGATTCAAATTCAAGGATTCCTGTGATCACACCACCTTTTGTCAGCACGGAAGCCTGTGTGTGTGTGGATTGCACTTGTATCAGGGCATGGATGTACATAGAAGATCTTCAATTGTATTTCTCAAATAAAATCAAACCTGAATCTGATTACCCCAGGGCTTGGCAAATTTCGATGTGATTTGACAGGCCATGTTTTGTTGGTCACCATTAGCTATTGCGCCAGGCATTGACCAAAATGAATGACCGCATCGCGCTGGCCTCGAAGAAGCAGGATGTCGTATCGAACATGCCGGGGCCTTGGGATGGTGTGAGGTTTAGCATATGGGAAACACAAGCCGCAAATTTTCCTATCATAGCAGTATATCATATAGCTGTCAACACCCAAATTCTATCATATATTATGCAGTAGGGAATGTGGTGTTCATAAGATCAATGAGATTACAATGAATTTTTGAACTCTGATGCAGGGGATGATGTTTAGTTAGTTGAACCTGATGATCCTGATGCCCATTGCTACAGACGATTTGTAAATCAACCGTAGGTTATAAGCCAAATAGATTGCAATAAGGTATGTGGATACCATGGTACCAAAATTTCAGATTCTGATACCCATACAATGTCTTCTGACTCTTCTGGTGCTAGATTTGTTCATAAGTAAGGGGGTTTATTTTTTTTTGCAACATATACTCTTATAGAATATGAACGGTTGGGGATATCAATGAATGTCACAACCCACACCCATGTGGGAACAATATCCATGCATTTGGGTAGTGCATATGGAAGTCCCAATGCATGCCCATTTTTGCAGGGCATGTGTTTCCCAAGTGGCTTTAAATGTTAATTGATTATGCGATGTTATGTGTAGGTACACATTTGAAGGTTTTAAGCAAACATATAATCCATAATCAAAACATGTTTGGTAGGTGCACTGAACATCACTGAACTATGCGAATTCATATAAATACGATATATAAAATAACAGGTAATAGTTATGTAAATAATATTTATATGTTTATAATAATATAATATATATATATATATATTATATATTAGTTATACAAAATAATTTAATTAAAAATATATTAATCATTCAATATATATATATATATATATTATAGTATAATATAATATTTTTAAATACAATATAATATAATATATAATATTATATATAATATATAATATATAATATATTATAATATAATATATTATAATATACGACTGATTGTGTTCAATAGTTCAGTGGTGTTCAGTGTGCATCGCTGGGTTAGCGCAAACATGATATGAATCGAATTAATTATAGTACAGTGGCATTTCCATGGCTGCCCTGACCTTTCTTGGTGCGCATATTTTTGAAAGCAAACTAATTGTTATAGGGAAGCCATCTCAGAGACCCAATATAGCTGGATTACAATCCCACCCTACTCCAATGGATCCAAAACAATCATCTCAGAAATAGATATACCCCAGCTACTCTTGAGGGGAGACTGTATGTACACTGATCTGAAATTTGATTCTGAAAATCAATCGCATTTAATTATAAAATATACATATATATATTATCATGTGATTATTGATGTGCTAAGTACTAAGTGATAAATACTATTTCATTTATTGATGAACAAAACATATACAAATCAACCAACCACCCATATAAGATTTATAATCTCAAAATAGCCCCACAAGAAATATATTAAGATCATATATATTACATGTAATCCCACCATTGAACCCCTCACCCTGAGGAGCTGAGAGCCCGTAAATCTGCTCAATTCGCTCAGGCCGCCGAACCTCCGCTCAGCGATTGAAGGTGAGCTGTATGGATACAAGCAGAAGCTCATCGATGCCCGAAAGAAGATTCAACATGGTGTGGACAACAACAATGTTCCTTTGTCTTCATCAGTTAGGTTTGTTATCTTCTTGTGATCGAAAACACAAATGTAAAATATGTTTGAACTTGTGGTGTTGATTCATTTGTACTCAGGCCGTATTATATATTGTTGTGTTATATTTTGGTTGGTTTCATACCCAAACTTACATGTGGGGAACTCTATATAATGAAGAATGTTAACCGCGATGCCTAGGCAGTGGGAGTTGAGTCGGAAGTCGCTTCTGCAGACAAGATCGACACTGACTTCATGGACTTTCTGGAACGGGTGAACCTGAAATGATTTTGAAATACTTCAAATGTGTGTGATCCTAATCACACTTTTTGATTTCGTTGGCCCGACCAAGTACAGTAGCCTTCAAGGTTAGTGTGCCTATTGTTTCTTGCGATCAATCTATTTTGCAAGAGTCTCTGCCCATGATTTCGGTGCCAAATAACCACACCAAAAAAAAAACATTCACTGAGCTATTTCTGTTGGTGCTTTAATCTCACTCGCAGTGACTCTCTGGGGTAGCAAGATGGTGAGCACAGTCCTTGTCGATACTCATCGATGGTCTGATGGGCCAATGTGGACTTAAAGATCAGATTTCTTAGCCTATCAGCTGAATAGACAGCTGAGATGGTGTTGTCATTAGCATCTTTGCCCGTTTGCATCCGTGTGCCCGTGTGCTGTAGCAAAGGTGACCTATTCGACCAATCCAAAGAGTGCCAAAACAATGCCAATCTTTTACTTTGAACCTGTGGGTATAGCGCATTCAAAATAATTAAGGTTGTCAACATGAACATGATCCCTTTTAGAATTCAGCTACAGGGGTGACCACCAAAAGGGAATCATCCTTCTCATCCCAACGCAGGTCCCGAAGAAGAAGGCATCTCTGCCACATTGCACAATGCGATCTATGAAGTTGAAAGTGGCGTAACTTGGCAGTTTAGTTGTTGATTGGGGTGCCAAGGTCTTGCAGGGTCAAACTTGACTAGGAGGATACATCCTGGGTAACTGTTTAAACAGTGATCTACACACATGGCCCCCCCCTGTCACTCCACAGCTGAGGGAGCGAGCGTTGGCAAAGCAATGAAGAATATCCAAGCCCATGTGAAGGACCTTTGGCACGGGTTTGTTTTTTTTCTGTGTGCCGTGGGTTACTCAAATGGTAATGCGTTACTAAATATCTCAGGCTTCCAACCACTTAAATTTGTACTTGTGATATTATGATCGATAAATAATCCAATGGGTGTTGCCATATAATATATATTCTGATTACAAATTTGTGTTGTAGCCTCGTAGCTTACTTGTATAAAATAATGATGTTATATCAGCCACTTAATATTAAGATAAAGATAAACCCATATCATGGACTCATTTGTGGGAACCAGAATCATACTTTTCAAAGGGGCAATATACCAAAGCTTATAAATATTATTATGCACATACTTCAATAAAATCAATGTTCTTTTATGTGTTATTAATATAGGTCAAGGAAACCAACTACTATCATAAAAAATGATCTCGTTTCAAACAAACAAATATCAGTCAAATGAATAAGTTGATCTTTTTGTTTGAAACAAAATCAATCATAGTAGAACTATACTTCACTTTCCTGTGGAATACACGTGCCCCTGAACAGATATGTTGTACTCAAACAACCAATTACCAATTTGCATTCTATGAAAGCTTAATATGCCTACTGCCAAGCTTTGCAGGATGCTGGGCATGGAACAAAAGAGTCAACTACCTACCGCTTGGGTAAGCTCTCTGGCAAGAATGCGTCTCGGGATTGGTGGAGGACTTTCAAGGATGGACCAGTTACTGGCAGTAATGAGTATGATTTGCTGTAGAAACCAAGAACAATAAAACAATATTTGAGATATATTTTCTGGGGTTATTTGATTTCATCGACATCAACCACTTATGGACGACTAACCCAAACCCAGCTTAGGCCATTGAAACTATTCGGATTCCTATCAAGTACAAAGATTTAAACGATGGTCTCGACAAATTTCGGCTGGAGGATTGGCCAATCCTAGATCCACACAGTATTGCGAACTTCCTGTGGACAAAAGGTGGCATGAAAACACCAGAGGCAGCATTGGAAGAATATTGGAACCACAACTCCACACATGGAGAGCCCTGGGCCCAAAACGTTTCCCCCGATGTTCATCCTATTGGCATCTACGGGGACAGTGCGAGAGTCAACACCAAATTTGGATTCGTGTCTGTGGTGGGAATATATTTCAATTGTGTCCTTTGGAAACCGCAATCGGTGCGAGCAAGTAGATTTCTCGTTTGCAGCATTCCAGAGCATCAACTTTGGAAGCATTTTACATTGAACTGCATTTATAGACGTATCGCGTGGAGCATCACCGCATTGGTGAAAGGGATCCACCCTGAGAGTGGTCCCTATGGAGAAGCATTACCAAAGCACCTTCATGAGTTACGTGGGCAAGCCTTGCCCCACAGGTGCAAATTGACAGAGGTTCGTGGGGATTGGAGTTGGCATAAGAAAATTTTCCGATTCGAGCGATGTTCGTGGAATGGAATTCAAATGTGCCATCATTGCCCAGCACTTGCTGCATCACAAGATGCAGCTGACTTGTACTGGAATTTTGAAAACAACAACTGGGACTCCCATCTCTTCTCTTTGGATGAGTTCATCAACTACAGGATGCCACGTCGTGCAATGTGTAACTTGTGCGTGTTTCAAATCATGTTGATATATGTTTTTGGAATGCAACGTTGATGCAGTTTTGATGGAAACAAAATAGAATCATATGTATGTTTAATTGTGTTTTCTGACAAATAAGGTCCTCTTGTGGGCATACCTGGGTTTCACCCGTCAGTTGTACGATGGTGCTTAATGCACGTGTGCCACCTTGGCCTGTTGTTCGTGTGCAATGGCAGTTCCATGTGGCTGGTTGAAGACAAGAATATTTTCATTGTACTATATTATTTTGGTTTTTGGCCATTGTTATTCTGCAGGTGGCTTGGGTCTAGTCCAGTAGTTTGGCAATCTAAGGAATTTGTTGCTACGTGCTGGGTGGTTTGGCAGTGAGCCTGACATTCCTATTTCGGTGAAGCTGTCCCGGGCATATGTTTCCTTCAAGGACTTCATCAAGCTCAACAAAATTGAATGCTCGCAGCCAGAGTTCACAGAAAACATGGTAGCTGAATTACATATCTAGCAAGTTGTGTTCTTCAAAGCAGGTATTGTTTTCATGGATTGTGTTTTTTGGCTTCCATGTATTTTTTTGTTTGGCAATACCTCGGGAAAATTACACATAGCACATTTACTAGAATGCCCATCCATTCCTGTGCAGCTGAGATCTTCAAAAAGAACTCGGATGTGCTGTTCACTGCAAAGGCCTTTAATGGACGAGTGGTTCTGGAGTGGCTGTGTCAGGAAGTATATAGGTTCAGCATGACACCCGGTGCTGCAGCATTTGACCCTCGTGTGTTTCATATAGCTGCTGCTATGACACTATACCAAACTTGCTCGTAACATTTTTTGTTTGACCTTGCCAAAACATATATAGCTACAGCATATGCATGTGCATATGCATATGCATATATATCTCACATTTTCTAATATCTATTTTATAAATATTATTTGGCCCAAGCTGGTGGTTGCATTTAAACATGTGACTGGGTATCATGAGTTCCTATGTTGGTCCTTGACACACACACACACACACTCCTCCCACCCTGAGGGCCCAAGCTGAGCCAAGGAAGCACATGAGCCGTTTCCTGGGCCAGTTGGAGCAAGCAGGTCGGTACTTGAATCTTGGCACCTAGTTGGCCTATCTTCTTTGAAGTGTTAACCCAGTTGTTCAGGTATTCACTTCTACTAAGTAAAAATGTACTAAGGGTATGAGATTATGTAAAACAAGATAAAACAAGTATATTAGATTGATCTAGGTCCTGTTTTGAATTTCCAACAATTAATAGTAATCCCAATTTTACAACAGCATGCATTGACTGGCCTTGTTTTCAGCCTGGTGGCAGGACAGAAAACGAAGCCAACTCGATTTTCGATGATGGCAAGAAGTTTTTGGATCGGTATGTGCAGCTTACTGCAATGTCTGTAAGGTTGGGAATCAAAAAAAAAAACATACTCAAGGATTCTGACAATGTTTTTATACACATGTTAGGTGTTTTAATGGTGGGAAATTTCCTCTATATTCCCCAAGAAACGTAATTTGTTCAAGGTTGCAAAATTTGATGATTCAAAAGTTTGTTAGCTTTGATATATTATATAATATATACATATATTATATATATATCCAAATTGCAGCCAGGCATTCCAACTACCAATGTCCAGTCTTTTGAACCCTGCTAGGTTCGGCCATCAGGAATGGTTTCTTCGCCCCAAGTGCCATGAAACTTGGCAATGAGAGGGGTGGATATGTGCTATATAACTCGCATATATTTTAATTTTGCTGATGTTTGCCTAATATATTATATATAATATTACTTCGCCCTGGGGTATTCCTGTTGAGTTGGTCTATGAAAAATATATTCCATATATTTTTTAAACAATTATTGATATGATCGTGATTTACTGTTTTTGATTCGTGGGCTACATTCCTATATGAACCAATCCCCCAGCATTCCAACCACCATAAAAAGAAATGTCGTTTATCTAACCAAACCCCAAAGTTGTTTTGTTGGGTAGCTCAGGCACTTTGGCACATGTTGGTGGCTGTGAAGGTCCGACGTGGCTTGACTGGTAATTTCTCAACCTTATGTTTTTTAATCAACCTTGCCAATTCCCTAAGACAGCAGTCCAGCAGGGTTGTGACGCAGAACTGCCAGCCAGCCGAGGCTCTAATATCCGTTTCTTCCATGGATTTGTGGACGAGGACGGAATGGCTTGGCTGAAATGCCACTGGGCCAGCAGGAAAGTAGTTTGCCTACTGCTATGTAAGCTATAAGGGTTGGCCCTACTAGTCAACATCTCATGGGAACTGTTGATGTTTCTATCTGAGGTACTTATGCAAGATCGCATCCTCGCCATGCTATCCGCTGGATAATGCGATGTGGCAGATTGAGGATTGGTTGCAAATTCACACCTTTTAAATCTTGAACACCGGGTTAGGCCCACTTAACTGTTGACACTGCTCCAGGATATGGTCCACACACCTGAAAGTGAAGAAGTTATGTGGCTGCATTTTTTGGGTGTGCTGTTTCATCACTTTTCTGGTCTCATTGATTTTGGTGGCATTTACGTGTTTAGATTTCTTGTCCTTGAAACATGGAACTATCTGAGGTTTAACCAGTTTGTGGCTGCGAGACTGGCGAAGAAACGCTGACCCAGTGCGAAGTTAAAATGTGCAAGATGACTTGCTTGGTGGTATCACCCCGAACTGGCTACCCCCTGACAAACAAAGGTTGTTATATTAACGACCTTTCTTTTAAAGGTGGTTGGAATGCTAGGGCTAACATTCACTGTAAACATATTTCTTCCCTTGGTGACCAAGCGCTTGCGACGGACTGTCTGAGCAACACTCTCACGCTCGCCTGAGTGCGCCACGCGGTGACCCTCACTTAACCGACCCTCTAGCTGACCACGACTTCAACCCTGCTCCGTCGGAGACGACCGACGTTCACTCTCAACCGGCTTAGCTCAAACGTGCCAAATAAACATGCCTGTCAAACTCTGCCGGGGTGACCGTTCGCCGTGGTCGGTCTGAGCGACGCTCTCACGCTTGCTTGAGCAACGCTCTAGCTGACCCAGGGTTCCTTCGGCAGCCGAACCCGACCCCCGCAGGATCGGCGCACACCCAGCAAGGCGCCTTAGCGCATCGCCCTTGCTGTCATACCCGGCGTCCCGGGCGTTGGCCCCAAGTGTGCGGAGCGGTGTGTCCCCGCACCACCGGCCACCGTGGTGACAGCCGCCCATGCACTGCAGTTGCACAGTCCCGCTGCTCTGGTCCGGGGTTACAACCACAACAACTACAACGACGACAACAACAACAACAACAACAACAACAACAACAACAACAACAACAACAACAACAACAACAACAACAACAACAACAACAACAACAACAACAACAACAACAACAACAACAACAACAACAACAACAACAACAACAACAACAACAACAACAACAACAACAACAAACAACAACAACAACAGCAACAACAACAACAACAACACAACACAACACAACACAACAACCACGACAACCGCAGCAACAACAACAACAACACAACAACCACGACAACAACTCCCTGCAAGAAACACTACCCTTCAATCCGCCGCCGCGGCTCCCATGGTTGGGCCCCTGGCCGGCTGTTGCGCGTAAGCGCTTAAATCGGCTCCGCCGGCTCCCCACGAGTACGCTGACAAATGCGTCACGAGCGTCCCAGAGCGACTAGAGCTCTATGGTGAGGCGCGCCCCAAACCGCCGACCCTCCGACGCCGGGCCCCGAAAAACACCAAAAATCCTTCAGGAGGGTGGGGGAGAGCTTTTTGGCCGGAATCCGGGTCGCTCATAAGCGTCTCCAAGAGCAAAAGGCCCCCCCCCCGTTTGGAGGGTACCTAAAATCGGAAAAAAGTGCCGTTTTGACACATTTTTCGGACGATTTTTCGCTTTTCGAAAGTCACAAAATGCTGTAAATTACAGCATTTTTGCGTTTTAACGTCTTTTGCGGGAGCCATGCAAAAACGCAGAAAATGCTATAAATACTTATACTTTTTGGACCCAAGATGCACAAAACACCGCAAATACCAGTGTTTTTGAAAGCCAAGCAAAAAAAACACTGTAAATTACAGCATTTTTGGCGGGTTGATCGCAAAAACTGTTGGTATTCACAATGTTTTTGCAATTTCAAGAAAACGTGGAAGGCACGAAACACTGTAAATAGCGGTGTTTTGGCCACTTTTGGACGCCGAAACGCTGGTATTTACGCAGTTTTTTGCCCGTGGCGGCGCCAAACCCCTGTAAATTACAGCATTTTCTTCCCTTTCTGAACCGATTTTTTGCCTTGATGAATGCAAAAAAACGCTGGTATTTACGCGTTTTTCAAAAAATCGAAGATCGTGACGTGAACGAAACCCTGCAAATAACAGTGTTTTAGCCAAAACTGTGGTATTTACGCGGGTTCTTGCCATCTGACAGCGCAAAATGCTGTAAATTACAACACTTGGTGCGCTGTTTATGTTCAATTTTTTAACCCGCGATGCTTTCACCTGTTCTTTGCATTCTTCCACAAGAAACAATGTTGCAGATTGAAACTGGACGACAGCGTGACCCGAAAGAAAGCTGGAGGGAGGAGTCGCACAGAAGCTTTTACACATACAGGGGCTTTTACACAGAGAAGTCTTTACACAGAGGAGCTTTTTACACACAGAAGGTTTTACACAGAGAAGTCTTTACTCTAAGGAGCTTTTGCACACAAACATCTAGGAGCCTTTACACACAGAAGCTGTTACACAAAGAAGTCTTTACACAGAAGGCTTTTTACACACAGACGCGTTTGCACACAGAAGCTTTTACACAGAGAAGCCTTCACACAAAGGAGCTTTTACACACAAAAGCATTTACACACAGCAAGCTTTTACACACACAGGGGCTTTTACACAGAGAAGTCCTTACACAAAGGAGCTTTTTACACACAGAAGGTTTTACACAGAGAAGTCTTTACTCTAAGGAGCTTTTGCACACAAACGTCTAGGAGCTTTTTCACACAGAACTTTTTACACGAAAAAGGCCTGACAGAGAGAGTTTTTACACACAGACGCGTTTGCACATAGAAGCTTTTACACAGAGAAGCCTTTACACAGAGGAGCTTTTACACACAAAAGCATTTGCACACAGCAAGCTTTTACACACACAGGGGCTTTTACACAGAGAAGCCTTTACACAAAGGAGCTTTTTACACACAGAAAGTTTTACACAGAGAAGTCTTTACTCTAAGGAGCTTTTGCACACAAACGTCTAGGAGCCTTTACACACAGAAGCTGTTACACAAAGAAGTCTTTACACAGAAGGCTTTTTACACACAGACGCGTTTGCACACAGAAGCTTTTACACAGAGAAGCCTTCACACAAAGGAGCTTTTACACACAAAAGCATTTACACACAGCAAGCTTTTACACACACAGTGGCTTTTACACAGAGAAGTCCTTACACAAAGGAGCTTTTTACACACAGAAGGTTTTACACAGAGAAGTCTTTACTCTAAGGAGCTTTTGCACACAAACGTCTAGGAGCTTTTTCACACAGAACTTTTTACACGAAAAAGGCCTGACAGAGAGAGTTTTTACACACAGACGCGTTTGCACATAGAAGCTTTTACACAGAGAAGCCTTTACACAGGAGCTTTTACACACAAAAGCATTTGCACACAGCAAGCTTTTACACACAGGGGCTTTTACACAGAGAAGCCTTTACACAAAGGAGCTTTTTACACACAGAAAGTTTTACACAGAGAAGTCTTTACTCTAAGGAGCTTTTGCACACAAACGTCTAGGAGCTTTTTCACACAGAACTTTTTACACGAAGAAGGCCTGACAGAGAGAGTTTTTACACACAGACGCGTTTGCACACAGAAGCTTTTACACAGAGAAGCCTTCACCCAGAGGAGCTTTTACACACAAAAGCATTTACACACACAGGGGCTTTTACACAGAGAAGTCCTTACACAAAGGAGCTTATTACACACAGAAAGTTTTACACAGAGAAGTCTTTACTCCAAGGAGCTTTTGCACACAAACGTCTAGGAACTTTTTCACACAGAACTTTTTACACGAAGAAGGCCTGACAGGGAAAGTTTTTACACACAGACGCGTTTGCACACAGAAGCTTTTGCACAGAGAAGCCTTTACACAGGGGAGCTTTTACACACAAAAGCATTTACACACACAGGGGCTTTTACACAGAGAAGCCTTTACACAAAGGAGCTTTTTACACACAGAAGGTTTTACACAGAGAAGTCTTTACTCTAAGGAGCTTTTGCACACAAACATCTAGGAGCCTTTACACACAGAAGCTGTTACACAAAGAAGTCTCTACACAGATATATAGCTTTCACACACAGACGCGTTTACACACCGAAGCTTTTACACAGAGAAGCCTTTACACTTTACACAGAAAGTTTTTACACACGGAGGCTTTTACACACAGTGAAATCTTTACACAGACGTTTCACACAGAGAAGCTTTCACACACAGAAGCTTTTACACAAAGAAGTCTTTACATAAAGTGGTTTTTACACACAGAAACTTTTACACACAAAAGCTTTTACACAGAGAAGTCTTTGCACAGAGGCGCCTTTACACGAAGTAACAAGTTGAAATTGGCAGCAGTTCTTCGGGAAAAACCCTTGGCAGGAGCTTTCGGGAACTCACTTGCTCCCCAAAAAAGCCGTCTATTTCCAACAAAGTTCCTATTCGATGAACTTTTTTCAAAAAACATAAGGACTATATTTCTGAAGCAGGTCCCCATCCAAAAGCTTTCAAGCCCACACTGCGATGAAATGGAGGGTCGAGAAATCCGGCGGAGCCGACGAGGGGCGTCAGCCCTTAAAATCCGGCCAGGGGCCCCCTGGCCGTGTCCTTGCCGAAGGCGTTTCTCTCCTCTCCGTAGGAGAGAGGGGCCGCGCCCCCTGCCGCCGACCTCTCCCCCCCGCCAAAAACTGTCCTGTTTTACGGTGTTTTGTGCTCTTCCCATTTTTTCCCATTTTTCGGATCTTGTGGTTTAAGATGGGTCAACATGGGCCAACATAGGCCTCAAGATGGGCCAACATAGCCCCAACATGGGCCAACATAGCCCCCAAGATGGGCCAACATAGCCCCAAGATGGGCCAACATAGCCCCAAGATGGGCCAACATAGCCCCAAGATGGGCCCACATTGCCCTCAAGATGGGCCAACATAGCCCCAAGATGGGCCAACATAGCCCCAAGATAGGCCGCCGACCATCAAATATCCTGCGTTTTACAGCGTTTTTTTGCTGTTCCCATTTTTCGGATCTTTTGGCTCAACATGGGCCAACATGACGCAAACATAGGCCAACATAGCCACAAGATGGGCCCTCGTTGCCCGCAAGATAGGCCAACATACGCCTACATAGGCCAACATATAGCCACACGATGGGCCAACATAGTTGGGCCCCTGGCCGGCTGTCGCGCGTAAGCGCTTAAATAAGACAAACATTCTGATTCTGGCCCAGGTGCACTTCATCTTTTTTTAAGTGATGTTAAGTGTTCTTCCAACCACTCAATGACTTCAAGCCATGAACAAGTCCGTCCCAAATCAGCATCATCTGTTCAGAGACCCTGAAAACTACGAGCAATGGAAAAAATCTTAGATGAACTAGGCCTTTTTGTTGCATGATTTCCCCAAATTTCCCTCAATTTCCCATGATTTCCCCAAGTTTTCCACATGATTTTCCCACCGAAACTCCCCTTGACCCCCCCTGGGCTCCCCTGGCGCCGCATCGCCCCTGGGCGCCTCCAAGGGCGCCGCTTCGCGCGCGGCCAAGACCGCTAACTCACCGTCCAGGTCCTGGGGATTTGACACATCAAAACTGGTGATTTTTGGGGGAACCTTAAGCAAAATCACGCAAAATCTACAGGAAACCGTTCACCTTTTACAGACATTGATGTAAAATTAGAGGTTCTGTGATTCGAAATTCTTCGACGAATTCTGGGATTAATATGGATCAATTGGGGGGCGACCGGCGACCCGGCGACCCAATTTGACACGCTATGGCTATCACTTAGTTTGGGGCTGAGGCCATCAATTGCTGCAATCCAGCATTGACATTGCTGGATGTTTTCTGGATCAAAATCAAAATCTGCTCCATTTTGGATGATTTCCGGGTAATATTCAGAGACGACCCAGTGCCACCACTAGGAGTACCTTAACTACCTGGAGCACAGGTCCTCTACGATCACTGGAGATGCTGACAACTGATATCTTGCCTCAGATCTGAAGCCCTTCTCAAATGATGGGACTTTGGCATCAGGGTCCAAAGTTAGAGGATTTCTGACAGTAAATGGTTCAATACTGTGGCTTCAGTCTGAATTCTGACGAACAAGATCAAACTTCCATGAATTGTGGCCTCCATTCCGCAGTGACGACGGTCTAAGATTCCTGACCAATGCTGCATTCACCGAATCGCCGGATTTGTGTGTAACGGCCTCCAACAGCGACTCAAAGGCACAGTCAAAGTGTGGACGCATAGGTTTTCATGAGCAAAGGGAAGTATAGTAAGTATTTCTTCAATGGGTTAATCATAATTTGGAAGAAACTGGAGGAATATGGAGAAATGTCTGAAAATAGGGTAATTACATGTAATTACCCAATTACATTCCATGGTTTCGAACCTCATTTAAAATATTTGAAGATATTTAAACTGTACATGTATTAAGTTGGGTTTCTATATCTTATAATTATATATGATATGGGTCTGTTTGAAAATAGGCTACCACCGATCCCATGGTGGCCATTAGGGGAGACCCACACGCCAGGCTGAGCTCGGGACCAGTCTCAGGTCCGTGACCTTCTGCAGTTCCGCCAGCTGACTCTCATCCTGGGTGAGATCAGCCCAGGTGGAAAAATCACCGGCCAAAAAATGGTGAAAAAGTTGATGTTCACCTGCAAAAATGAGGAAAAAATGAGTTTCACCTGACAAAAATCGGGGAACAAATGATTCTCACTGGCAAAAATTGGGGGTTCCATCCAAGAAAATGATCAATATTGTGGGGAATCACCAGCAAAAACCTGAATGTTGAACATGATTTCACTGGCAAAACGTTGAACTTCACCAGCCAAGGATTGGGATTGAACCATCCAATAGCCGTCCTTAGCAGTGGCGACCGCTGCGCCCAGCCAAGAACAGGACACCTGAACAGCCGATGACGATGTCTTGGAAAGGAAGATGTGTTGGACCACAGACTTATGTTCCGCATACTTGGGGATATTGTTTGCGGTGTGTGAGGATCAATTTCAAAAGAACTTGCGCATGCGGGGACGGTTCTCATGGCGCCTGCAGCAGCAGATTGTCTGCAGAGTTTGGGAGGTCAGTGACCACAGTGCTACCTCCTCGGCAAAGCCCGGTGAGGCTTTCTGATGTAAACCCAGGATTAGCAAAACCCCTGGCTACTAATTGGGGAGGTTACCAATTTCAACAATTTACCATCTGGTAAATAAACATAGACCCTGAAAATCACCCATTTTTAATGGAAACTAGTCTTCCAACCCCTATCTGCCAGGGTCTATGTTAATTTACCAGAGGGTATCTTTTTTTGGGGTAACCGTAACCCCCCATCTGTTTCACAAACGCTCAACTGGGGCCCTTGCGCGTCACACCATGCTTGGCCAGACCAGCGGCAACGCGTCCGGCCTCGACAAGTCTGCTAGAAAAATGGCAATTGAAGCAGGTGACTGAAGATAGGAAACAAAAATCATGGCAGGGTCTGATTTGAGAGAAATTTAGCAAACATGTAATGTGTATATTGTTGTATTGTATATTAATGTATATTAATATATTATCATCATATCATTGCATGTCATTATATATCAAAATATATCTATATACACAGGTATGATAGACCTTTACGAATATGGGCAGCCATATGATTTGTGTATCGAAAATGCCTCAGCCCAATCCAAGTCACCCGGCTCTTTCTTCAACTTCTTTGAAGCTCCACCGCACGCCTCAACCAGTTCCCTACCTGGAACGCTACCCGCTAACGAGCGAATATAGCTGTGCATGTTGACTTTAGCAAGTGGATAGATTCTTATATATAGATGTGTTCTTCTGTCACCTGATAGATTCTGATAGATGTGTTCTTCTATCCCTGAGTTTGCATTGCTTGCAATTTGCTTGCATGGAAGCATCCATTCACATCTGCAGACGTCTGCCACTTTAAGGTTGAATCATGCCTCAACACATGGCGTGGTTTCTGGCTATATGTGTTGTGTGTTTTGCATTACCACTGGAAAACCTGACACTGAGCTTGGTTCAGTGTTCTCGTGATAATCGTAATGTTGCTGATGATGCTGCTGGTGATGGTGATGGTGATGGTGATGATATTTGTGGCAGTGATGATGTCATCACCATCACCATCACCAGCAACCCAACCCTGCTGATTACACAACCAAGAGAAAGAAACGTCAGGGAGGTCAAGTTTCAGATGCTTCTGACGACGTCAGATTGACATCAGAGAGCAACGCCGCTCCCATATTTTTTTCGCGCTCATGTTGGTTTATGGTTGGTTTATGTTGGTTTCTAGTCTGGATGTTGATAGCCATTGACCAACATAAACCAACCATAAACATCCATAAACCAACATAAACCAACCATAGACCAACATGACTGTTTATGGTTGAAAGCCATTGACAGGCTGTTTATGATGGTGATGTTGATCCAGTCAACAGGCGCCTTGCTTCGGCGCCGCCACTGCCAAGTGGGAGCCGTTCTCCTTTGCCTCGCAGAGACCAGCCCGAAAACGTTTCAACTGACATAGGTTTCAGCCTTTATTAAGTTGGTATATAAAGTAAATATCATTCACTATGTCATAATAATATAATTAATGACACTCAGCCGCACAGCAAAGCGTCTATTGCAGCCTTTTGCCGGACCACAAAACGTATGACAATGTTGGGTCAAGTACTGAAAATGGCAACGGAGGCATCAGGATGAATCAGTAATGTTTCCCATGTCAATGCCATGCTTCAACAGCTGATCTTCTTCTTTTGTTGACATGGGACGGTAGATGGTACATAATACTGATGCTACCGCCCCCAATGGAGCTTGCAAATTGCGTAGCTCTTTCATTGGAACCTGCTCTTCCAGAACCCTCCACTCAGAAAATCCTGAGTCATGATCGAAGCGGCCGTAAGTGCTTCGAAGTGGAAATTGTTGAGGATCGCACCTAGGAGCAGGAGACCTAAATGACTTTGCATTACGGGCAACTTGCATCACCAGTCGGTCTTCAAAATGCCAACCGGGAGTTTCACCAAGCCTATGCAAATAGGGAAAAATCGCATGACTCTCACTCAGCAGCTGCCCAGGAAGCTCCGCCGTAGAGCTTGTCAAAGTCAAAGGTTTCGTCTTGCCACCCTTCGAGGATTGCTTGATGAACTTGGTGGTGTACTTGGGGCACCATTCGCCTGAAGTCAAGATCTCACGCATGTGCTCCAAGTCCATTTCCTTGGTTCCTCCATCGACGAACATATTCTCTGTCGATGTCCAACGCAAGCTGGTGTTGGGACGTCGCAACATCGTCCTAATCCATGCCACGGTGAATGCCAGGGATTTCTGAGAACCATAGCTTGGAGTGTCTGACAGGCATTTGTCAAACACGTCTTTCGCATCGACCACCACAGTCAAAGGAATGGCATCCAAGATGGTGTCCACATGACGCATCTCCAGAGGATAGCCGCTAATTGAAGCCAACAACCCTCTGCAGTATTGCCCAACGTCAAAAGCTTCTTCTGTTCCAAGAAGTTCAGCTGCAAACGTTGATCGACAAACCCTTTGCAAACGATGGCTCCTAGCATCCAACAAGCAGCATCTGCCAGTCTCGCCTTTCATCAGCTTCTCTTCCGCAAGGAGCACCACATAGGAGGCCTGGCTGTAGACCTTAGTTGAAACATCGCCAGTTGTGCCACCGTCTTTAGTGACGTTTCCCAAGGACGCATCTGAGACTACCATGATGCCACAATTCTTCAAGGACATAGGATAGAATCGTAGACCAAAACTTGCAGTTGACTTGAAATTCTTCACCAGAATGTTAGCCCTCAGCAAAGTTCCAATCGTGGGTTTCTCTCCTTGCAGTGTTGACAATGCGAAGCCTTGATCAACTCGCACTTGAGCCACAAGCCACTGAAGAGATCCAAGAATCGCTCTCAGTTGCCTTCGTTCACCATCAGTCAGCTCGGCATCGGGCTGTCGCTTTCGGTGAGGAAGAATGGAAACAGGTTGAAGATTTGCATGATACTCAGGCATTGTCACATGAACCACTCCATGCTCGTCTTGGCTCACCTTTTTCCCACAATAGACAAAGGAGTCTCGTTCCACCGTACCGAATCCAAGCTGGGCCTCAAGGCTCATGATGCTGTCGAGCGCTTCCTTACATCCACCACATAGCAAATCATCCACATGAGACAGCACAACGCCCAAGAGAATGCGTTCTCCAGAGTCACTTTTGCCCCACAGGAACCAACACACTGCATCCATCGTACTGCGGATCCATCCCAACTCGGTCAGAGCACGGTGAAGACGCAAGTACCATTGTCTCGGTGCATCACTGAGGCCAAACACCCCTTTCTTCACCTTTGCTAAGCCGATTGCACAGAAAGGCAACATCGGTTCACCATGACGGCCCTTGACATTCTCAACGAACAACTCCCTAGTACCTGCAAGGTATGGGGCGCCCTTCATGAAGGCAGATTTCACATCCACCGACAAAAGTCGCCAACCTCTGGCACTGTGGTAGGATGCCGTCAATGTAAACACAAGATGCTGACTGGTTCTTGAGGCTGTAGGTGCATCTTTTCGCATGCCATAGGATATCACATCCTTAAAGCCAGGAACCACAAGCCGCGCATTGGCCTTCAGCTCCAGGTTATTCTGCGGAGTCCTCAATCCATCATGTTTGTCGGTGAAAACCCACCGAGGCGTCAAAATCTTGCACTCCTCTTTCTTCTTCTTCAAATCAGAGCGCACACGAGCTGCTTCTTCATCTGGCAGCACCTCGACGGCGTCGTTGGCAATCCAAACATTCCAACCAGCATCAGCTGCTTTGCGATATGCCTCCTTCTGGTCTTCATTCATGTTTGACCAGAAATATTCTTTTCGTGCGGTCTGCACTGCCATCGCTTCATTGAAGTCATCTTGTCCACAAGGCCAATCGCATCCAAGCTTCTGTCTGGCGGACCACTCTGTCTGAGAAGGCAGCTGCCAATCACCACGCCAAGTGCCGTGATCGCGAACCACTGAGTCCAGGGGTTGCAACCGATCGCCACAAGCTTCAGCATGTAGGCGCACCAAGGGATGAACCTGAGCAGCATCTTCTTCTAGGACTGAAAAGATTTCCTCCTTGGACATCATCAATGCATCATGCACTCCATCTGAAACACCCGCTTGCACGGCCGAAGGATCTAGAAGTTCTGCCTCAGGTTGCCGAACATCCAGGCGCAATTGCTCTGGGGCAACTTCCGATGCTCGTTTCCCACTCATCTCTCTGACCCTATCAATTGCCGTACTCATTCGTTGAGACATAGCGCTCGACGACGGCAAGGGATTCGTCAGAGGAGTAGCAGGTGCTGAAAATTCTGCTGACCGCCTACGAGAAAAACTACCCGCAGGAAACTCTGATGACTGCCTTCTGGACAAACTGCCCACTTGAGAAGGTATCGCACCCTGCTCAAAACTTGCTTGCACAGCGCCAACAACTTCTTGGGGTTGTACTGGCGGCAAATCACTCAAAGCTTGTTCCTGTGCTACAGCTGCAGGCAATGTGGCTCCACCAGACGGGGCGCCGAGCATAGGTGTTGCAGGAGCAGGAGTGGAAGGTGCAGGAGTCGCTGGGATCCCATCTGTAGGATCAGCACGACCATCTGACGGAAGTCCACTCAGAGTCATGTCGTGCACAGCTTGACAAACTGCATCTTCAATTGCATCCCTCCACGTATCCGTGGTGATTTGTTCCATGGGTGATGCTCTTCTGATGTGTTCCAAGCTGCATTTTGTCAACTGACCCTTAAAGGAAAGATATCCATTTGCACCATCACCACCATCAGAACTCTTTTCCACAGCAACCAAAAGTGCAGGGCCATGCCAACGCCGCAGGGACAATCTCTTCCTGCTACCACTCAGCTTGTTGTTGTATTTCTGGAAGCGGAAGAAATAGACAATGTCACCTGGGGCGGGCACATCTGCAATGGTGCTGCTGCGGTTGCGAGCCAACTCTGCTCGTCTCAGTCCCCTGCTGAAGTGGAGCCTGGTCATGGCGACCTTGGCTGTTTCTCGCAAGGCCAATTGCCTGGCGAAAAGATTGTCTTTGGTCACCAGATCATGTTCAGCCAGACGTCCTTGTATGTCAGTCAGGACGTCACCCGGCAGTCTAGGCGCCTTACCAAGAGCAGCCTGAGCAGGTGAGACACCACTGTCATTGATGTCATTGTTGTAGGCTGAAAGCGCCTCCCCAAGGGCCAGGCTCATCTCTTCCTTGCCTATGACAGAGTTGGCAGAAACTGTCGCCGCAAGAAGAGCCTTCAAAATCCCACCGGATCTTTCTGCTATCCCGTTTTGCCACGGCGCACCAACTCCGGTGTGCCACAACAGCACTGATTGCTCAGAGCAAAAATCTTGGAACTGGTGGCTGACGAATTCTCTGCCTTGGTCACAAACAAGAACTCTCATGGGGCCAAAAACAGGCATCCACATTACCTTGAAAAACTTGATCACATCGTCAGCAGCCTTTCTGTCCAAAATCTGTGCCATTTGGAAACGTGTGCAGAAATCAGTGACATGAATGATGACATACTTGTTGTCTTGACTATCCACGGCTTCCAGCAAATCACAATGAACTTGATCAGAAACGTCTCTGGGATGAGGCAAAGAAGCAGGCCGTTGGGGCTTAGGTGGAACCTTCTCCAAACAAATGCTGCATTTGTGTTCCTTTGCAGCACGCACCACAATGGCCGGTGCTCCCGCTAGGGTCAAGGCCCTTGCCAGTCGACGATTGCTCCTGTGGCCTGTGTTCTCGTGAAGCCTAGCCACAGTGGCCTTCACTGAAGCAGGAATCTTTTCGTCGACCGACTGCTCAATGCCCTCTTCAATCTCAGAGTCACTGTCAAAGTGAGGAAGGGCGGACACTGCAAAATCGTCCTCACCTTCATCATGACCAACTGCCAGCACTTCAGAGCTCTTCAAAGACCCCTTGTTGAATTCCTCCTCCATACCCTTCACCAAGCATCTGGCTAACTGCACGGGGTAGTGCCCAGCGTGTGCTGTCACTGCCACACCGCCAATCACAGGGTCGTGAAGATGAGTGCGCGTGCACTTCTGGTCTTCAAACTTGGATGCCACTGAAAAACTTGAAGAAACTAGCCGTGTTGACTTCCGATGAAGATTCCCTTGACGGCTACGAAGTCCAAGCCGACATTGATCAAAGTCCACAATTGCTGGAGCCCGCGATGCCAAAAACTTCAGCATCCGCGGCTCTTTCCAAGCACCACTCGGCTTGGGATTCTCAAGCACATAGTGTCTGCCACCATCAAGCTGGATCTGCGCGAGCTCGAGTGCAAAGTCCATGAGCACACGGCCCTGATCCTGAAGCTCTTGAAGACGAGGCGAAGGATTGAGTCGCTGGAGTGGGCTGAAAGGCCCGCAAGGAAAAGCCAACATCAGAAAAAGGGGCTTTTCAGAGCGTACAACACGCTTGGCTTCCTCACGATCTGCTTTGTTGAGAAAATTCCAGCCCGTCTCCAAACTCATGGGGGTGCCCACTCGGTGACCACGTTTTGCAGCTTCTTTCATAACTCTTTGAGTGTTGGTGTAAACCTCAGAAACCAACGGAGTTGCCATGGACCTCTGCTCTGTCTTCCCCTGAATGCCGCGCAAACGTGACAAAGGAGACTTCAAGAGCGAGGATCCCTTCAAAGTCCTAGTCATTGGTTGTGACCTGCTTATACTGGAAAAACTGGAACCGCTCAGAGACCTGGACTTACTCAGTGATGTGGAGAGGTCAATCGCATGAACAAAGGGCTCATCATTGATATAGCCACGCATCTCTTCTTCAAACTCAGTCAACATCACCTGCCTGATCTCTTGCCGACCTTGAGACACCCTCTTGCAATCAGCCATGTGTCGATTCCAGGCATCTGCAATCAGTTTGGCTTGACCTCTCTTGAGATCCTGTTGAAGTTCCCAAGGACCAGCATCGTTCACGGATCCAACACCACTGTTCTCTCCTCCGCGGTCAGGTCTACAGGGCCATATTGGGCCTCCAGTCGTTGCTGCCATTCTCCTTCCATAAGGTCTTGGCAACCCTCCGCATTGATCCGATCCCAATCCTCCTGTGACGGCACCATGCCATCGTCGCACTGATCTGCCATCATCACATCGCTGGCCGCCATGTCGAACTGATTCGTCACGGCTCCTTGACTTTGGATTCCATGCCCTTGATGAAGCTGATTCAATGCCATTGCGACTTGATTCATCATCTCTTGAAACTGCTTTTGCTGAACTTGAATTTGGGATTGGACCTCCAGCGGAAGAGAAGACGCTGAAGACCTCGTGACACTTGGCGCCTTTGCCAACTGAGCCGGAGGAGCCTTGAAACGAGGCTCGGCCGGTGCTTGTGCCTTTGACTTTGGCTGGTTCTTCAAAAGCTCCACACTGGGCCGAACTGCCTCTTTGATCTCTGGGACAGTCATCTTGTCCGTCACGTTCACCTTCAGCAAGGCTGCCAATCTCACTAAGTCTTGACGCAAAGTTGGAAGTCCACCTCGAGGACCTATCAAGGACCGTGCTTCGTCCTCTGCCTTGCCCTTTTGAAACGCCACCACTGCCTTTTGCTGGGCCTCCTTGATGACATCCCGCTTGATCTGCGAAGCCAGACCCGCAACTGCCTTCCCAGCCAACATTCCGGAAAGCAGCGGGTCTTCCAAGAAGGCCAGTTTCAGGCCCATGCGGTTTCGCAGCGTCACGGCATTCTGCAAGTTCAGGAGATTGATCCCACCTGCCTTTTGCACCTTCAGAAAAGCCGACCTTGGCAAACTCTTGGCTTCCATCATCTCCAAGGCCTGAATCTCCCACAGGTGTGTGTTTGCTACTGAAGGGTACGGACAAGGGAGATGCCGAAGTTCGGGATGCCGCACAAGCCAAAGCAAAAGTCCAGAAAAGTGCCATCGGGATCTTTCGGCGAGGCGCAGAACGAATCTTCGCCACTTTTGCATGAACCCCACATTTGCCGGCATTTCCATGAGTCACAGTCAAGCACTCACGCTCAGAGCGCCGTGCCAAAGAGCTCGGTCGGGAGGACGCAGGAGATGAAGATGTCGGAAAAACTGAATTGGCACGACGAGTCATGCGGAGATCTTGAACCAAGGTTGGCACGTTATCCGCTTCATCTTCATCCACAAAATCATGAACCACTAAACTTGCCTTCAAACTGCGTTCTGTGAGAAAATGCTCATGTGAACCCTTTTGACTTTCAATGTCTGTCTGACTACCCAACTTTCTACGCAGCCACTCCTTTGTTGACATCTGAAGCTCAACCACACCATCAATGCCAAGTCTCCTCCAACGCTGAGTGCCCACACCTCTCCAAGATGGCGGGAGCAGCGGCAGCAGGTAATGGCCTGCAGCGAGTTGCTTCAGAGGAATGGCTGTCGAATCAATGTAGTCAAACTTGATGACCCTTTTCGAAAAGCTCATGGTAGCACCCAAGGTTTCCAAAAAATCTCTTCCAAGAAGAAGACCAAGACTGGGGACAGGGACAATGGAGACATTGAAGCATACCAAATTGTTACCAATCATCATAGGAAGACGCCAACGCTCTCGGCTGACTTGAGTTCCACCATCACCAAACCTAAAGGTCTCATTCTCAGGGGTGCATTGAACCAACGCTTGAACATCACTAGGAGCTGTTTGAAGAGCTTGAATGAACGTGTTCAGCCATTGTGGACCTGTCACGGTCCGGTTGCAGGCTGAGTCCAACGCTCCAACCAAACGCTTGTCCTGAGCCAGGCCGACATGAACAGCATTGACTTCTCTGCCAGGGGGAACATGGTCAAGTGCTTCACCAATAGACATGTTGGGGTACGCCTTGCTCACTGTCAAAACCTCATTGACCTCTTGGGGTTCCTGAAGTCCAACATCTACCACATGCTCGGTGTTGAAGGACTCCACAACCTTGACAGACTTTGGCTTGCGAGCACTTTTTCGACCCAAGCCAGCACCTGGGTTCGGGCAAGCCGCATCGCCCGCCCAATGACCGGGCTTTCCACAGTCAAAACAGGGATACTTTCCCGAGGACTTTTTGGCATCGACCTTTGACTTGGCCGATGAAGCTGCAGAGCCAGATGGAGGCACTTTGCCATAGCCTCTGTCCTTCTTGACTTCAGCCAGTTGATGCCTCGCTTCTCGCATTGTCACCAAAGCTTCTGCCGCAGACTCTACAGAATCCTCAAGGCTTTGGATGAAGTCTGCATCAACTCCATCTTCCAACGCCTCCTCAAGTTCTGTGGCCAAGATCTCTGCCTCGGCCTGCAACACCTCCTCCAAATTTCCACCACCCTCAGGCTCAGCCGTCGGCTCCTCTTCATCTTCAGGAGCTTCGTCCTCTTCAGTCTCGGTGACATTTGCCTGACGCATGGAAGAAGGAAAAGGCCTACGGTATGTAGAGTTTCTCGAGGCAAAAGTGGATGAAGTCTTACCAGAACCACCAGAAGACATGGATGCCGCTGCAGATGAAGGAGGATACGAACTCCTAGAAGGAAAACCACGCTGCTGAGCCAAGAAACGATTGAGCACTGGATTCCTTGGAGCTTCAGTCACACGCCTTGACAAAGGATCAGAAACATGCAAGTCCCTGAAAAGTCTCAGCACTTCCACCTCGGTTTCTTCGTATGTTTCCTTCCCCTGCAACGCCGTCTCCAAAAGTTGCTGGCGGATGGCATCTAAACCCAACTTTTGTTTCAGGAACCAGCCCAATTCCCCGGAAGGAAGTGTCACTCCTTCCATTCGCAGGTCAGCCACTGCTGAACGAAATCTGGTGCAAAATTCCGAAATTCTTTCTCCTGGTTTCCTTTTCATTTCCAAATAAAAGGAATTCCGCAAATCACCTCGCTTGTCCAACACAGTCTTTCCATTGATTGACTCCAAGGCACTCATGAGCTTGCGAATGCCATGGAGAGGATCAGCAGGAGTCAGAACCACATCCTCACCTGTCTCAGGATCGCGACCAGTCACTTCAGGTTGATGGGCAAGCTCACTGGGACTAAACTCTTCCCCACGTTGCCTTACTATTCCTGTTTGTCTCAACAACCAACGTGCTGCTAGATTGTATTTGGTGGTACTAGCAACATCCAAGGATTCCAACCACCAGTCCATCTCCCTCTTGAATGCTCTCCAAGATTTCGGGTCGCCATCCCACGTCGGGACACGACTCCAAGCTCCACTGCCCTTCTCATCGTCCATCATTGAAACACTGCAAAAAATGCAAAAAACTGCAAAACTGATGGGCCCTCCTTCAAGGAGTAAAAGTCCACCAAGGTGAAAACGTAGAGGATGAACTCAAATGAATTCGAATCTGATTCGCCCTGTCCTTAATCGAGCCCAGGGAACCCGCAAGGATCCACCGCCAAGATTTCAAGAGCCAGGATGGAGTCAGTCACGCAAGATCGAAGAAAAGGGGAGCCAGGAGCAGGTAGCAAGCAAGAAGTAGCGCAGCCCTGGAAAGTAGGCTCCGGTGCCACTAATGACACTCAGCCGCACAGCAAAGCGTCTATTGCAGCCTTTTGCCGGACCACAAAACGTATGCCAATGTTGGGTCAAGTACTGAAAATGGCAACGGAGGCATCAGGATGAATCAGTAATGTTTCCCATGTCAATGCCATGCTTCAACAATAATAAATAAACAAATAAATATATACATATTATACTAAAAATATCTATATATAAACAAATATAATTATATATAATTATTGTACATGCAGATATTCAAGGATTCCAGTGGCTGACCATCCACCGCCTCCCCCATAGGACATGATTCGATGTTAAAGCAATTCAGATTCAACATATCATGTTAGGAGACTGGCAAGGTGATAGTCGACCGCAGGATCACCTTTTTCCGTGGTGAAACCTTACCGAAATGAAGCCAAGCTGAGGCATTGCTGGCTGTTCTGTTTCTATTGACTCAGGTGTTTCCCTCCGCGCTATTTGCATCTTTCAGCTGGCCCATGGCTCTGAGGCAACATGCCAAATTGTTCACTGAGCCCAATGTGTGAGGATGGTCGGCACCGAGGGTGCGCTCACGGGCCTCCAAACCTCTCCTGTGGAGGACTTCTGCATCTTTCAGCTGGCCCATGCCTTTGAGGCAAATTGCCAAATTGTTAACTGAGCCCAATGTGTCAGGATGGTCGGCACCGAGGGTGCGCTCACGGGCCTCCAAACCTCTCCTGTGGAGGACTTCTGCATCTTTCAGCTGGCCCATGTCTTGGAGGCAATTTGCCAAATTGTTCACTGAGCCCAATGTGTGAGGATGGTCGGCACCGAGGGTGCGCTCACGGGCCTCCAAACCTCTCCTGTGGAGGACTTCTGCATCTTTCAGCTGGCCCATGCCTTTGAGGCAAATTGCCAAATTGTTAACTGAGCCCAATGTGTCAGGATGGTCGGCACCGAGGGTGCGCTCACGGGCCTCCAAACCTCTCCTGTGGAGGACTTCTGCATCTTTCAGCTGGCCCATGTCTCTGAGGCAATTTGCCAAATTGTTCACTGAGCCCAATGTGTGAGGATGGTCGGCACCGAGGGTGCGCTCATGGGCCTCCAAACCTCTCCTGTGGAGGACTTCTGCATCTTTCAGCTGGCCCATGTCTTTCAGGCAAATTGCCAAATTGTTCACTGAGGCCAATGTGTCAGGATAGTCGGCACTGAGGGTGCGCTCACGGGCCTCCAAACCTCTCCTGTGGAGGACTTCTGCATCTTTCAGCTGGCCCATGGCGCTGAGGCAAATTGCCAAATTGTTCACTGAGGCCAATGTGTCAGGATGGTCGGCACCGAGGGTGCGCTCATGGGCCTCCAAACCTCTCCTGTGGAGGACTTCTGCATCTTTCAGCTGGCCCATGTCTCTAATGCAATTTGCCAAATTGTTCACTGAGCCCAATGTGTCAGGATGGTCGGCACCGAGGGTGCGCTCACGGGCCTCCAAACCTCTCCTGCAGAGGACTTCTGCATCTTTCAGCTGGCCCATGGCGCTGAGGCAAATTGCCAAATTGTTAACTGAGCCCAATGTGTCAGGATGGTCGGCACCGAGGGTGTGCTCATGGGCCTCCAAACCTCTCCTGTGGAGGACTTCTGCATCTTTCAGCTGGCCCATGTCTCTGAGGCAAATTGCCAAATTGTTCACTGAGACCAATGTGTCAGGATGGTCGGCACCGAGGGTGCGCTCTCTGGCCTCCAAACCTCTCCTGTGGAGGACTTCTGCATCTTTCAGCTGGCCCATGTCTTTGAGGCAATTTGCCAAATTGTTCACTGAGCTCAATGTGTCAGGATGGTCGGCACCGAGGGTGCGCTCACGGGCCTCCAAACCTCTCCTGTGGAGGACTTCTGCATCTTTCAGCTGGCCCATGTCTTTCAGGCAAATTGCCAAATTGTTCACTGAGGCCAATGTGTCAGGATGGTCGGCACCGAGGGTGCGGTGCGCTCACGGGCCTCCAAACCTCTCCTGTAGAGCACTTCTGCATCTTTCAGCTGGCCCATGTCACTGAGGCAATTTGCCACATTGTTCACTGAGACCAATGTGTCAGGATGGTCGGCACCGAGGGTGCGCTCATGGGCCTCCAAACCTCTCCTGTGGAGGACTTCTGCATCTTTCAGCTGGCCCATGTCTTTCAGGCAAATTGCCAAATTGTTCACTGAGCCCAATGTGTCAGGATGGTCAGCACTGAGGGTGCGCTCACGGGCCTCCAAACCTCTCCTGTAGAGGACTTCTGCATCTTTCAGCTGGCCCATGGCTCTGAGGCAATTTGCCAAATCGTTCACTGAGCCCAATGTGTGAGGATGGTCGGCACCGAGGGTGCGCTCACGGGCATCCAAAACTCTCCTCTGGAGGACTTCTGCATCTTTCAGCTGGCCCATTTCTTGGAGGCAAATTGCCAAATTGTTGACTGAGCCCAATGTGTCAGGATGGTCGGCACCGAGGGTGCGCTCGTGGGCCTCCAGAACGTCGGTCAGCATGATCTTGCTCTCTGGGAAGTAGCCTCGCTTCCTCAGAGCATCCCCCAAACGCGCTTTCGCAGCAATCTTGAGGCCAGGACTCTGAGCAGCCGCTTCGCGTGCGCGGAGAGCATCTAACAGGCGAGATCGAGCATTGGCAACGCCGTTCTCACCAGCCACCCGGAGAACGACACAGCAGCGCTCTGGCTGCCCGGGCTCATTCAACAGCTTGTCACCGAGATTCATGCCCGGTGGCTTTCCCGCTGCCTCCATCTCAGGCGTTGGCCTCACTGAAATGTCGTAGGCATTCTCTGGGTCGATGAGCAAAGGAATGCAGAACGATGCACGTGGTGGATACACTCTCCTCACATAGTCTTCACCATGAAGTTCAACATCTCTCTTCATCATGTTTCTGAAGTTGTTATCCAAGAGTTCCATTCGGTCTGCCCATCGGTCTGGAGATTTAGGGACGGTGTACACACCACGCCCCCACCAGGCGTTTGCATTTTCTCCCTCTGTTCTCAGTGAGGCCCATACCTCCGCAGCTTCTTTCTCAAGGGCCGTGATGTTTCTGAAAGGTAGCTCCTCCGTGTAGTGAAAGAATGCCTTGGCACCTGGGCCTGATGACAAATCAATGGCATCTTTCCATACAACGATGCCAGTTGGAAGATGCTTCCAGGAATGCTCGAAATCCTCGCTGTCCTGGTACTCTTCACTTTGGAACTCCCCACCCTCTCGGCAGAAGCTTTCGAAGTAGCGTCGCAAGTCGTCCACAGTGGAAGTTGCCCTCATGGCTTTGACAAAGGCAACGATAAACAAATACTGAATGAGCTACGGAAGCAAATGTGCAATCTGCAGTTTTCCTATGGAACTTAGAGATCTTCATGCAATCATAGAGGGGCGTGGCACCAAATGTTTTAATTTAAGCTATACCATGCTATACCGAGCTAGGATTGTTACCTTGAATGCATTGGTACCTTGACTTGTATAGTTACCTTAAAACGGTTCCACCTTCTCACAGCTAGTGCCAAGCAGTGGTTGCTATGCGTTGCTATGCTGCTGAAAGATGCTCCTTGATACTAGCTTGCCTCCGAGCCAAATGCACCAAGCTCGGCGCTCTGCTGGGCTTGCGGCCCCGAAAATCCATCAACCTGATTCAACCTGTCCCAGGTCCCAGCCTGACTGCAGACTAAGGAAGCCAAGCTGCTGGCAGCTCGGCCCTGGCTGTTTCTGGCTGGGGTGTTCAACAGAAAAAACCATAGGAACTCTTTAAACTTTAAACATGTGGGTATTCTCTTCGAGAAAGTGGACGTGTTCTGTGAAACTGAACTGTGCTTCTAAAGGTTTTTCCGTAGAAAAATAGTGCTACATCTCACAAGGGTGGTGAAATCGGTGCACAAAGAGGCCCACAAATTGGCAACGTGTTGCAGCAAACTCACAGACTCACATGGAACAACTTAGAGCTGGGTGTGCATGGCTAACAAATGCTGATTAACCCACCAGATTTAAACCAGCCACAGCCTGCATGGCAACAGCCGCGCCTGCATCGACCAGAAGCATCTCTTGGCCTTCACAGGCTGGTGGCTAAATATCATGAACCCATCCTCTGGTCCAAGCACCACTAAGTTTTCTGGACAAAGTATTTCATCGCTTTGTCTGAAAATTATGGGTTTCGACAAATCCAGCAGTTAATCAGAAGATATCAGAAATATCCCTGTAGAAATTACCATCTGAGTCAGAGGTCATTTCCAGACCCACCCAATTTACACCAACTATGCCACTATACCATGGTTATATTAACTCATAGGGGCCATGGTCATCCATTCCGGGCATCAACTCACAATGGCTATTAGTAAATCCCTATGTAAATCGATGGCCATCCCAACATGGGAAATGCCAGAGGAAACCCTTGGTGATTGGGCCCCCATTGTGAATTCCTGCAATAATTCCCAAATCAGAAATGATATAAGCCATTATAAGCCTATTTTGGTGAATGTTCGGAATGATTCCCGTTACAAACCACTACGTATCTACGGTGGGGTTGATGTGAGGTCGCTAGATCGGTGATTAGTCAAAGTTCGTGTGCCAATAGGCCCACAAAACTGGTCTGTGTGTTAGTATTCGATCAGTGGCTCATACCCTATCAGATGTAAATCCAATCAGCCTCCTCGTTTACACTTGTCTTCTGACCTGAGAAACTCCACCAACTCTATGCACTTTCCTTTACAAGATCGCACTTTCCAGCCAGCCAGCTTAAGTTGAGG